GTTCCTGGCTCGTATAGACCAGTAGGTACAAGAGCCTAGCTCGGCATCAGCTGGGCCCCCTCCTGGTCTCTAGTTTTGCTTGTGGGCTAAGGTTTGATCAGTCCTGCCTGATCCACCCTGTTCCATTACCAATTGATACATTAGCCAGCTGTTGGAGCTACTTTTCCCAGGTCTGGACCACATGTTCACCAGCGGTAGCTATGACTTGCCAAGGGAGTTTCTCAAGTTCGTCCACTTGATCCACTCCCAGACCCAGTTCTCATACATGCCACTGGGTTTTAGGCCAGTGCCTGGTACAGTCTGGCCTTCTATTTGGCCTTGTATGAGCTGGTGAATGTTGCAACCCAGCCCACTCCACACCCTCTTCAGGATGCACATTTGGGTGCTGCTTCCCTGACCAGTCCAGACTACTGGGGGTTCCTTTAGCTGTGATTGATGGCAGATTCCTAGGTCACACCTAGCTTAGTCCATCACCACCCCAACTCTTGAGCTAATCAGTGGGGCTAGCATTTCCACAAGGTTTGGCCCACATATCCCCCACAGAATCTACCCCCGGTTATGGTTCTAGTGCTAGTTAATGTCATGGCCCTGCTTAATGTGACCCTTCTCCTGTTCCATCATCTTGTCAGGTAATAGGATATGATTCTGAATGACAAGCCCCAAGTCATAGCTTTTACATGGACTGGTATTTGGTGGTCAGCATTGTTCAAGTTTTCAAAGGAAGAGTTAATGTCATTGGGAATCTTTAGGATTGCTTCACATCCTAGAAGCACAGTGGGTTCAACCTGGAGCTACCTAAGCAGCGATTCAAAGAACCAAAACCCTAGAGCTCCCAGGCTGGGGGGCCAGCGGGTGGAGCCTGGCACCAAATGGTGCACTGGCCATGTGGGGACAGCTCATCACGTGCACGTGGTGGCTGGAGTCTGGGATCCAGGCATGAGACGCCCTGTCCTGAGACCCACCAGCAGCCAGGAGGCTGCTGGAAGTTTAAACTCCCTGGCCCAAGGTCGCGCCCCTCCCCAATCCCATTCACCACCCAATGAAGGTGGTGGGTGGGTCCCAGACCTGCCCAGTCATGGTGACCTCCCCCCTCTGTGTACTCACCCTGGAAGGGAGCAGCCCCTGGAGCCCAGGCAGGCCCAGGGATAGTTCACCACGTGCACATGGTGGCTGTCATCTGGGATCCAGGCATGAGACGCCCTGTCCTGAGGGCCACCCCTCCTTGATATTCTTAGAGTTACTAGGAATACTTTGATTTTTTTGGAAGATTTATTTATTTGTTTATTTATTTTTTAGAAAGTCAGATATATGTAGAGGAGGAGAGATCAAAAGATCTTCCTTCTGCTGGTTCACCCCCCAAGTGCCTGGAACTTCCAGGGCTGAGCTGATTCGAAGCCAGGAGCCAGGAGCTTCTTCTGGGTCTCCCATGCGGGTGCAGCGTCCCAAGGCTTTGGGCCATCCTCAACTGTTTCCCAGGCCTCAGGCAGGGTGCTGAACAGGAAGTGGGGCTGATAGGGTTAGAACCGGTGCCTATATGGGATCCTAATGTGTGCACGGCTAGGGCTTTAGCTACTAGTCTATCATACCGGGCCCCACACTTTCGTTTCTTTGTTTTGCTTTTAATTTTCTAAAATTTAGAGAACCTGAGAGAATTCTCATCCTCTGGTTCGCTTCTCAAATGCCTGTAGCAGTTGAGATTTGGGTTGAGGGGTAGAAGCGGCAGTCAGGAACTCAGTTTAAATTTCCCTCATGAGTGACAGGAGCCCAACTTCTTGGTGTCCTCTGCTGCCTCTCAGTGTCTCATTGTTGGGAAGCTGAAGTCAGGAGCTGGAGCTGGGCCTCAGTCCTGGAGAATGCCATGTGGAACTTAGGCAGTTTCATTTCAAAGCTGAAAAACTACTCGTATACTCTTCTTTTATAATTGATACTGCCTCTTGCAAGTCTGTAGGGGTGACACCCTTGATTTCATGTGAACAGTGAACAATTTAAATATAAGCATTCTGACTTCAATGTTTTCTTTCCTATCATTACTTCTTTGTTATACATTAGGAGCAGCAGCAACAGAGACAACAGAATGTATTTGAAGTTTTGCTTATCTGAACAGTCCTCTTGGAGTACAGAAGTACCTGTATTGTTCACTGATTTTCACCACTGTAGTACCTCACCTTAAGTGTGCAAACTCAGGCTTATTTTAGAACTTTCAGAATAGCAGCATCATGTATTAGATGATATAAACTATAATGGAGGATTACTCTTCACTTATGTGTAAATTTGTTAGAGGGTTTCTAAAAAAAGTTTTTATTGGAAAGGCAGATATACATAGAGAAAGAGATAGAGGGAGAAAGATCTTCTGTCCACTGGTTCACTCCCCAAGTGACTGCAATGGTTATTGCTGAACTGATCTGAAGCTAGTAACCAGGAGCTTCTTCCTGGCCTCTTTTGTGGGTGCAGGGTCCCAAGGCTTTGGGCCGTCCTCTACTGCTTTCCCAGGCCACAGGTAGAGACTGGAGCAGCCAGGACACAAACTGGCACCCATACAGGATCCTGGTGTATACAAGGCAATGATTTAGCCACTAGGCTATTGCACTAGGCCCAAATTAGTTAGTTTTAAACTGCCTAGTGTGACACATATTAGAACATGATTGCTGTAAAAATTAGGGGTCGTCGTTAACAAATGTGAGCTCTGAAAATCAAATGAAGCCCAGTGATTTTTATAAATTTTAAGGAATTGAAGAGATCAGTGATGAGTTATATAATCTATCCTGTAGTTCAACTTTTTTCTCTGGGTATCATGGATGTTAGAATAGATGTAATATTTGTGTTATATGAGTAAACATACTACCATCTTTGCTTTTGTTGCTTAAAGTGATTGTATTTTCAATATTAAAGGAAATGAAATGTAATTGGTAAGAGATATATGCTGCTGCCACATTGAAGACTCTTTTTTAAAGTAAATTTCAGAAAAACTTTGTATTTTTGCAATTCATAGATCTTGAGACAGCTATTCTTTAGCATAATTTTAAAATAAATATATTGGAGATTAATTTTCTGATTTATGAACTGATTATTTAAAGCAGTTGTTACCAAATAGCTGATTTGAATGTTAGAATGTGATATTATTTTGTCTTACAGTTTCGTATGTGAGAAATGATAATTATTGTCCCTTTCAAAATTATATAAATTTTATTTTTGATAATTTTGACATATTTTATTAGGCTGCAAAGGGTCAAGGACTAGAGGAAAGTAGGACTAGAGGACTAGTCCTCTAGAGGACTAGTCCCCTCATACACAGGAAGGAAAACAATGGTTCCACCTACTTTCCTCTAGTCCTTGAAAACAAAATGAGTTTTCTCATACTAAGTATTTACATATTAAGTATTTACAGTATGACTAAGTGAATCATACATTTAATTTAACATTTAACTGTTACTTTTGCTTTACTGTATTGCAAGGCTGTAATTTGAATTCTAATGTAAAAATCTTCTGGAGCTGTCCAAGGATAGTTGAATTAATGAGAAGAAAAAGACCATGGCATGTGTCTAATATTAAAGAAAGAGTTCAAAATCATTTCATGGTTTATTAAACTTTCACATCTTGGTGTTTTTCTGAATGTTTCTTTGGGGTGGATCTTGAGAAATATAAAGATTCTTCATATAGATTACTGTGATTTTCTGCTGGAAAGACTTTAATTTCAGCTTATTTAAGCAGTCCTGTTTCCCTGCCTCTAGGAAACATGGAGTATTATTACTGTTTAAATCTTTATTGGTATTAACGGTTCCTGTTTTTATTTGTGAAGTCCCTGCTGTGTGCTATATGTAGTTCTAATAAACTAGCACGAATTTGCTTTTCTTGAATTTCTTAGACCCCTTATATTATGTATAATATGTATAATATATATAATAATGTGTATATTAAATTTTGCATACTTTTGCATGTAATATCATACCAGCTCTCTATTCAGTTTATTTGTTTTAAAGATTCTTGTATTTATTTTGAAAGTCAGAATTACAGAGAAGGCGTGACAGAGAGAAAGGCATGTTTCATGTGCTGGTTCACTCCTCAAAAGACCACAGTGAATACCAGGAGCCAGAAGGTTCCTTCAGGCCTCCCATGGAGGAGACACAGATCTAGGTATTTGGGCTGTCTTCCACTGCTCAACCATGACTGGTAGCAGGTTTCTGGTTCAGAAGGAAAAGAAACTGGTGACCTTATGGGATGCTAGCATTGCAGGTGTCAGCCCTACCAGCTACTTCACAATGCTGGCCCCCTATTTGCTTTGTTTTATATTATATTATTTCAGTGTGTCACTGAGATTTTGCTTTCTCATTTCTGAAATGAAAAACCTAAGAACTTCTTATACTGCTGTTAATAAGTTTCCTTGCAAAATTTTCTCTCTCTTTTACTCTCCTGTGCATTGTGTCTCTTTTTATATAAAGTGTTGTCAAAGTGAAGGCCTTTTGGGATGCTGACTAATTCCTTTATTTTATTCACAAGCAGATAATCCCTTGCAGACCAATTCCTGCTTGCTTTGGAGACCACTGTTTTATAGTGTTTCAGAGGAATGTGTTATCAGATGACTTGGGGAAATGCTGCACGCTGACATTCCTCATAGAATACTTGAGACTCTGAAAAGTATTTTTCGAAAGAAATATTTTTAGTTAGTTTAGTTAGTTTAATACTAGTTTACAAACTCACTTGGCTATAGATCACATAGAATCTTCACTCTGTTTCATTAGCCACTTTCCTTCTTTTCTGTGAGACATTCTCCGTTAAATCTGTAATAATTTAGGAATATCAGCTAATTTTTTAACCAATTACATATTATAAAAACTAGTACTAGTTTGTAATAATAAAAGCAGGTAATCTAGTTGCTGAAGGTGGTGTACTTCCCCAGTGGATTTTGAAATTCACCCTGAAGAGACATGGAAATCCATTCATTCCTGCTTGTAGGTGAAAATTTAATGTCCTTTCTGTCTTATTCTTGTCTCTGTTTTTAACAGCTATTTTTAAATGCTAGCAATAAGGTGACAGACAAGAACGAGAAAGACCTTGCCAACAAATTACTTACAGAAATGAATGAGGACCAGGTATCTACAAAGCCTGCATCTTGTTTCAGCTGAAGTCCAAAATCAGTCAATCAGAGCACCTATTCCTGTACTTTTCATCTTGCCTTTAATGTATATGAATGTTATCTAACTTTAATATCCACTGTTTTTGAAAATTATTTAAAATTAGAATTAAAAATTGCTTTTGTCTCAAGGACAAATGTCTTGATGGTTGATGTATAAGATCAGTAGAATTCCATCTCTGTGCATTGTGCCCTGTTGAGGAGATATGAAGTACAGGAATGGGATGCTATCAATGCTGTCCACCTGGTGGTGACTCTTATCTGGGAGCTTCCTTTTCTAAGCACTGCGGTGTATTGGGGTCTTAGGGTTTTGTTTGTGAATATGTATGGTCATTGTTAACATCTTGATTCTTTGCTTCTTATTGACAAGTGATGATTATAATTCAATGGACAACTAGAATCTTGGAGGAAGGGAAGAATATTCTGAATCCTTAAGGGTTAATTTAGAATAAAGTGACATTTTTCTATTACAAAAGTTCAACTGTATTTAGGTGTAGTAAAACAAAATGTGTCTTTTAAATTCGTTCTCACATTTTGTTTGAGAAAAATTACTGTTTTTTTGAGAATACTTATAAGATCTCTTATTAAAGAATCTCTTATTAATGTAAGTAGGAGTTGTGATATAAAATAAAAAGGGATACTGTAGTTATTGTTTTATGTTCTTAAAACCAGATATCAAGTTGCAGAGTATTATATTGTTTTAGATCTCTTTGAAAGTGTTAGATTACGATTATTATAGTCCCTTAGAGACTTAATGTTACAATTCAAAATTATACATGAAATGAGGTCTTTTTCTCCTTCTTGGATGAAGTGTAGCACAGCTCTTACTTGTTTGTAATTCTGCTGTATGCAGAATGTTTTAAGACATTTTCATGTGTTCATTACATGTATAACATGTTCTGTGTATTTTTAAACAAATAACATCAACAAAAATTAAGACTTTGATTAAATAATTTTCTAAAAGGGAAGAGCCTAGTTCAACCATACAAGGATATAAGCAGTCCCTTAGTACTCATAATCTTCTGGGAGAAAGAGGAAAATCATTTATTGTGAAATAACTTGCTTTAAATCGTAACTAAGTATTTCTGAAAGCAAATTTTTAGGACTGTTTATTTTATAACATCTTTGTTATTATTCTGTGTTTTCAAGGTAACTATTTTATATATGGGTAAACAGTCCTGTTCACTTCTCGAACATTGTTGGCGTTAATTTTTCTGTGAATGTACCATGCTGAAATCTAACACATGAAATAATGACAGGCAACACAGAGCTAGTTTTATTTTCTCTTATAACTTTGGCACTAAAGATTGCCTTCCCAAAAACATGACAGTGCTCATAGCTAGATATTTCTTTTTCTGTATTTTCTTCAACTTTTGCATTTTATGTGAAATTAGATATACCTTATTGTTTGTAAATAACATGACTAATTGGCATGCTCACCTCCAACTTTACTGTCAACCTCTGGTTTGGAAACTTAGGTGAACAAGAATTTTTAAGTCATCTTTACACACTAGTAGATTAAAGTGTAGAAACTTTGTTTTTGAAAAGAAATGAAAACAAAATTGAATTTGCAATTATTGACTTCCCTCCCTTCCTCTAGAGATTGTCCATTATTTTTGAAAAGCATGTATTGAGCTTGATGTTTTCTCCTCAAAATATTTTAATGTAATGAGTGAATGTGGCCTTATCCTTCTTGACATGTACCTTATTTTCTGTTAAGTAGATAACTTCTTTTGCAGGTTTTATTGTTTCAGAAATACATTTCATTGAAAGCAGAATATAGTGCATGTCAAATATTTACTTTTTCAGGTTTTCGGGCAAATGGTTTCCTAAATGAACAATAAAAATCTTGGACACATTTGCTTATCTCTGGCTTTTGTTTTTCTTCTGGTAGGCATTTCAGGGACAGTTGGATTGTTTGGCTGTATCAACCATTCAGGCATTGACAGCAGTAATGAACAAGTCGCCAGCTGCTAAGGTGAAACACATAACCCCAAGCTTTACAAGATGTTAGATGTTCCACTTTCCATTATATTGGTCCCACAATGGTGTATAGAAATATGTAACACAAATGATTTAATACCTGGTGAGATAGCTTACAAAATATTTTAGTATAAAAATTATTTTGTTGATAGTTTTAAAGATAAACCTGGATGACATTACTTTACCATGTTAAAAAGAACATTTATGACCAAGCTACAAACTGATAGAGATTTATAATGTTGGTCAAAGAATGGGAAGATAGCACTGTGCTTGAACTATAGAAATGCTCAGTTTAAGTGAATTTATGATTAGTTGAAAGAATTGAGTTTTATGTCATATTTCCTCTATTAATAAGGCAGTCACTCCTTGTATTGTCTCCTTGGTGTATGACTGACGATAAGATCAACATGCTTCATGTGTGAAGAACCAGATCAATCTAGAACGGTTTTTCACGGTTGAATGGTCTTGGGAATTCAGAGTTTATAGTCACTAACACTCAGTCTTATGTCCATCTCATTCACTACCACTGAGTGTCCCCTGCCATGTTATACTGGTAGTTAGCTCATTGAACAGTCACAAGGATTAGCAGGGACATTCATGTAAAATGGTAGGCTTATGGTAAGTGCTCAGTGAATGTTCCTAGCTATTATTATTATCTTACATTCTGACCTACCATCTGTAATATGAGTCTTCAGAGAGTTCATAGAAAATATGTCATAAGAGAAAAAAGTATATTTCAAAGTTTTGCACCAAAATAAATTTATTTTTTATTCTATTTTTCCACGAACTTTTGAAGTATCACATCCTTCATGCTTCACTATTTTCTGTTACCTGAGCTATCCCATCAATTATATTCCTTAGTTTCCATTATTTTGTGTTAGGAGACTTAACCTCTGCCTTAGATTGGTTGCTATAGCTCTTGGTAAGATTTCCATGCAATGTAATATCTTAATTTTTACAGTTTGATTTCTCATTTTAATCTTCAGTTAATATGGTTTCTGTAAGGAAGAAATCACTTTAATTCTGCATAATTGGTTTATGGGACAGTAGGTTGCCTATGTGGTTTTCTAAGAATCACTCTAAAAATATGGTCAGATGTCTTTTAAAAATGTGATTTTTAAACATGAAATACTGTACGTGGTTTCCGAGTCAAAATCAGTCATTACATTTTTAATGAATTTTTCTCATGCTGTTTTTTATCCGTTTTCAACTGTTTTCTTCTGTAGAGGCAACCACTCTTAAGTAGTTTTATTTAAGTCTTTTGATTATATTGTATCTATATTTCTGCCTAAGTTAATATACCAGTTTTCTTCATATTTATTTTATGATTTTTGAAACGTAACTGGTTCAGAAATCAATGTGATTGGAACTTCTTTATTTGCATTTGGTGTTCCAGATATTTTAGACTATTTATATACAAAGAACAGAGAGAAAGCTTTTATAATCAATTTTTTTTTTTTTCACACCGGTACTCAGAATTGCCAGTATCCTTCAGTCTTTTCCGCCTACTGTCTGATTCTTCTTATTGCTAAAGTCTGTTTGCATTTTTCTGTTTTTATTTTGACTTTACCTAATGCTTTGCTAGTAATAAATCTAGTGTTGTATGCCCTAGTATGTAAATTGTATAATTCTATAATACACATTTACTTCTATTTTCATTTATTTTGTATTTTGGTAGATTATAACTTTTATTCCATGTATGTGTGTGTTACATATCTGTACACAAAATCTTAAAATAAGTTCTATTTATAAGTTCTATTTATGTACGTATATACATATATCTATATAACACATATATAAATAGAGCTTTTTAAGATTTTAGGAAGAAATATGGTTTTTAAGATTTTAGTTCCTAATTTTTTAAACTATTAAGCTTATTAACTTATTAGATATTATTTAATATATTTTAAATTTATTAAATTCATTTATTGGGAATATGCTTTAATATATTATTTCCCATTCTCTTAGGAAGTATTTAAAGAAAGAATTGGTTATACACATATGTTTGAAGTGTTAAAATCTATGGGTCAGCCAGCATTAGAACTACTTAAAGAACTTATGAATATGGTAAGGTTTTGGCCTTTTATTAAAACAAGTTCACATCCATGCTTCATAAATGGTAACTAACCTTTTATCTTCTGTGTTGCTTTTCAGGCTGTAGAGGGTGACCATACTTCAGTTGGTCTTTTGGGTATAAGTAATGTTCAGCCTCTCTTGATTCTTATCCAGTGGCTTCCAGAACTAGAATCCCATGACTTACAAATCTTCATCTCTGATTGGCTTAAAAGAATTTGTTGTATCAATAGACAGAGTCGAACTACTTGTGTCAATGCAAACATGGGAATTAGAATCATTGAAACTCTTGATTCACATTCTTCCCTCCATCAAACTTGTGCCGAGAACTTGATTGCAATCCTTGGTTCCCTGGGGAGTCAGTCCGTGAGTGCAGAAGAAATCCGTCGCCTGCTGCGCTTGCTGAGAGTGGATGAAGCTGAGCACATTCACCCTTACACTGTTCCTGTCACTCGGGCAATTCTGACAATGGCCCGGAAACTGAGCCTGGAGAGCGCACTGCAGTATTTTAATCTGTCTCACAGTATGGCAGGAATTTCTGTGCCTTCCATACAGAAGTGGCCTGGGTCTGCATTTTCTTTCACCGCATGGTTTTGCTTAGATCAGGACCAGTTGACTGTTGGCACTGCTAACAAAGGAGGAAAGAGAAAACAATTATACAGGTACTGGTACAAGTTAATAGATTATAAGTGAACACTATTATAATAAAATATGCTATAAATCTTAGAAAATCATATAGCAAGGATCTTGTTTTTAAATGTGCAGTTTATCTGAAACATCTTCATTCTTAGAATATACACAGTTCAGTTAGAAGTGATTTTATTATTATTTTTGTAATGAGAACTATATTTCTCAGATATCCTTGAGTTCAAATTCTTAAGCTAGTCTGGAAATTGTTTGCTAAATGTAGTGTAGAAGTGGACAGAAAGAAACAGTAAACTTGGAGAATGATTGCCCTGTTCCCCTGAAGGTGCTTCTGTATGAAGACTCAAAGTCTGTGTGCGCACATACATCCAGACTCAATTACCTATTAGTTTATAATATGCGTTATGATTTTGAGACTTTTAATTATTCTTTCTGAATCTTATTTGTAAGATTTATTTCTGTTACTGATATATTTTGCTAATGGAATTCCACTTGTAATGCTGCATTTTATATTTTTAAAATTCTTACATCCTCCAAAAAGATTTTGAAAATGTCTTTGAAAAAAGGTTAGAATGTGTGGAGATAAAATTTAAGCCAAAGAGGGCCTGGCATGATAGCCTAGTGGCTTGCACACCAGAATCCTAAATGGGCTCCGGTTCTAATCTTGGCAGCCCTGCTTCCCTTCCATCTCCCCACTTGTGGCCTGGAAAAGCAGTCGAGAACAGCCCAGAGCTTTTGGACCTTGCACCAATGTGGGAGACCCAGAAGAAGCTCCTGGCTCCCAGCTTTGGATTGGCTCAGCTCCAGCCATTGCAGCCACTTGGGGAGTGAATCATCAGACAGAAGATATTTCTGTCTGTCCTCCTTTCTGTATATCTGACTCTCCTATAAAAATAAATCTTTTTAAAAATTTAAGCTGAAGATTTATGTATATTTTTTGAAAATTTGTGAATTTCAAAGATAGAATGGCAGCAATAAAAAGACACAAAGACAAATCTTACATCCCCTGTAATGCACCCAACATAGCCACAATAGCTGAGGGCCGGGCTAAGCTGAAGCTAGGCATCAGGAACTCTCTGCTCTTGTTTGTGGGTGTCAGGGGCCCAGGTATTTGTGCCATCTGCCAGATCGCACTGTCTTCCCAGGTGCATTAGCAGAAAACTGCGTAGGAAGCAGAGAAAATGGAGCCAGTGCTCCAGTATGGGCTGTCTGCAGTGCAAGCAACGGCTTCAATATCACAGCCCCGATGCCCGTCCCCAGGGGATTGTCTTTGAATGTATCACTGATAGCTTATAGTTCTGCTGCTTCAGTGATGATGAAACTGAACAACTGGCTTCAAAAGTTCTGATAATAGCTATTTTTGTTAGCTTTTTTACAGGAAGTGGAATGGGTTTTGAAGCTTTTATCACTTATTCAGGTATGTTGGTTGTGGCAGTGTGCACGAAAAGAGAATATGCCACGGTGATGCTTCCAGAGCACAGCTTCTGCGATTCCCTCTGGGTATGGCATTAGGACATCGTAATGAATCTCTTGATTCTCGCCTATGAAAAGCAGTTAACATCAGATTTGTGTGTGTGTGTGTGTGTGTGTGTGTGTGTGTGGTTTTTGAGAGATCATTAACTTTTCTCTTTGAAAGTTCTGCTCATATTGAGGTTAATCTATAGGCAGTTTGCTGTTACCATTTTAACAGTGATCATTTTTCTGCTGAAAATTAAAATGAAATGTTATGGTATCTTTTACAATTTTCTAGAAGCAAATTTAGTTTTGAATTTGAGTTTGAACTGAGGCAATAAGTTGATAAAAACAATACATGTCTATTCATTTTTTAAATTTAAAACTTCCTTTTGGAAAAATAGATTGTGAAAAATAGTCTGCTGGACAGTACACAAACGCACTGTTCAAATTTGTACAGATTTTCTAGCATAAACCTAAGTACTTTTTTGTAATACTACAGGAAAAACTGATATTCGTTTGATGATGTTATTTTAGTCAGCATTTAACTAAGCTTACCTTCAATATTTTATAGTTTGTACAAACTATTGCAAAGTAGTAGTCTGAACAGCTTTGTTTCTCCAAAGACCTAATATAGTTTAAATGTATCTTTTACTTCATCAGCACAACATAACTGTTGTTCACATGCCTGGAAAAAGACCCTTTGGTCAGAGTCTCGTCTATATCTATGACAATGGACAACAGAAGGTTTCTGCTCCTCTGAAATTTCCTGCCATGAATGAAGTAAGTGTAACCTTTACAGATTTATGGAAACTCTTGCAAGTTTCAGTTAGTGTTAGAAGGCTCTGCTTGCTTTGAACCTGTTCCTCAAAATTTCAAAGTATTTCTTACCTACTCTATTAGGTAATGCAATGGTGATGGCTCTTATCGGTTGAGTTCTTCTACCTCATGGAAGACCTGTTGAGTTCTTGCCTTTTGGCTTCACCTGTCCCAGAGCTATTGCAGGCATATAGGGAGTGAGCCAGCAGACAGAAGTACTCTCACATTACCTAGCTAGCTCTCTGCATCTCAAGTAAAAACAATTTTTTTTTTAAATTTCAAAATCCACCAAAAGACAAAGTGAATCATAAAATAATGCATCCAACTTCTATTGGGCAAAGGTAACTTGGATAATGATTTCTTTTCTCTCTGTCTCTCTTTTAACAAATATGTATTTGGCTTTTTTTCAAAGTCAGAATTACGGAGAAATGGAGAGACTGAGAAATCTCCCATGTGCTGCTTCACTCCCCAGATGGCTACAACAGCCAGGACTGGGCCAGGCCTGAACGAGGAGCCTGGAGGATCTCCCACTTGGGTGGGCAGAAGCCCATGCACCTGGGTCATGCTGCTGCCTTCCTAGGCCTATCACCAGGGAGCTGGATTGGAAGTGGAGCAGCCAGGACTTGAAGTAGCGTTCATAGGAGGTAGTTTCATGAAATGTTTCAGTTTAAAAATGAGGCTAGGAATCTAATTGAAACTGTTTTTGTGTTTCTTAATTTTTAGCCTTTTACTTCCTGCTGCATTGGTTCAGCTGGGCAAAGGACTACCACTCCTCCACCATCCCAAATCCCAGATCCTCCCTTTTCTTCTCCCATGACCCCTCATCGATCATCGTTTGGTGGGATTCTGTCATCAGCCTCCTGGGGAGGATCACCTGAAAAATCAAAATTAACTACCAAATTGATATCAGCTGGAACCCAAGACAGTGAATGGGGATGTCCCACATCTCTGGAGGGTCAGTTAGGGTCTGTTATTGTCTTCTGTGAAGCACTACAGCCTCCTCAAGTGAAGTCATTATATTTAGCAGGTGAGCATGTACACTTATAGTATTTAATTAAATTTAAGAGTTTTTCTTATTATCTAAGTATGTTCTGAGGAATATATTTTATTTGATGCTTATATTTTAATTTATGCTGAAAGGGAAGAAGCAGTATCATATACTTTGTGAAGGCACAAATGGAGCAAACTTCTGGAAAGTATTGGGATAGCTTTAACATTTACTATGTTAAAAATAGTAAAAATTATTAAAAAGCGATAAAAATTATTATTTCTTATAGCTGCTTCATTTCTTTTGTTCAAAATACATGACTTACTTAAGCTTCCTATGCATTTTTCCCTATGCATTTTAATATTGATAGAAACTGCACATTTAAAATGTGTTAGAGTGTTTGTACATATGATTTTCTTATTCTTGTGTGTTTAAGTATGAACTCCCAGGATAAATATTTGAAGTGAGTGAATATACTAATGGCTCAGAATACATATTGCTTAATGAGTTAGCAGGAACAGGTTAATTCCCAATATCTGTCAGTAAAACATAAGTGTTCCAGATTCACTACCAACTCAGTAAGATAAAATGGTCCATACTGTTCCTTCTGCTATTACATGTGAAGTTGAACCTTGTTTGAATTCATATTTCTTTGATATTTTACAAAATTAAGAATAATTTCTTACTCATTTACTATTTCTGTTGTGTTTATTCAGATTTTTGATTAAATGTTTTCTAAGTTTGTCTATGATATTTGAATTGGTTTACATGAGATGAACTATTTATTGATTTCTCTGTCAATTCTTCAATGCTATGTAAAATTTTCATATGTAGTGGAGATTGATCCAAGGTTTTAGATTAATTAGAAGTGATATAAAAGCACATATCTTAATGTTTTAACTGCATTATTTAAGTAACTAAGCAGCTGAATTTTAAATTTTGTTCTGATGACACAGAACCAAGGAGGCCATATTCAGTGATGTGTGTGTATGTGTATAAATAATTTTCAGGTCCAAATTGTTTAAATCTTTGGAAATGTCAAGAGTCTGACATAGCCGACCTGCCCGGTAACGTCCTTCTGCACTACACAGCAAAGGTCAGAGCAATCGCGGGACTGTCTGTCTACTTGTAACTGTGCTGGGAATGAAAATTCCTTTTGTGTTCCTTTTGTCATTGCAGTAGGTAGTTAAGAAGGAGAGGCTTTAATTGAATTAGCATTTTTAAAATTTTGGAAAGTTTCAAAGGAAGGTGAGAAGCAGTAAATATTAAGGTACACCTCTTGAGCTACAGCATAGATGCTACTGTATCATTCAACAGCAGGAATGAAAATGACCAAGGATGGAATTCATAGCGTCGGCTGGCTTGCGTAAATGAAGCTGTTTAAACTTGTGTTCTAGTTTTTTTTGAAGGAAAGATGAAACAATTACGCTCAATCTGAGTGCTTTTAAGATGTGATATAGGAAGTACAAGGAGAGGGAAAAAAAGTAATGTTTACTTCAGAAGGAGAAAAAATAAACTACAACCAGCCTCATCTGCCCTCATTGTATTCAGTGTTACATTGACTCAACAGTGCTTCAACTGTGAGATTATGGGTTATGGAATGTCTTTTTCTAGGTTAGCCCGCTGGTAACTTTATTAATTTTGGCTACTGATTATATTTGACTTAATAAAATTTACTTAGTTTGATAAATTTTAAATCTAGAGATAAATTAAAACAGTGGTCAAGCGATTTTCCACGTACTTTTCAATTAAATGTACCAGTTGCTAGCATTTTGCCATACTAACTGATTCTGTCAGCTCAAATCATTTGTGAAAGCACATTGACCTTGCTATCAGGACACTTCATCACTAAATATCTTTACATACTCATTTACCTAACGAAGAGACATGATTCATCTGATATGATCTGCTTGCAGATGTTCCCAGAAATGTTTAGCCTTTAACATGTCAATTATAAATCTCCTCACGTTTTGTGCATTGCATTGGTTATGTCCATTAAATTTTCTCTATTTTTTAATAGTGCCTTTTAAAATTAATTTATTTGCTTATTTTTCCGTCGAGTTCAGAGGCAGAGAGGCAGAGAGAGAGAGCTACCATCCATTGATTCACTGCATCTCTGTGAAAGCCAGGGTTAGCTGAAGCTATTGGGTGGCAGGAGTCCATTTATTTCAGCACTCAGCAGAGCCTTCCAGGGTACATATTAGTAGGTAGCTGGGGTCAGGAGTGGAATTGGAACTTATACCCAGGCGCTCTGATATGAGTGCATTTTAGCTGCCAGGCCAGAAAGTCACCCCTGGATTCTTGGCTTTATGTTTCTTTGTTTTCTGTGACTTTTCTCCCAAAAGATACATTTGTTTGCCCAACTATATTTTATATTACCTCTTATTTTTTAAAAAAAGATTTATTTATTTTTATTGAAAGGCGGGTATACAGAAAGGAGGAGAGACAGAGGAAGATCTTCCGTCCAGTGGTTCACTCCCCAAGTGGCCACAATGGCCAGTGCTGTGCCAATGCGAAGCCAGGAGCCAGGAATTTCTTCCGGGTCTCCCATGCAGGTGCAGGTTCCCAAGACTCTGGGCCATCCTCAACTGCTTTCTCAGGCTACAAGCAGGGAGCTGAATGGGAAGCAGGGCTGCCAGGATTAGAACCAGCGCCCATTTGGGATCCCGGGCATGCAAGGCGAGGACTTTAACCACTACACTATCGTGCCGGGCCCTATTAGCTCCTATTTTTACTATGTACTATCTAGTAAAGATGATTAAGGAATCTTGGATTTAATGCAAATATTATATTTGGTAGCATATTCTAGACATGTGATTGTCAGCTGGTCATTTTGATATTGCAGGCATTGTAATATTTTTACAAAGTAAGTTTGGCCTTGATAACACTAGGTTTGATTTTTTTTTGCTCTTTTAAAGATTTCTTTTTATTTAAAGGTAGATTTACCAAGAAAAGAAACAAGAACAGAGAGAGAGGTCTTCCATTCTCTGCTTCACTTCTCAAATGTCTGCAATGACTGAAGTTGAGCTAATCCAAAGCCAGGAACCAGGAGCTTCTTTTGGTTTCGCACGTGGGTGCAATGACCAAGGGTTTAAACTATTCTCACTACTTTCCCAGTCTATAAACAGGGAGCTGGACTGGAAGTGGAGCAGAGGAGTAGCACTGGCTTCTACGTGGGATGGCAGTGAAAATGCAGGAGGATTAGTCTGTTGAACACACTGCTGAGCAACACACTGCTGAGCTTCCCGCCCCCCTTCTCTCAGATTTATTTATTTTTATTGGAAAGGAAGATATCCAGAGAAAAGGATTGACACAGAGAAAGCTCATCCATCTGCTGCTTCAGTCCCCAAGTGGCTGTAATGGCCAGATCTGAGCTTATCTGAAGCCAGGTGCCGGCAGCTTCTTCCAGGTCTCCCACATGTGTGCAAGGTTTCAAAGCTTTGGACTGTCCTCAGCTGCTTTCCCAGGGAGGTAGATGGGAAGTGCAGCATCTAGCACATGAACCAGCGCTCAGATGGGATCCTGGCAGATGTAGGGTGAGAATTTAGGCTATTGTGCCAGGCCCTGAGCCCTGTTGTGTTTAAACTGCTAGAAGTAAAAGGCTATGGGAATGGGTGTGTTTAGCTTAGTGGTTCAGATAGTTGCATCCCACATCCCTGTGCTTGGGCTTGATTTCTAGATCTGCCTCCCAATTCTAGCTTCCTGATATTTCAATGAAGTTTTTGCTATAGTTCATGCCTCAGATGACAAGGGAGAGTGACTGATCTTTGATGAATGAATGCTGTGGCATCTAGTTCCTGGTTTTTTTGAGACGGAGAACAATCATGGTAAAATTCATGTGGTTAATGATCATTGACTAGGCTATATAACATTTACAGTAATGATGAAATGTTCCATATATTATTAGTTATGTTTTGTTCTAATTGCACGTAGTTGTTAACTGTGGTTCTCTTGTTTTTGTTTTGTGTTTTTTTTTCCTTAGGCCTGCAAAAATTCCATCTGTCTTGATTTATCTACTAACTGCCTGCATGGAAGATTAACAGGAAACAAAGTAGTGAATTGGGACATTAAGGTAAACAAAATAATAAACAATGGGCATCCTGTTATATCACTCATTTATCTGTCCTTTTAAAGATGTTTAAGCGCCAGTACATTGATATGAAAGGTAAGTCTCAATTAAAATGTTATGCTGATGTACAATTGGGAAGATAAGCAAGTAAGTAGTTGAATGACTATAGTGGTTGAATGATTATCTTGCGTGGAGATAATTGCTATTCTGTGCACCTAACAATCTGCATAAGAAAAATAGGCTACATAGTATTGCCTCATTCTTCCGTTGTTTATTCTTGGGCCCTGCACTGTTACAGGTACCTATGGTGCCGCCATCCCATGTAGGCACCCACTTGAGTCCTGGCACTTCCACTTCTGATCCAGCTGTCTGCTGATGTGCCTAGGAAAGCAGTGTAAGATGGCCCAAAAGTTTCTGTTGACTCTCCCATATAGTTTCAGGGGCCTAAAATCTTGGGTCACTCTCTATTGTTGTTAACAGCTATCAGCAATAGCTGAATCTGAAGTAGATTAGTCAGGACTCAAACCCACATACATATAGAATGCTGTTACTGTTGGTAGAGGATTAGCTTGCCTGCCATGGCACCAGTCCCATAAGTTTTTTTTTTTTTAATTAATTTAAAGGGGACAGATTTTATGTCTTCTATAGGTACAGTTCCACACTGTAGACAATCACACTTCCCTCATGCCCTTTCTATCCTTCACTTCCACTCCTTCCCTTCCCTCTCTTCAACAGCGTTTGCACAGACATACATTTTTTAAAAAAAGATTTATGTTTATTTTTATTTGTAAGGCAGTTATAGAGAGAAGGAGGGACAGAGAGAACAGTCTTTCATCTGCTGGGTTACTCCCCCAATGAACCAAGCGGTTGGGGCGGGCTAATCCGAAGCCAGGAGCTTCTTTGAGTCTCCTATGTGTGTGCAGAATCATCTTCTTCTGCTTTCGCAGGCCACAAGCAGGGAGTTAGATTTGAAGTGGAGCAACCTGGACTCAAACCAGCATCCACGTGGGTTGCTGGAACCAGAGGTGGAGGCTTCGCCTTTATTGCATTGATCCCACACACGGACATCATTTTATTCCACTTTATATTCACAGGCTTAATATTTAATAAGCAAAAAATAAGAACACCACATAACCACATTTCCAGTGGAGTTTAAACATGGGCTAATAACCCAAAATGACCATTTCATTCCTGCACCTGTTTTTGTGTTTTATATTAACATCCACAAATCTGAGAAAACACACGGTATTTGTGTTTTTGCAACTGGCTTATTTTGCTTAGCACAATGATTTCCAGTTGTACTCAATTTGTTATAAAAGGCTGACTTTTTAAATGGCTGAATAGTATTCCATAGAATATGAATAAATATATCACGTTTTCTTTACCCTTTCATCAGTCGATGGTCATCAGGTTGGTTACATATCTTAGTGTTGTGAATTGAGCATCAGTGAACAGAGGGTGCGGATTACTGTCCCCCATGCCATGTGGCAGATTTCAGTTCCTTCTCCTGTATCAGATACTTCTTTTTATTCATCTGTCTACAAGCTCTAACATACCCAAGTTTCTTCCTCTTTGAGGGTTAAAGTGAGTCATGTTTTGTTTTCCTAACTCTTGCTATCACTTCTTGTTTACCTTCTTTTTGGTTTCATATTGTGTACATTAAATGTTGCTTCCATTTAGAAACTGCTGCTTACTTTGCTAACTGAATTAGCTGTGCTTGTCATGGTATCTTTAGTACAGTATCATGTCATAAATCATGGTATGTAGTAACTGCTTGCCTGACTCTCCCATACTACTTAAAAAATTCCAACTGCTTTTTTCTCCCCACTGTTTTTTTTTTTCAATTATTTATTTATTTTTATTGGAAAGAAAGATATCCAGAGAGGAGAGACAGAGAAAGATCTTCCATCGGCTGCTTTTCTCTCCAAGTGACCGCAGTGGTTGGAGCTGAGCTGATCTGAAGCCAGAAGCCAAAAGCTGCTTCATGGTCTCCCATGTGGGTGCAGGGTCCCAAGGTTTTGGGTTCTCCTGGACTGCTTTCCCAGGCCATAAGTAGGGAGCTGGATGGAAAGTGGAGCAACTGGTGTATGAACCAGCTCCCATATGGGATCCTGGTGCATGCAAGGCAAGGACTTTGGTCACTAGGCTGCTGCACTAGGCCCTTGCCCTGCTGTCCAATGCAAGGAATATACAATAAATTTTTGACCAAGTAGTTAAGTTAGTAAAAGTTATTTAGGTTGACATGAAAATCTGAGATAATCTATACTCCTAAAATATACTATTTCCCTAAAGAGAATGTTTTATTTTAATTAATTAATTTATTTATGTGCTGATTGGTTTGTTGGTTAGTTGGTTGGTTGGTTGGTTGATTGGTTGGTTGGTTTGAAAGCATTTCCAGAGAGAGGCAAAGATAGAGAAAAAGGAATCTTCTATTTGTTGACTCATTCTCTGGGTGGCTCGGCCTGGCCAATGGCAGAAGGCAGGAGTTACTTCCAGTCCTCCCATGTGGGTGGCAGAGGCCCAAATATTGAGGTCATCTCCCGCTGATTTTCCCAGCCATTAGCTGGGATCTGAATTGGAGATAGAGCAGCCAAAGCACAGCCAGTTGGCCCTAAGAGATATCTTAAATGGAAGTTATAGCTTAAATAAAATTTTTAAAATATTAAATTATAAAAGGAAAATTGGTGGTAAATTTTAATTTTTGTCTGACAATTAAATGTACCTATTGTTTCAGTGAAACAGTTTATCAAAGGCCAGAGAATATATTTCATTAGGTTATCCAAAACATTGAATTTTGACTGAAGCCACCTACCTCATCTTGTTTGTTAATCAAAAGAGGAGGACTCAGGGCCTAGCACCTAAAGTCCTTTCCTTGAACACGCAAGGATCCCATATGGGTGCTGGTTCTAATCCCAGCAGCTCCACTTCCCATCCAGCTCTCTGATTGTGGCCTGGGAAAGCAGTCGGGGATGGCCCAAAGCCTTGGGACCCTACACCCACATTGGAGACCTGGAGGAGGTTCCTGGTTCCTAGCTTCGGATTGGCGCAGCACTGGCTGTTGTTGTGGTTACTTGGGGAGTGAATCATCAGATGGAAGATTTTCCTATCTCTCTCTCTTTCTCTCTGTATATCTGACTTTCCAATAAAAATAAGTAAATCTTAAAAAAAAAAAAAAAGGTTTATAAAAGTAGAGGAATCAATCATTTCTACCAGTAAATTTTTTTCATGATTTATTCTGCTGTTTTGAGAGCCATGATTCTCTAGTGACGGTTGTTTTGTACTTTATTATTAGAATTACATTATAAATCTTTTTATGGAATTATGTTTAGAATGCCTTTGTTTGAAATCCTTAAGCTTTGGCAAGTGCAGTGAATGTAGTTGATATGGTGGCCCCTAGGGTGCGCTTTGTCCTATCTTCTCACACAAGTATTTATTCAGTTTTGGCTCTCTTGGACATTGCTTTAAAGTTTATTTAGTGGGCCTTTCATTGTGGTGTAATATATTAAGCCACTACCTGTTATGTGGAGATTACATATGTGTGTCCCTTTGAGCTCCAGCTGCTCCACTTCCAAGACAGCTTACTACTAGTGTGCCTGGGAAAGCAGCAGAGAATGGCCCAAGTGCTTGGGTCCCTGCACCTACATGGGGGACCCAAACGAAACTCCTGGCTCCTTGCTTCAGCCTGGCCCAGCTCCAGCCATTATGGCCATGTGGGGAATTGAACCAGCATATGAAAGTTTTCTGTCTCTAGTTCTTGCTCTTTCTCTCTGCCTTTCAAATGAATAAAATCTTTTTTAAAAGTTTAGCAAAATTATATCACTTCATACATGCTATGTATATATTAAACAATAAAACTGTATCTGTTTTATAAAATTTAAAGTAGAATTTTCTTTTCAGGATATCATAAACTGCATAGGTGGACTAAATGTGCTCTTTCCTTTGTTGGAGCAAATCAGCCACTTTAATGAGGGACAGATTCCTGGAAGATTGAATGAACCTGAATTAGTAACACCTGTAGAAGAAGATCGAATGGTATTGACCTCCACAAAGGCATCAGGTATAAAGGTTAAGTTAGCACAAAATTGTCATTGAGACATTTGGGAATTGAGTGAGGAGTAGATTAAAATGTCATCACCATTTGTAGCTATTAGCAGCTGTTCCTGATTTTATATTATCATTCAGTAGGTGCCTAATACTTTGGTTAAAACTGAAGATGTTGATTTTATTCTTAACACTTTAGTTTATACTCTTTGTGGAAATACGACCACATGATTAATTTGAACTAGAGAGAATATTTATATGTGAATATATTCATGCAATATGCAGGTGTTTTTGCACAGATATGCTTTGGAAGCAAACTATTGAATTAATTCTCTTTTTGTTATGATATGTATTGTGATAACAGGAAAACCTGATGTAAAAATGATTAACAGGGTGGACATTTGGCATAGTACTTAACATGTTGCTTGTGATGCCTGAGTTCTATATGGGAGCTCCATTCTTGATGCTAGCTTCCTCCTAACGTGTACTCTGGGAAGCAGCAAGTGATGCTGTGAGTGTGGTTGGGTTCCTGTCTCCTAGTTTCAGTATGGCACACAGACATTGCTACTATGGTCATTTCAAGAGTGAACAAAGGATTGGAGATCTCTGTCTCTCTGCCTTGCAAATAAACATAAAAAAAAATCTTGAAAGTGATTAACTTAGTTATGCTATTTAACTTGTTCTTACTTCTACAGAGTCGAGACTAGAGAGAAACCTGGTTGCGACATTTATTTTGATTATGAAACATTTCATTCAGAGGCATCCTATCAACCAGGAAAATCTTATTCACTCCCATGGAGTTGCAACTCTTGGTACCTTACTTCAGAAGGTGAATCAATCTAGCATGTTGCTGTACTAGATTGTAAGATTAACAGTGCTGGGATATTCTTAATAAATGGATAATGTGTTTAAGGGTTATAGCTGATAGTTTAGATGGTATTAATGAGCATTATTTGTTTCATGGACAACTTTTTAAAACTTGTGTAATCACCTTACGCAAGAATGACTTCATAAGTGGTATATAATCTTTTAATTATATAACCATAATTGCTAGCTTCAAATTACATAACTTTGTTAGCTAAATTTTAGATACAAAAAAATGTGGCCTTAAGAAAACATGTTCCAGTGATACATCAGAAAATCTAATAATTAAATTTATATATAGTTTTAAAGTTTATATTTTTCAACTTTTTTTTTGTATTTTTACTTCAGGTAGACATTCTGATTTGAGAAAATTACTTGTACTGAACTTTGTGTATCCTTTTGTTTGATTTTAGGTGCCAAGCACCTTAATGGATGTTAATGTATTGATGGCAGTTCAATTGCTCATTGAACAAGTGTCATTAGAAAAAAATCTGCAGCTTCTGCAACAAATGTATCAGTATTTGCTCTTTGATTTTCGTATTTGGAACCGTGGAGATTTTCCTTTTCGAATTGGTAGGAATTGACTGATAAAATTTTATAGTTATTTTAGAAATTTGTCAAGACTTGTTTGAGTTTGAGTATGTAATTTCTGAGTGAGCTTTGCTTTCAGGTCATATACAGTATCTTTCAACCATCATTAAGGACAGCCGGAGAGTTTTCCGAAAGAAGTACGGTGTGCAGTTTCTCCTGGATACACTTCGGGTGTACTATGGGTATGGTGTCCTTGTTCATTTTCAGTTGTTTTGTGTCTGCTACTGATTAGAACATGAGGATTTTCTCTTCCCTAGTGATTATAATACCTTTTAATATTTGAGAGGCAGGATAATATAGAGATAAATTGGTGAACAGTCTTTTGCACACATTGGATTTGAATCCGGATTTCACTAGTTGTTTAGCTGTAGACAAATTATTTATCCTCTCTGAGTTGAGTTTCTTTGTGAAAAGGAGATAATAAAACTATGACTTTTCTGGTTGTTTGGGGGATTACATTAAATGAATTCATAATGTATAAAGCACTTAAAATTATGCCTGTTATAGATTCAATGTTGCATAAATGTAAACTTTAACACACCACTTTTTGTCATTGAAACGCTTCAACTGAATTTTTTTTCAGAGTAAAAGAAATTAAAAGGTACCATGAATTGTAATGATTCTGTAAAAGATTTTGCATTTCATAAAAAGTTTTAAAAATATTAAAACTTCAATGCATTTTTGTTTTATCTTTCAGAAGTGGTTGTAAATATAATGAACTAACTCTTGATGACATTCGAACAATAAGAACTTCTTTGTATGGACTAATTAAGTATTTTCTGTGCAAAGGTGGAACTCATGAGGAAATACAAAGTATTATAGGTTACATAGCTGCTACCAATGAAGAAGAGCAGGTATTACAGCTGAGATGAAACTTTTTTTCCTTCTCAACATTTAGAATGCACATTGGACATATGCAGACAATGGGATGCTGCTCTGTCTGACATTGTCTGTACCAGCAGTGACAGGGTGCACTTAAATAATAGACTGATGGAATTATGATTCTTTCTGAAGGACTACACCATTGTAGTAAAATGGGGAAAATCTGTTGGGGGTGGGAGTTTGAAGGGAAATCCTAGTCTATACAAAATGATACCACATAATTCTAACATTCAAAATATATATGTATATATACATTAAAAAAGAGAAAGAGGTCATTTTTCATAATGATCAAGCAGCGTAGGAATGTTTCTGTTAGGTTAATATAGATAGTTAGAAGATGTAACTGGGAGGGGCTTGGAATAGCACAGGCCTCATACTCAGGCTGGGAACCTTTGGTGTTTGGGAAGCACTGCAGACAAATGGCACTTGAAAGGCTCCCTGGATCGTTGCGTAGGCGACAGGCTCTGCCACAGTGCTCTCTGGCCCCCTTTCCCTTAGTCCTTGGAAAACAACTGTAACCAAAACATTCCTATTCCTGAAGATTTAGAGACCTGGGTAGAATGGATATAAGAGTAACTTGCAATAAACTTTTTGCCTTGGACTCCTGATCCTTGGTTCTCTGGGTCTTTGTAATATAACAGTACTTCTGCATCCCAGGTCCTGGGATCCAGATTCACAAGAAGACACATGACAGGAAATGTAGTAAGCCAAAAGCATGTTTTCAGGATGGAGTAGGAATGATTCAGAAGGTATCTGAGAGTGTAGTTAAGGTAAACTGTTAGAAATATAGGATTTAGTTAAAATAACCTTGGTGGTTTATGACTTCATGGTGCTAATATATTTGTGTGTGGTTTTTTGTTCTATGTTGCTCGATGTTAAAAGCTGTTTGGAATTTTGGAGGTACTCTTCAGTCTCTTGCGTAGCAGCCCAACTAGAGGTCAGCTTTTCTTACTGCTGTTTGAACCAGGAAATGCTGACATACTTTATGCCTTGCTGTTGAATCAGAAGTACTCTGACAGACTGCGGGAAATCGTTTTCAAGGTACAAACATTTCATGAGTATTTTTATATTTAGGAACAATTATGTTATGAATTTACTTGCAACATACCCTCTTCTATGGCTGAGTTTTTTTTTACATGTATGTTTTTAATTTTAAGTTGTTTGGTTTATTTTGATGTATTTTAATGTTTCAGTTGTTTGAACATTCAAAAATTAGTTTTGTAGTAGTCTGATAAATTTTCTCAATCAAGCCTCTAATTTTTGGTACCATCTTCAACTTAAAAGCTCTCAGCCCCTTTATTGTGTTTGAGTGGCAGTTCAGAACATTCTATCAATTAATAATAATGACTAACTTTAGAATGTCATGCAGCAAGCCCCTGTGCTTAGCTTTCTTGCAACAACTTTATGAAGTGGGTGTCCATTCCTGTCTGCCAGAAAGAAACTGAAGCCAGAAAGATCACTGTTTTATCAAAAAATATAGAATAAAAAAAGATTTTTTAAAAAAGAATATAGAATATAGTTTGGGGAGCTATTCAAAATATCCAAAAGTGTGACCTTTGGCTGAAACACTCCAGCTTTTTGCTCCTGTGAGTAGAGGAGTCAGTCATATTTCTACAAGCAGAAGCATATTTTCATAGTTTATTGTTTGTTACGACTATTTGGTCATTGACATTAGAGTTACACTACAAAGTCTGCTTATGAGGCTAGGTTTGAAATTCCTAAACTTTCAAAAACAAAGGTGCAATTAAAATGGTCTGGTGCTAATTTTCCACAGTGCAAGAGTTCTGCTGAGGAGATTTGGCATTTCTTCTTCACCATAACTTTCAAGGGATTGTTTAGGATAGTCCATGAAAATTACTCTTACCATGTAGGGTTACAGTATTTGTCTTGTAAAACATTGATGTTACCTCAAGAAGTGTAGGATGACTGATTTTAGTTATCCATTTTAGCATATGAGTAAATTACTTCACAAATATTGGCTTGTTTTCGAAAATTATTTTGACAGCCATTTCATAAATGGAGTAATCCAGAGGTTTCCTGAAGGATCTTTATCTTTTTGAAAGATATTTGAATCAGTTTACTAAACCTTAGTCCTCAGGAGTGAAAATTTTAATATCTGTTATTTGCCATATTTAACATTTTAAACATTGCTTACTTAAACACTGACACATTTCAGCCCAGGTGCTCTTAATTTCATTTTTTCACAATGGTGTATTGTGAAGTATTCCTCTGTTTATGTTGTAGGCATTTTTGTACTTGAAGAATAAGGTGATGCACTACAAGCCAACATACAATGATGTTATATTCAATATTAACCTATGTGACAAGCTATTCTTGTTTTTTGTATTTAGAGGAATGTATTACTTGTTTTTTCTAGGTCTTGGAACAAATGTTGAAGTGTACAAATGTTTACGAACGTAGCAAGCAGCGTATTCGACTCAGAGAGGTTGGCTATTCTGGATTGGGACTCCTCCTTAATGAAGCACCTGTCAGTACTTCTCTTATTAGAAACCTCACCCATCAGATCCTAAATACAGGTATGACTAAGAAACATCGAGAGGTGTTTCTTCCCTCTATTTTCCTTCTATTTTACGTTACTTAATACTTGACCTAGAAGAGATTTTTTTAGAGGTTGCCTCATGTAGTTTTCAGTAAATATTTGTGGATTAAAAAATTTAATTCTTAATTGACTCTACTTAACAAGAAAAAGAAATTAGGAAAAATATGTGTAACAGATTTTTTATGGAGCTTAAATTTGGATTAAGTATAATTTCAAATGCTCTTAAATTTCTGATTTTTAATGTAAAGTTTTTAGTACTTATTACAAATAAAATTTATGCCATATGCAGAGAGTTTTGATGCATGGACACAATGTTTTGCCATGATCGGTCTATGATCTTGTTGATAATACATGTTTCAAAATTAAGTAATAGTAGAGGAGACACACATTGTGGCTGTTTGTTCAGGCAGATAAGGACAATGAATATCATCATTTAGGTTTAACATAGCGGTGTTGATGAAATTGGGCACATTGTAATTTTTATTCTAGAGCGAAATAATTGTCTCAGCCTTTATGTAGTTACTACCCAGTTTCTTCTCTGATTATATTTGAAATATAATTTTAATTTTTTTTGTTTTTTTCCACCACAGATTCAGTTATTAATTTCAAAGACCTGTTGTCTGTGGTATATATGTCTCACAGAACATACTTAAATGTCAGAGTGGTCATCTGCAGAAAGGTTAGTGAATTTTTCAGACATGTTTTAACAGTAGCATCATCATCAGCTGCAGATAACTTTTATACTAAGTTGTTTGCCACTGCTACAAGTTTTCAGTTCTTTTCTTTTACAAGTAACATAATTTTGTCAACAGTTTCCTTTTTGAAATGAATTAAATTCATAGTCACAAATCAACATGTGAGCTGTTGTAGTATATAGGCTGCCAGAGTGAGCACAACACCTGAATTATTATTTGTAGCGCTACATTATTCCCTGGAAATATTCCCTAAAAAATTATTATGAAAGAATAGTTTGTCTGAAAATTTCAGTGATTATTTGTAATTCATATTTATTTCAGAGTTTCTGAATCTTTTGGACTTTGTGGAAAAACATTTAAAATATTTGTACAGTTATGCCAACCGTGGTTTGTCTTAAACACACATTTAACCTTTAACTTAGGAGCTCTGGCTCTGGCTCACTGGTGTGTACGCTTCTCATTCTCTCCCTGTCTCTCTCTAGTTCTCCAAAACAATCAAAAACACATCTGAATGCTTACTGATAAACATTTGAGTTGTTCTTGTTTTCCCAAGTTCAAAACTGTTATTAAGGGCCCTGCACGGTAGTCTAGTACCTAAACTCCTCGTCTTGCATGCTCCAGGATCCCATAAGGTGCTTCTTCTAATCCCAGCGACCCCACTTCCCATCCAGCTCCTTGCTTGTGGCCTGGGAAAGCAATGGAGGACAGCCCAAAGCCTTGGGACCCTGAACCTGCGTGGGAGACCCCGAGGAGGCTCTGGGCTCCTGGTTTTGGATTGGTTAGGCTCCAGTTATTGCGGCTGCATGAGCAGTGAATCAACGGATAGAAGATCTTCCTCTCTGCCTATCCTTCTCTCTGTATATCTGATTTTCCAATAAAAATAAATAAATCATTAAAAAAACCTGCTATTAAAAATGTTTTATATATATCTTTGCCTATTTGTACTCATTCACCTGTAGAACACACTCTGAAACATGTTAGCTGTGCCAAATGGTATTCACATTTTACATTTTGATAAATTATGCAAAATAGCTGCTATTTAAATATTTCCAAATACTCTGTAATACCAACATTTTTAACCTTACAAACTCAACCCTTGAGAATTTGAAGCAGGTTACAGGTTCATTGATTTCAGTGTGTAGTAGATAAAAGCAGTTCTCAGTGTGGCTTGATTTTGCTCCGTTATAGGAGTGTATAACAGACATAAAATAAGTCCTTTTTAATGAAATCCTTAAAATCATAAAATCAAGAAAAAGTTATTATTTTTTGCCAAGCAAAGCCTAATCTGGAAGGGGAAAATGATGTTCTGCATCATTAGACAATGGTATTTTACTGACTATAACGTTAGTGACAGGTGTCGTTATGACTCATTTCTTTTCATGTTAGTGCTGTCATGCTGAAGTTCTTAACATTTATTGTCACCTCCTGGTTTTGAGCCTTAAGGGAGATTCTCAAAACCCCAAGAGGTACAGTTTTTTTCGTCTACATTGCTTTGTGATAAAAATGCCCTAAAGATCTTCACTGAATTTATATATTTTTTAAAACTTGGTTTTACTTTTAAAGCACTGAAATAAAATAGTGGAGATCATACACATTGGCAGGTCAGTGTCCATGCTTTAATTTGGCCTTACTCCACCCAAGCAGTAGCATTTGTATTGTTCATTGTCAGCATTTTGGAATTAAAGCTGCATTTTTGTTTTGTTTCCACAATAATCTTACTGAAAAAGTATTTTTACAAAAGTAATCATAAACTTTACCATGAAAAAATATGAGACTGGAAAGTGTCTTGGCAGTTTTTATCAAAGATCCCAACCCAGGCACTTCGACAGGTGTTGAGGACATCCCAAGCAGGGCGTTTTAAGGTTTAACATTGTGCTACAGTTCCCTTCTTTCCTGTGGCCTTTTTTGCTTTGTTTCCACTTTGGCCAGAGCTTGTATGGCTGACTGCCTCATCCACCTCCTCTTAGCTCCTCCTTGTCTGACTTTCCTCTTAGAGATCTTGGTAACAGGGAAGCCACAGGTGTTGGGTACCTGCTTTCATGAAGCAGGGCTGCCTGACAGCTGCTGCTCCCCATGCCTGTTTTCCAGTCACTGTCTTAAGTACAGCTCTGCTGTGTATGAGAAGTAGTATGAAAATTAGTTAGAAATAATATTAGTCCCCCAAAGAGTTCTTAATCTAATTAAGAACATAATCTTTTGAAAATATATCCTTCCACAGTATATCATTAACATAATTGAAAAGACCCTATTTTGATATAAATTGTATATTTAAAAATAATTTTATACTCTTAATTTTTGTGCAGGTCTTACAGATTTTGAAGTCCCAGTCAGATGCGGCCCATCAAATATCACAGCAAGTGGGATGGCAAGACACATTTGTTAGACTGTTTTTAAAAACAAACTTTGAAAATGGAAATACTTTTCATAAGTACAGTAAGGCAGTTCCAATGAAAGACAATGATCAAAATATATCAGCAGAAGATGTTAAGAGGAACTTCGATGAAAAGACAGATGAGGAAAAAACCAACTCTTTTGCCTCAGGGAATGTATCTTCAGATCAGTGGAGTTTGGGAGACAGACAGTCCCTTGACTCGAATGCACCATTATTTCAGGAAGATAGTTCTGTGGGAGAATTGTCTTTTAAATCAGAGAATCAAGAAGAATTTTGTCCCAGTATCCCTTCACATTTGAGTTTAGATCTCAGTGGAATTGACTCATGTGAATTGAGTGATAGTAGCAGTCAGATGCCAGACAGCCTGCCTAGCACACCATCCCCAATGGAGTCTGTGAAGTCCTTTTCTGTACAGTCTGACAGAGAAAGCAGCGTCACAAATGATACGGGCTTTAGCGATGACTACTCTTTACTTGAAAGCCAAGAGGTAAAATTCCATGTTTTTCTAAAAGTTTATCTTTTTAATGTCGGCTACGTACTTTTATTCCTCCAAAATACATAAGCAGTTTGAACAATTTTGTATCATATTCATGTTCTTAGTCTCATGACATAAGGCTTAGAAACCTGAAAGTCTTGAGAACAAAGCTTCTGGGTTTATCAAGGCACTTACAAGATAATTAAAATCAGTATATGTGGTAGTTCTTATGATGTACCTTGATAATCTCTTCCTTCCAGTAATTTAATATTATTTTATTTTACAGAGGTGTGAGGAGGAGCTTTTTCAACTACTGACAAGTATTTTGACTTATGTAATGTGTAAAGGACTAGAAAAGTCAGATGATGATGCTTGGACTGAACGAGGACAAGTGTTTTCGGCACTAACCAAACCAGGAATATCCAGCGAGCTACTTCGACCACCAGATGAAATAAAACTTACGTAAGCCATCAGTTAGTGATTTTCCACCCACTTTTTGGAGTGGGCAGGACTTGAAAATAGTCATAATAGGTTAATCAATGACGGGGAGAAAAGGAAAAATTCTGCCCCATGCCTTTTCCTGACTATTACCATTCTTCTGGGGTCTAGAGAAAAAGCAAATTACAGTGTGAGATTTACAATATTGGAGCACTTGTTGCACTGTGTTCTACACTATTGTTCACAATAAGTGTTTGTTTCCATGCAATGGGAAAGGACTTGTGTTTTCATGAAAAGTATTTCTCTTTTAAGTCATTTAGAGTCCCTTGTGAATGATGGCACACTGTAATAGTAGCACACTAGGAAAAATATATCACTATTTTTCACAGGACTGGACCATCTGTGAACAATAATGTTTTTTTTCCCTGACCTTCCCAATTTCCAACTTTAAATAAACCATTTGGAGTATTTCATGTAGATTAGGCAGTAAGTTGTTGCCATAGCTTTTTGCCTAGTCAAATAAAACATAGCTTTTAGTTAACTATACATAATGAAATATACATAATGAAAAAGTTGTTGCAATATTACATTCTATCCACAATGCCGTAATTATATTTTCAATGATAGTATATCATTGGAGAGATTAAAATAAAAATACTAATAATTAAGTGTTGTTGTTTTTCATATTTTTCTGCCTTTCTAAGCTTACAGTGGTTTTAAGAGGACTTTGTTTTACGCTTAGTTTGCTACAGAAGATGTTAGAATGGGCAGTCACAGAAAACAAAGACGCAAAAACAAATCCAGTAACTGCTGAAAATGCCTTCCGACTCATGCTGATCGTACAGGACTTCCTGCAGTCAGAAGGACTAGTTAATTCAAACATGTGGACTGAAAAGGTGCCGTAATAATCCTTTGCAATTACAGTGTGGATAGTTAAGGGCATGGCAAAGAAAGAAATATTATATCCCTCTGTTTCTCTTTAGTACTTAATCAGACATGGTAAGCACTGGTAAGATGTCATGAGCATACAGAAATTGTTAAATGTTGCTAGCATAGTCACTTTTGCCTTTGGCAAGTAAATATTGGACTAGTTTTGAAATATTTATGATTGTTATGGGGGAAAAAGTCATCATTTATAAATTAAAAATTCTGAGCTTGCTTTTTTTTTCTTAATTTCTTCATTGTAATAGCTATTAGAAGATATCATGCTGCTCTTTGATTGCCTGTCTGTCTGGTTTGCTGAAAATCCAGTATGGATAAAACTCTCTCAAATTCAGATCCAATTGCTTCTAGGATTCATTGGGAGTGGCAATCTGCAGGTTAGTTGATTCTTTTTGTTAATTTCTATACTTGTATGCAGCATAGGTGTTATTTGTATGACAAGTGAATAATAATCTTTTTTTGGTGTTTTGATCTTTCCATTCTAAAAAAAGAAGTCCATGATTTTAATCCATAATTTTACATTATGTCTGATGATTTTTGTTCACCCAACTCTAAATACCTAAGTACTGGCATTGTGCTTGATTTTAAAAATAATTTGCGCCATTCCTTCCCAAAGGTGTCTGGGAGAAGCCGGCTCCTGGGGTTCTGGGGGTGCAGGCTTGCAGGGGACAATGGGGATAGTACTGGCAGGATCATGAGGAGACCTGGGGGATCAAGTTCTGGCAGGTGGAGCGAGCCTGGGGATTTCCCCATGCACTTGGTTCTGGGTGAGGTGAGGAGAGGGGAGGGGGCAGTCTCAGGTTAGTATGCTGGCCTAGTGTGCTGGTGGATCAGGCCTGGGAAACTTTGAGTGGGCCTGGATCTTAAGAAGAGTAAGGTCCCAGGCCAACACATCTGCCAGGAACTTGGGACCCTGGTGGGCAGGCAGAGCTCTAGACAAGCTCACAACCGACTGATCTTCAGAAGGCTGGACTGTGGAACCCATGCACTCCTAGGCACAGCAACTGTAGATTCATTAGGGAAAGGGGCAGAAGGGTGTGGGAAGGGAGGACCCCTAGGGAGTGTGTTTCAGGTGAAGAATGATTTCTGAGGGATTCCCAATGACAAGGTTACTGTACTTGCAGGTAAGCGAAGAGGCTAACCTGGAAAGTTTGGAGGGGAGAGGCCAGAGGACCTTTATGGGTCAGACTGAGGCACCAGAGCTGGACTAATTAGCATGAAACAGTGCCAACTGCCACACACTAGCCCACTCAAAGCTAGGGTTGGGAACCTGCCTGGCAGGGCTAGATCACAGTAAACACTAGAGAGTGTCAGAATAGGGGACGGGTCATGTTAGGCTGGACCATGACACTAACTAGCACACAAGAGAACCAGGTCCCAAGATAGATTCTGTGGGGGATATGTGGACCCAACTCAGTGGAACTGCAGTTTCTGCTGGTTTGCATAAGAACTTGGGGGTGGTGATGAGCTGAGCTAGGCATGACCACAGAACCCTTCAACACTCATGAGTACTGGGGTCAAACGCAGGCTGGGCAGGGCCAGGCTACAACATCCACCAGCTCATACAAAGGCTGGGACAGAGGGGGCAGGCTATGCCAGGTAAGGGCCTAGCAACTGCTGTTAAGTATGAGATCTAGGTCTGGAAGAGGGCCTGGTTGGGGAACTTGGGAAAATCCAATGATGGGCCATAGTTCCCACTGGAGACCATGTGGTTCAGACCTGGTGTTGGTCAAGCTGAGCAAGGTAGCTCCACTTATTGGCAAGTGTGGGTTGGTTCTGGAGAGGGGTGTACCAGGCAAGGCTGGGCCAAACTTAGCCCACTGGCAGGTGCAGGAGCCAGGATGGAGTATGGGTCCTGCTGGGCTAGACTATCACACCAGTCAGTTTGTATGAGCCAGGGATGGCAGCAGACTAGACAGGGCTAGGTTACAGCACCCACCAGCAAGAGTTGGGAGTGGGAGCGGACTGGGGCAGATCAGGCTGCAGCATCCACTGGCGAAGGCCAAGCTGGGTGATGGTTGTGCCAAGTTGGGTCAGAGCAACCACTGGTGTGTATAATATCCATGCTTGGGAACAGACCTGGTTGGGGAACTAAGGGGAAGTCTCGGCTGAGATGTGATTTCCATTGGTGAGTGCAAGAACCTGAATGGAGTTGGTGATCTGGGCTGGACATGACTGCAGTATCACTTGTGATGGGTTTTAGACTGGGTCTGGGTTGTGCCAGACTGAGCTAGACTCCAGCACCCACTGGTGATTGTGAGAGCCGGGGTGGATGTAGGACAGACTGGGATAGATCTCAGAACCCACTAAAGCACACAAGAGCTGTGTCTGTGTGTGGACCTCGTGTGGCTGGGCTATAGTAAGAACTGGAATGGGTGTGGGCTGGTTGAGCAAGGCCACTATTCCTGCCTTGGCAGGAGGTGGACTAAGTCTGGGCCACGGATGCACCAGTATGCGAGATCTGCCACTTTGGAGGAGACCTGAGATAGGAGCTTAGGGAACTCTTCTGTCAGGATGTAATTTCTACAGATAGCAAAGACTGGGAGCAGCCCAGACCAGGCTAGGTTACCTTACCTGCTGGCATATGTATGGGTCAGGTCTGGGAGCAAGGAAGGCTGGGCCCATCCACAGCACCCATGGGCAGATATGAGAACCAGGAAGGGGTACAAGACAGGCTGGATCAGGCCATAACACTACACAGTTCACATGAGGGCTGGAACTTGGAGCTGGTTGGGTTGGGCTAAGCTGCAATACTGGCTGGCAAATGCCAATATGAGGTGAGTCATGGTGGATGGGGCCGCAGCACCCACCAACACACGTGAGATCCCGGAGGTTGGGGTGCAAGCCCAGTAGGGGCTCCTTGGGGCTCCCCTGCTGAGGCACTGTCCCCATTGGCAAGCATGAGAATTGGGATGAGGGTAGACCAGGCCAGGCAGGGCTACAACACCTGTTGACTTGTATGTGAATTGCGTTAGGGGGAGAACCAAGCTGGGCTAATCAATTGTACCCACTGATATATGCATAAGTCAAAGTGTGTATGGGTTAGGCTTTGCCGCAGCATCAGCTGGCAAGTGCTAGGACTGGGGGCAAACCTGTCAAGCTAGACTGCAGAATCACTTGGGAAGTCCAAGATCCACGACTGGGAGTGGGCCCAGTAGGGAAACTATGGGCGCCTCTGATGGGTTGCAACTCTCACTGGTGAGCATGAGAACCAGGGCTGGGGATGGGCCTGGCTAAACAGGTTGTGGCACCTATACCAGCATGAGTGATGCCAGTCACGGCACCTATTGGTTTGCATAGGAGACAAGGGTGGAGACAACTGACCAAGCAATTGCAACCACCAGTGTGTGCGTAGGCTGATGTGGGTGACAGAGTCAGAACCCATACAAGCAAGCACAAACAAGAATCAGGTCTGGGATCACCTCAGACGAGGTTTCTTTGGGTATTCTGCCAACTGAACTGCTGGACTTAGAACTCCAGCCATGAGAATTGCAGGTTCTGTGGTCTGACCGTGGGGTGCATGTCAGAACTTGGCTTCCTCAATGGCTTTGACAGCAGTAGACAGCATACCCAGATGCACAGGGAGAATATGGCAGTACATTGGAGCCTGCAGAAGACACCTAATGCCATAGCAGAGGATGGAGAGCAGAACAAATTGATCCACTACCCCAGCCAAACGTTGGCAGCAAATATATGGGTGAATGGAGACTCAGAGTGGACTATGTCAGCCAATGGACCTTGGAAGGATTTCCTCATCCTTGGATTTGAGAGATTGACAGCATTTCAGGATTATCAAAAAACTTGAGCAGGACACTTGGAACATGCCCCACACCGGGGACCCTGTGATAGCATCAGGTGGCCATTCCCCAACCCTGAGTACGGAGATAGTGGGAAGGCTTGGTGCAGCTTCTCCCCTTACCTCCCCTCTTCCCTCAGACACAGCAAAAACAAAATGTGGAAACAGTTGTCTCACTCATTTTCCCCTAACCCTGCACTTTTCTCACCCTAATAAACTGTGAAATATCATCAGAAATAAAATTTAAAAAACCAAATGATAAATTTGGTTGAGGGTTCAGAGTGGGACTAGGCTCTAAGCATAAATAAAGTAGATACTTTGTTAGGAATATTGAGAAGGTACTGATGTTGTGGTGTAGCAAGTAAAGCTGCCACCTATAATGCTAACTATTTCTATCCATCCCCCTGAAATGGTCGCAGAAATTAGCTGAAGATAGTCTAAGTGTGTTAGTCCCTGCCAACTATGTAGGAGACTTGCATATGGCTGCTGACTTTGGCCTGGCTCAGCTCTGGCCGTTGTGGCCATTTGGGGAGTGAATCAGCACATGGGATATGTGTCTGCCTCCCCTTTTTTCCCCTGTAACTCTTTGAATTATATAAGTAAAAAAAATTTTTTTTAAATCAAGTGTAAGATTCTGGCATACATGCTGTTTTAACAGTTGTAGTCTAATGATTCTGTTTTTTGGTAGGTATATGGTTGTTTCTGATTTAAAACGTAGTGTGTGTCATGCAACAAGGTGGAGGAATCCACCATCGGAGGAGGGTTATGGGAGGGGTGGGGGGGAATCCCAGTACCTATAAAACTGTGTTACATAATGCAGTGCTATTAATAATAATAATAATAAAATGTAGTGTGTGCTCATTGTGGAAAATACAAGCATGCAGAGGGAAAATAAATATAGATAAATTCTGTAGCCTATGAGCAAAGAGTTGTAGCCTTTGAAAAAACAACTGTTGGTCTTTTAGTGTATTGTTTCCTTCTTGTCATTTTTTTCTATGAATATTTGTTTCAGATGATTGCAATTATAATACATTGTGAAATTTTTCTGTTTAATTTTTCTTAGTGTTCCATGTTGCTTATTTATTTGAAAGGCGGCTATACAGAGGAAGAGGAAGAGTAGGGGAAGGGAGAAGAGGAATAGAGAGAATGTGATTCATCTTCCACCTGCTCTTTCACTCTCCCCAGCCATGACTGGGGCTGGGTCAGGCTGAAGCCAGGAACCTGGAGCTCCTCGTGGAGCTTCAGATCTCTCATGGTTGCAGGGGCCTCTGCACTTGAACCATCTTCAGCTGCTTTCCCAGGAGCATTAACAGAGAACTGAATTATAAGTGGAGCAGCCAGACCCAAAAACAGTATGGGATGCCAGTGTTGCAACTCTGGCTGCTCTGTGTTCCCTTTTTTCAAAATAGGTTTTTTTTTCCCCCATTTTATTATAAAAAGGCAATATTATTATAAAAAAATTTACAAATCCCTTTTATTGTAGAAAGTCTGGGGAAATGCAGAGAAACCAGACAAAAATCAATATTAGGACACGCAAATGCTATATGCTTGACTTGTATGTTTTTAAAAATAATTTTAAAATATATGAACTGGGAACTTTTAAAAATCATTTTTCTAGGATCTGGCATGATGGATCGGTTGGCTAATCCACCACCTCCAATCTCCAGCATGCCAAATGGGCACTGATTCATGTCCAGCTGCTTCATCCGCTTCTCATCATGCTCTCCTTGTGGCCTGGGAAGGCAGTAGAGAATGACCCCTAGCTTTTGGGTCCCTGATCCTGTACGGGAGACTTGGAGGAGGCTCTTGGCCCCTGGGTTCAGATCAGATCAGCTCCAGCCATTGTGGCTGCTTGTGGAGTGAATCAGTGGACAGAAGATCTTTCTCTATCTCTCCTCTCTGGAAATCTACCTTTCCAATAAAAATAAATATTTTTTTTAAATGGTGATTGTCTGTCTGCTAAAGTAATTCACTTAATTTTAGCTAAAGGCTGAAAGGCAGTTCTCTGCAGTCATGTAATCTAAGGAGATAATCTAAAATACTGAACAATTTTTATAGTCATGTATGTTCATCATAGCTTTTTTCTTTTCTTTCTCAAAAAATAGAACAAGAATAGCTTTCTTGGCTTTTTTCATTAATATTAACCTAATGGATGTTAAAATGGTTGTATTTTATTTTTAAAAGACTTAATTTATTAGATTTGTTTATTCATCTGCAGGTCAAGTTACAGAGAGAAAGAGGGAGAGACAGAAATCTTCTAACTGCTGTGGTTTTTGTTTTTTTGTTTTTGTTTTTGTTTTTCCCAGATGGCTATAGCAGCCTAGGCTAGCCCAGGCTTAAACAGGGAACCTGGAACTCCAGTTGTCTGGGTCTCCTGCATGGGATGGAGGGTCCCAAGGATTTGGGCGACTTTCCACTGCTTTACCTAGGCCTCAAGCCTGCAACAGGACCTCAAGTAGTATAGCTGGGACTTGAACTGGTGCCCATGCGAGATGCTGATATCACAGGAGTTGGTTTTACCTGCTTCTCCACAACGCTGGCCCCCTGATGCTTGTGTTGGAAACTCTGTTCCACTTTAGTTTTGTGCAGTGTGTTTTTTTTTTTTAAATCAAGTGTTTCTGGATAATATGCTTATTTGCTTAACTCATCACTCAATACACAGTAGGGATGCCGTAAACACTCATTAAATGAGTAGATGAGCTATTACAACACTAACAGACCCAAGACTAATCTCCCTAGTCATTTCATTCTCTCACAACGAAAAACATGTTTTCCCTGAGATACTGACATTTGCAGGCTAGGAAAGGAATCTGTTTCCGTTCTAGGGATTAGGCTAGAGCTGCCTACAAAGTTGATTTGGCCAGCAAACTGTTCTCTTCCATTGCAGTGTGTAAGCATTAGGAGATAACACATTAAAAAATAAAAGAAGGGGAAGATTTGCTGGTTGTCTCAAGTGTAGAAAGGACTGTGTAGTTGTTGATTCATTTCAATACCTGAAGATTCTGTACAGGTTGGTCTGGTTCCCTAACCTCCCAGTTGTTGTACTCTGCCAATGATTCTTACCTGTTGTAGCTACACATGACATTAGCTAGAAGAGCTTTTTGAAAATTCCTGGAGCATAGCTCATAGTAATTACTTTAGAATAGGCGATAGGACATCAGTATGTTTTGTAATTCCTCGGGTATTGGGATGAAACATACAAGAGTACTTCAAAAAGTTCATGGGAAATGGAATTAAGAGATGTTTATTTTGGTACAAAACAAGCCTAAAATTCATGCATAGTTTTTTCATAGTAAGCATTTTCCATGTACTTTTTGAAAACCCTGTAAGTTAGGTTTGTGTTTGTGTTTATTGTATGCATATATGCAGAATTAGGGCAGTGATCAAGGACATTATTTTGTATTCCTTGGAAGTATATTTATATATTTAATTAACTATATAAGTTCAGTTTTATTAATACCATGATATTAAGTTAAAAGCAAAACATTGAATATTTAATCTTTTACATGAACAGCATTTTTGAAAAATACATAAGAAATAAACCCCAGAATATTAGCCTTTTAATTTCCTGGCTATAGAAATGTAATGACTTTTTTCTTTATTGGATTTTATTAGAATTAAATTCATTTAGTTACATTCAAAGACTAAAGTTAGGGAGGTTGGTGGAAAATATAGGAGGAGTAGTAAAGCCTCATTTTCTTTCTTTTTTTAAAAAAAATTTTTATTGCAAAGTCAGATATACAGAGAGAAGGAGAGACAGAGAGGAAGATCTTCCATCTGTCGATTCACGCCCCAAGTGGTCGCAATGGCTGAAGCTGTGCCAATTCAAAGCCAGGAGCCAGAAGCCTGTTCCGGGTCTCCCACATGGGTACAGGGTCCCAAAGCTTTGGGCTGTCTTTGACTGCCTTCCCAGGCCACAAGCAGGGAAGTGGGGCCGCTGGGATTAGAACCGGCGCCCATAAGGGATCCATTCCAGTGTGTGCAAGGTGAGGACTTTAGCTGGTAAGCCCTAATGCCTCATTTTCAAGTTATACTTTAAGACATCAGAGATTATAGTGTTGTTTGCTATGGCAAAGGTTTATGTGAAAGATTTCCTGAGATCTCTTCTGTTACCTAGAGTGTTTAAGATCTGTGTATCCAAATCACGTAAGAGAGTATTGGAGAAATTCATAGATATTTTGGTGCAAAAACAGTTTGAATTCTATGTGTAATTTCTTTCTTGATATGTATTTTCTGTGATTTTTCATAAAAGATTCTTTTTGGAATGCGTTAAAGAGAGTCAGAATTTCTTCCATCCACTGGTTCGATTCTCAAATGGCCACGATGGCCAGGGCTGGGCTAGACTGAAGCCAGGAACCAGGGCTTCTTCCAGATCCCCCACATAGGTGAAGAGGCCTGTGTACTTGGGCCATCTCTTATTATTTTCCCAGGTACAAGAGCAGGGAGGTGGGTCAGTAGAGCAACCAGGACTTGAATTACTACTGCAGTGTGGGGTGCTGGCAGCCCAGTCAGTACCTTAACCCGATACACCACAGTGGTGACCCTTAGAGCTTGGCATTGATCATGTGTCAGTTTGCCTTAAAGTGGCATCACTTTGGAATACCAAATGGCCACCAAAAGCAGTATTCAGAGCAAAACATTGCTTCTTTCAATAGTCATTGGTAAAGTGTTCTCCAGAAATTTCTGTTGTTTGCATATCCTGTAAGACTCTGCCTTGTTATAAACTGTATTTTTTTTTAAAAGATTTATTTATTTTTATTACAAAGTCAGATGCACAGAGAGGAGGAGAGACAGAGAGGAAGATCTTCCATTTGCAGATTCACTCCCCAAGTGGCCACAACAGCCAGTGCTGCGCCGATCTGAACCCAGGAGCCAGGAGCTCTTCCAGGTCTCCCACGCGGGTGCAGGTTCCCAAGGCTTTGGGCCGTCCTCGACTGCTTTCCCAGGCCACAGGCAGGGAGTTGGATGGGAAGTGGAGCTGCTGGGATTAGAACTGGCCCGCATATGGGATCCTGGCGCGTTCAAGGCGAGGACTTTAGCCACTAGGCCATGCTACCAGGCCCAAAAACTGCCTTTTTAAGGTTGTTTGTATAGTGAACAACTTTGGAAGTTAAAAACCTTACCTCCGGGCCCGGCACAGTGGCGCAAGTGGTTAAGGTCCTCGCCTTGCACGCCCGGGATCCCATATGGGCGCCAGTTCTATCCCGGCAGCCCTGCTTCCCTTCCAGCTCCCTGCCTGTGGCCCGGGAAAGCAGTCGAGGACAGCCCAAAGCTTTGGGACCCTGCACCCGCGTGGGAGACCCGGAAGAGGCTCCTGGCTTCAGACCGGCATAGCATCGGCCGTTGCGCTCACTTGGGGAGTGAATCATCGGACGGAAGATCTTCCTCTCTGTCTCTCCTCTCTGTATATCCACCTTTCCATAAAAAAATAATAAAAACAAATCTTTAAAAAAAAAAAACCTTACCTCCTTCTAGTACAAAAAGAACGTGATTTTACTGTTCATTTAGTCAAAATAATGCCTCCCTCTATAACAACATCCGATAAGATTATGATTCAGCCTAAATGATTTTAGAATTCCCAGGATATGCCTTGTGGTTCATCATGGTTAGGCTTCCACTTGGAATGCCTGCATCCTATAATGGAGTGTCTGGTATCAAGGCCCACAACTATGCTGATCCAATTTCTTCCCAGTGTGCATCCTGACAGACAACAAATGTGGCTCTGGCATTTGAATTCCAGCCTGATGGTGTTCCAGGCACCTGGCTGTGGCCTGGCCTGGTCCAGCTCTGACTGTTGTAGGCATCTTGGGAATTAACCAGCAGGTGGATGAGCTCTCTCTCTATCTGTCTGTCTCTGTCACTTTACCTTTCATGTAAGCAAAAACAAATTTGAAAAGAAAAGTTCTGTGTTCCCTGTTGCTGGTGTTCCTCTCCAATAATAGGAGCAGTCCCTTTGCATGCATCATCTAGCCCTCTGCGTCTCTCACTGTAGCAATTGCACTTTGGAGAGCAGATCCAAACTCTAACACTTTGTTGCTTTTGCTGTAGATCTTTCTCTGAACCAGGGATCTCTTGTTTTCTGCCAATATCTGTAAAACTATAGCAGATTAGCTTATTAACTTACAAGTAAAATAAGATATGATACCTTCCACAATTTTTGATAGTGTATAAAAATTCGGAACTTGTAGAGTAAGCGTGAACTTCTGCTGTCGCTAATTGTCTGCTTTTTTTTGCTTTTTCTCACCTCAATTGTTCTCCAGGTTTGTGCGGTGGCTTCAGCAAAGCTAAATACCCTTCTTCAAACCAAAGTGATCGAAAATCAGGATGAAGCATGCTATATTTTAGGAAAGCTGGAACATGTTCTAAGACAGTCAATCAAGGAACAGACTGAAATCTACTCATTTCTGGTACCCCTTGTCCGGACACTGGTTTCCAAAATTTATGAACTTCTTTTCATGAACTTGCACCTACCTTCTTTACCTTTCACAAATGGTAGCTCCTCATTTTTTGAAGATTTTCAAGCATATTGCAGTTCAAATGAATGGCAAGTTTACATAGAAAAATATGTAAGTTATCTTTTTTGTACGAGCTGTTTATACTAATTTATTATTTTCATAGAAATGTGTATTAAGCTTTTAATATATTTTTTATGTAAGATTGTGCCTTATATGAAGCAGTATGAAGCACATACATTTTATGATGATCGTGGAAATATGGCACTTTACTGGAAGGGTTGTTATGAAGCATTAATGGTGAATATGCATAAACGAGACCGGGAAGGAGGAGAAAGCAAGCTCAAATTTCAGGTAAAATCATTAAATGTTATAAACGCATTTAATATTCAGATAAGAATAGTATAAGCCAAAAATGTGAATATAAATAATATAATTTGAGAATTATTTTGGAATTGGAGAAAATACTGGTCAATAACTGAAACAACAGTAAAATGTTCTGTTCTTATTACGTGAAAAGTATGTTAAACTGATAGTTTATTAATGAATGCCTCTCGAGGTGGTGAAACATTGCTTAGATGGAAATTTGCAGTGTTAAATGCTCACATTAGAAGAGATGGTAGGCCTCATGCATAACTTTAAGTTTTTACTTTAAGAAACTGGAAAATGGTAAGTAATAAAAACCTATAACAAGTGGTGGTAAAGAAACTAGTAATGATAGCTTTAATGAAATTTTGAAGCAGAAAAACTATAAGGAAAACCAAAGAAATAAAATTCTAGTTCTGTAGAATATTAGTAAAATTGATCACACTGGGAGCAGCTGGGACACAAACCATCATGCATATGGGATCTTGGCACAAAGAAGGGAAAGATTGAGCCACCAGGTTGTCACTCTAGGCCTCAGATTCTGGCTTTGGCATTGCCCTGATACTTGAGAAGTGAACCAGTCAATTGGAGTTCACTGTCTTTCTGTTAAATAAATAAATGTTTTAAGGCTTTTGTTCTCTGAAGGATATCAGCAGACAGAAGATCTTTCTCTCTGTTTCTCCTTCTCTCTGTATATCTGCCTTTCCAATTACAATAAATAAAAATGAATGAAAAAAATGCAAAAAAAAATTTAGCTAGAATTTTTCCTCCTGTGTAATTTTATATTTTAAAACTTTTGATACTTAGCATATTTTGCAGGAATCTATGTCATCACAGGAGCATAAAGGTGTGCATTTTTTGCTACTTGTTGATTAAGAAACAGGAAACAAAATAAAATGTCAACTATGGATTTACATTTAGTATCTCCAACTTCTATAATCATGTTTGATCAAGTAATTATTCTAATTAGAAAAGCATGTTGACGCAAGCTGCTTTCTCATGGTGCGTGATTTGTATTGGTTAAATTTGAAAACTTGCAAATAGATTCTTCTGTTGTTCTTACTGCTGTTTCTCCCAGGAGTTTTTTGTGGAGCCGTTCAATCGAAAAGCTCGCCATGAGAACTTGAGATATAACAATATGCTGAAACAACTTAGCAGTCAACAGTTGGCAACTCTCCGACGGTGGAAGGCAGCACAGCTCTACCTTACATGTGAAAGGGGACCGTGGGCTGAAAGGTACCAGAATGTAATTTCTTACTCTTTTTTTCCAATACCTTCTCCTGCTGCTTTTTATAATGTCCAGTTTATGAAAAAGTACCTTTAATTAACTTTCTTGTCTTTTTGTAAATTTGATTTGGGATAATTGGAAGTATGTCTATATATTTTTTTTAATCATGTGATTATTTCTCCTCCTTTATCCCATGATTTAAAGTGTGTTGGTCCATTTCATGTCTGTCTTTCTGATACCACCTCTTTAAGCGAGGGTTAAGGAAGAAATGTGCTTGAATATTTTATAATGTATTTAATTGACCCTAAGTTAGTTTTGTTTTACTGAATTACCTATTCCTTTGAAAGCCATTTTTTTTTAACTGTGGTGAAATTCATGTAACATGAAATTTACCATTTTAATCATTTTAAATGCACAGTTCATTGGTATCGGATACACAATGCATTTGTAATGTACATTAATCACTACTGTCTGAAATGTTTTTATCACCTCCAGAGGACTCGTACTGCTTCAATGTAGTCCCTGTTAACCCTCTCCCCGCCTCAAGGGCGGAAATTCAATAAATCTATATATAGCAGACTAACTTTTTAGTAGATTATTTTATTTATCTCAAATGATCTTATAAATATCCAAATGGCTGTTAGCAGCAAAAAGATTCCCTATCCCTGTTCTAGTAAAAAGTGTCTTTTAATTTTGCTTTCCATTTCCTAGTGACAATAACACACACTTTTTGATGTATAGCTTCTTGGGAGACATCCTCACTGGAAAGATTGACCCATTTTAATATTGGGTTGCTTGACATTTTACTGATTTGTAAGAGGTTCTATACAAATATGTTCTCTTTAATAGGTCTTTATCAGATATGATTTGCATATTGATCTCTTTTCTTTCTAATAGCTTTTGATCAAATGCTTAATGTTCTTTAAGACAGTAAATGTGAACTTTTAAATAAAATGATGCTAAAGCAATTGTAAAGTACTATTTCTGTTAACCAGGCTTTGTAACTTTCACTAATTTTTTTTTATTTATTTGCTTATGAATAATCGTAGGAAACAGAATCCAGTTCACTGGAAACTAGCCAACGTAGAAAATTATTCCCGCATGAAACTGAAGCTGGTTCCAAACTACAACTTCAAAACCCATGAAGAAGCTAGTGCTTTGAGAGATAATTTAGGTGAGTTCCAATGACTGATTTTTAAAGACTTACTTATTTGAAATTAGAGTTAGAGAGAAAAAGAGAGATAGAGCTTCTATCTGCTGGTTCATTCCCCAGCTGGCCACTACAGATAGGATGGGCCAGGCCAAAGCCAGGGGGCTGGAGATTTTTCAGGGTCTCCTACATGGATGGAAGGGACCCATACACTTAGCCCAACTTCAGCTGGCTTTTCCAGGCCATTAGTAGGGAACTGATTTGAGATAGAGCAACTAGGACGTGAACCTGCTGCCTGTGTGGAATGCCAGCATCAGAGGCAATGGCTTTGCTTTCTGTGTCATAACATCAGCTTCCAAGGGTGGCATTTCATGATTGATATTTAAATGATTAAGTTTTTTCAATGCTGTTACGTTTAATATAAATCTGTGCTGACTTGATATTTCCACTGAGAGTAATTATTCCAGGAAAAAAAATACTTTATTCTATACTTCATTTGAACTGCTGTGTCTCCTGTAGTGAAATAATGTCCTTTTTCCTTAGTTTGTTTCTTGTTGATACTTATATTAGATTTAAATAGAATTCTCAGAAATCCCTTAGATCTTCCTTTTATAACATATTTTAAAGAGTTCTATTTTATATTTATATCTAAAAGCACCATTTGTGTAGCCAAGTATATTAAGTTTCTGCCTGTCTTGCAAGCATTCCCATAGGTGCGCTGCCAGTTCAAATTCTGGCTGTTCTACTTCTGATCCAATTCACTGCTAATGAAGTGAATGTAGTGGAAGGTGGCTCAAGTTCTTGCGTCCCTTCCACTTATGTGGGAGACCCAGATGAAGCTCCTGACTCCTGTCTTCATTATGGCCATCTGGGGAATGAACCAGCAAATGAAAGATCAGTCTCTCTCTGCTTCTCCATCTCTGTGTAACTCTTTCAAAATCATTAATCTGGGAAAATATTATATTTAAAGGCAGGTTTTTCACCTGTCAGTTAAGATACCTGCATTCCTATGTTGGAATGCTTGAATTTAGTTCCTGGCTCTGGCTTCCAGTTCCAGCTGCCTCCTGATATGGACCCTGGGAGACAGCAAGTGACGGCTCATGTAGTTGGGTCCCTGGAACCCATGTGGTAGACCTAGCCTTAGTGGTACTGATTCCTGACTGCTGTGGGCATATGGGGAGTAAGCCAAAGGATGGCAGTGCTCCCTGTCACACACACATTTATGTGTATTTATATATATTTTTATATATATGGATGTGTATATTAGCATATGCTATTTATTGCTTATGTATGTATCAGAATTTTCTGTTATATTCTGTGTGCTTCAGGAAATACCAGTTCAACTCACTTTGTGTTTTATCTTCCAATTAAAGATAGTTTGTTCTTTGTTATTTCTTTTTTTAAAGATTGATTTATTTTTAAATTTTCATTGGAAAGTCATATTTACAGAGAGAAGTAGAGACAGAGAGAAAGATCTTCCAACCACTGGTTCATTCCCCAGGTGGCCGCAATTGCTGGAGCTGAGCTGATCCAGTGCCAGGAGCCAAGAGCTTCTTCTGGATCTCCATGTGGGTACAGGGTCCCAAGGCTTTAGGACATCCTCTTCTGGTTTCCCATATCACAAGCAGAGAGCTGGATGGGAAGTGCAGCAGCTAGGACACGAACCAGCACCCGTATGGGATTCCAATGAATACAAGTCGAGGACGTTAGCCCTTAGTCTGCTGCACCGAGCCCTGTTAGTATTTCTGTAGTACAGATGCACAGTAAAAAATTTGAAACTAGATACCATATTGTAAATCTTCTATTTCTTTCATCACAGGCATAGTAATTTTTAAGGTTATCATGAAACATCAGATTACTCTGTATCAAAGTTCCATTTAGAAATTATGGAAGAACTATCATATCATTTTTTGTAATGCATTCAGAAGATATTTTGTATTTTACAGGTGTCCAGCATTCACAGCCTTCCAGTGATTCATTGCTTTTGGAAGTAGTAAAACAAGTAAAAGTTAATGATATGGAGGAAGATAAATTGGAACTTCTTGAAGAAGACTTAACAGCCAGAGTAAATATGTATGTATAATTATTTGAAGGAATTTTAATTTTTAAAAAAGATTTATTTATTTACTTGAAAAGCAGAATTACAGAGGGGTGGGTGGGAGAGTTAGAGAAAGAGAGAGATCATACATCCACTGGATCTACTGGCTCACTCCCCAAATGGTCAGATAGGCTGGAGCAAGGGCAGTCTAAAGCCAGGGCTTTCTGCCCGTCTCTCATGTGGGTGCAGGTGTCCAACCATTGGGACCTTCTTCTGCTACTTTTCCAGGTACATTAATGGGGAGCTGCATTGGAAGTACAGCATGTGTAATGTGGGTGCCATGGCAGTGACACACCGCAATGCTGACACCCAGAATTTTAGATCACTTTGTTTTGAAAAATGAGATTGTAAAATTGCAAAAGATATTTGCTTGAAATATAAACACTATGTGTTTCCAAGATCCAACAGGTAATGTGGTATTGGCTCTTAGGAATCTATCACTCTTTACTGATACTATTGAGGAAGGCTTTGTAAAATTGGGATAACGTGAAGTGGGAAAAAAGATTCAGTTCAATTGTTAATGAAAACAGAGTATCAGATTTGTGAGATACAGCTAAAGTTGTATTTAGGTGGAAATGTATAGCATGAAAAGTGAAAGCAAAGAAAGAATATTATAAAAGAAGAAATCTATGAAAGAAAATACAAGATTAAAGAAAACAAAAACTAGATATTAAAGAATTAATAGCTAAAAACATAAACCAATAGTCAGGTTGTGGAGGAGTGGAAGAAAAACACAGAAATTATCATTTTCTGGACCCGGCGCGGTGGCGCAGTGGTTAAGGTCCTCGCCTTGCACGCCCGGGATCCCATATGGGCGCCAGTTCTATCCCGGCAGCCCTGCTTCCCTTCCAGCTCCCTGCCTGTGGCCTGGGAAAGCAGTCGAGGACGGCCCAAAGCTTTGGGACCCTGCACCCACGTGGGAGACCCGGAGGAGGTTTCTGGCCTCGGATCGGCATAGCATCGGCCCGTTGCGCTCACTTGGGGAGTGAATCATCAGACGGAAGATCTTCCTCTCTATCTCTCCTCTCTGTATATCCGCCTTTCCAATGAAAAAATAAATAAATCTTTAAAAAAAAGAGAAATTATCATTTTCCAGAATGAAAGAGGAAATATTAGTACAAATATTAAAATGGCTTAATAGGAATACTACTAATAATGATGGCATTATACCAATAAATTTGAACTTAAGTGAAACCAATTCTGTGAAAGCGCTTACTAGTACATTTTCTTAAAGAAAAAAAGATAACTTGAATAGCTTTTGGCATATTTTAAAATTTTGAATTTGCAGTTTGAAAATTTACATGCTTGCTTCAGTAGCACATATACTGAAACTTCCCTAAAGAAAATATGTAGTTGGGCCCAGCATAATATTCTAGTGGCTAAATCCTTACTTTGCATCTTGTGGTCCTGGATGCTCCACTTCCCTTCCAGATCCTTGTTGTGGCCTGAGAAGGCAGAGGAAAATGGCCCAGAGCCTTGGGACTCTGCACCCTTGTGGGAGACCCAGAAGATGCTCCTGGCTCCTGGCTTTGGATCAGCTTGGCTCTGGTCGTTACTGCCACTTGGGGAGTGAACCAGTGGATGAGGATCTTTCTCTGTCTCTCCTCTCTGTAAATCTTATCTGCCTTTCTAAGAAAAATAAATAAATTTGAAAAAAATATGGACATTGTAGTTGTTTCCTTATCTTTTCTTTATGTTACTAATAATCTCACATGTTACAACTTTAGATATTATTAAACCTGAAAATATACTTTGAAAACTTATTTTTTCATTGGAAAGGCAGAGTTACAGAGAGAAGGAGAGACAGAAAGATCTTCCATCCAATGATAGTCCCCAAGTGTTGTGGTGGCTAGAGCAGAGTCAATTTAAAGACAGGTGTCAGGGTCTACCATGGGAGTACAGGGTCTCAAGATCATAGGCCTTTCTCTACTGCTTTCCCAGGCCATAAAAAAGGAGCATGGATGGGAAGTACAGCAGGTGGCACATGAACTGGTGCCCATATGGCCACTAGGCCATCGCATCGGGGCTTAAGTACCATTCTTAAGCACTTTATTTATTTATTTTGGTACAAAATCATAGAATCAGTTGTAATATAGTATTATATTGCCTTCAACATAAACAGTTTCCCTTGGTATTTCTTCAAAGGAAAATCTGATAGCTGCACTTTAGTCTTTCTTTTTTGGGAAGGTTTTTACTTTGTCTTCTCTTTTTGTGAGAACTGTGCAGCAAAAACTGCTGTGTGCATCTCCAAAAACCCATATAAATGCTTGTGCTAATTCCAGATGCATCACTTCTGATCCCGCTCCCTGCTAACGTCCCTGTGAAAGCAGCAGCAGATGCTCCCCTGCTGCTCACAGGGGAGACCCAGGTGGAGTTCCTAGCTCTGGCGTCAGTCTGGCCCAGCCCAGCCAAGGTGGCCATCTGGGGAGTGAACCAGCAGATCCGAGATCTCTGTCTTTTCCTTTCCCTCTGTAACTCTACCTTTCAAGTAGACATTTTTTAAAAGATATACATCACATAACAAAATTAAAACTTTTAAGTGTATAATTTGGTGGTGTCTTATTATATTGCAGTATTACTCAACCATCACTGTTTCCTACTTTATCATAATCAAAAGAAAACCCTGAACCTTGTAATAGTAGCCTGAGATTTCCTCATGTGCCCTGTGTGTTTTGTAGAATTCGGTCACAATAGATTTGCCCATTTTTAAACTTTCCTTATAAATCATATAATATGTGACCTCTGCTTATTTACTTCGTTTTGTATAATGTTGTGTATTTAGTAGTACATTGTCCCTTTTATATAGTTGAATAAAAAATAAATAGCTAAATTTGTGGATTATTAGATTTTGTTTACAGCTATCAATTGATGAATATTTAGGTTGTTTTTATGTTTTTGGCTATTAAGAAAAATATTTACGTAAGTATTTATATGGAAGATGTTGTGTGAACTTAATATTTTCAGTGATGTACAGTATCGCTTAGTTATATGGTAATTGTGTTAAACTTTTTGAGGAATTGCCAGGTGTCCTTTAATGGCTACACCAGCAATGTATGGGGATTCTAATATCCTCATGGGTATCTAACTCTTATTGTTCTATTTTTTTTGCTTTTTAAAAATGTATTAGAACTATATTCAATGGTTTGGATGAAGTACTCTCCCATTTCCCTAACAACTAAAGAGACTTGGCATCTTTTTCTATACTTCTTGGCCATTTATATACTTCATTGTATAAACATTTGTACAAATAGTTTATACATTAACAACCATTTTATTAAAATATGAATCAAAAATACCACACAATTGGGTAAATTGTTTTTCATTTTGATGAAATATCAACTTAATTAAGCACTGGAGTATCAGTACTTTAACATCTTTGTGACAATGGAACTGGAGACAATAAATACATCTGCTAATGCCATTGCTCACTTAAACTTGAGTCACCTTATATTGGATGGAATGCCTTAATTGGAAGGAAAAACTAGAAAGAACAGTTAACCTGCTGGTACCTAGGTGACTTACTGCTGAGTGTAGAAATGTCAGCTCCAGGGGCTAGCATTGTGGCGTAGTGGGTTGTATTGCCTCCTGTAGCATCAGAATCCTCTATGGCACTAATTCGCATCCAGCTCTCAGCCTCCTGCTGGCGCGGCTTCAGTCTGGCCGACCTCAGCCAATGCGATCATTCAGATGGTGAGCCAAAGAATGGAAGGTTCTCCTTGTTCCTTCCCTTTCTCTCTAGCTTTGCCTTTCAAACAAATAAATCAAAAGAAAGGAAACAAGGAAGGGGAACTCTACTTATTAGCATAATGTCATTTAGTAAGTACTTCAGGACAGTTACTCTCTGCTTCTAGATTTTCCATATTTTGCTTACATCCAGGATTACAGTGACTAAGACTGATTTTATCCCAGAAGGAGTCACATGAGAAAATAATCAGCAAAGTTGGTGATACCTGCAGTTTTTTCCTGTGACTCCTTTTGGAATAAAATTCTTTTTACTGTTTTCTTTTTAATTACAGCCAAGAAATTTTTGTTAAAAAGCAAATTTTGGTTTTTATAGTGGCAAGAAGAAAAATGAAATAATGTGTATATATATAGTATGAAAGTTACTCCAACCCAATAATACAAGATATTTTGGTAATTCTGTTTAAGATGAGTAAGTCTTCTGTTTACTTCAGGATAGAAGATAGAGATGACATATTCATAACGCCAAAAAAAAAAAAAGAAAGAAAAACTATCGGGCCTATCGCTTTAGCCTAGTGGCTATAGAGTCCTTGATTTGCAAGTGCCAAGATCACATATGGGCACCGGTTCTAATCCCGGTGGCATCGCTTCCTATCCAGCTCCCTGCCTGTGGCCTGGGAAGGCAGTTGAGGACAGCCCAAAGCCTTGGGACCCTGCACCCATGTGGGAGACTTGGAAGAGGTTCCAGGCTCCTCACTTTGCTTCAGCTCAGCTCCAGCCATTGCACTCACTTGGGGAGTGAATCATTGGACAGAAGATCTTCCTCTCTATCTCTCCTCCTCTCTGTATATTTATCTCACATTCTAATAAAATAAATTTAATTTTTTAAAAATATGAAATAAAAAACAATTCTGTCAATCAAAAGTTCTATAACCAGCAAAACTGTCCAGCATAAATGAAGACAATGGTGCTAGGACAGCTGGGAGATCACATACAGGGGAGTGCTTGTGGACTCCTGATGCGCCATTTTCAAAAACTCAAAATAGATCATATAGCCATAAATTTTAAGATTATAAATACATCACCCTGAGAAGAAAACACAGGAATAAATTTGCATGACTTTGATTAGGCAGTGGTTCTTAAAACACATGCTGGTAAAAGCCTAAGAGACCAAAGAAAGAAACAGATAGATCGGTTTTCATTAAAATTAAAACTTCTGGGCCTGGTGCAGTAGCCTAGTGGCTAGTCTTCACCTAGCAAGCACTAGGATCCTGTGTGGTCACTAGTTTGTATGCTGGCTGCTCCACCTCCCATCCAGCTCCCTGCTTGAGGCCTGGGAAGGCAATGGAAGACTGCCCAAAGCCTTGGAACCCTGCACTCGGGTGGGAGACCCAGTGGCTTCGGGAGTCAGCTCAAATCTGGCCATTGTGGCCTCTTGGGGCAGTGAACTAGCAGATGGAGGATCTCTCTGTGTCTTGCCTTCTCTCTGCGGTTCTGCCTTTCCAATAAAGATTTTAAAATCTTTAAAAAAAAAAAAAAAACTAAGCTAAAATCTTCTGTGTATCAGAGGGTCAGTTTTTAATTCTCTTGAAAACCTGTTTTAGGGACCAATATTGTATCCCTTTGTGTAAAGCCACTACTTGCAAAGCCACTGCCTGTAGCATATGCAGTTTAAAATGGTATTCTTTTCCATTTAGGCAAAATAAATTAGTAAAAGTATTTTTTTGTTCATTTGGTGTATTTTGTTTTCATAGTGACGAGAAAGAGGAACAGGATCAAAAAGAAAAACTGGTGTTGACGGAGGACTGTGAACTCATCACAATAATTGATGTAATTCCTGGCAGGTTGGAAATCACTACGCAGCACATTTACTTCCATGATGGCAGTCTTGAAAAAGAGGATGGTGAGAAGCTTGGGGAGAATGTTGTTTGCTGGTTAAACACATAGTTTATCAGTCGTAGGGTGAGATGAAAACAGGAAAAGGAAACATGAAATTTTAGTGTATCATGCAAAACTAGAAGTGGAATGTCAGCATAGGATTAACTTATCAGTAATCTGTTAGGGAGAATATTTTATATTTAGTAGATGTGACCACGGAGAATTCCTGTGACCTAAAGTTACAAAGCACAAATTTATTTTATTTTGTCTCAGTATGTATACTTATTCTTGGGCTTCTCAGCCAATCTTTTGTATGATTAAGATGCCAACATAAAGAGAAAAGGAAAAACTGTCTCAAAGATACAACAGTTTTTGTTATTCTCTATTCTTATGGAAAGGCAGGAGATTAGCTATACAATTTAAAAATTTTTTTTGAAAAATTTAAACATCCAATAAACTGAACAAATGACTTTTAAGATGAAATACAGCAACTGAGTTCCTTTTCCTTAAGTGCTACCTTTTTTGGAGCTATTTTTGTTTAGCTGAGTAATTTTATATGGTATTTCCATGACAGACTTTCTTCTTTTTCAGGGGTAGGCTTTGATTTCAAGTTGCCTCATTGTCAAGTTCGAGAGATTCATTTACGGCGTTACAACTTAAGGAGATCAGCCCTTGAGATTTTTCATGTTGACCAGTCCAATTACTTTCTCAATTTCAGGAAAGAAGTATGTAATAGAAACTGCTGCCTCTCTGGCAATCCTAAAGCATCCTCTTGAAATAATTTTCTGCCTAATGAGCTCTGATGACACTTTAGACTGTATATAATCTTTTATCAAGACAGAGTAGAGGAAAAATACATACCCTGGGGCTAATCAGTGTGTGCAGTTTTGTTGGAGTTTATCTTTGAGTGTCCGAACAGTGGTGCTTTTCAATTTTTGTATAAATGAATAGATCAAAAAGTCAGTAGAACATTGAATAAGAATCCGAGAGTATGGAGTCTGATAGTGCATGGGTTCAAATTCCACAATTTTGGGGCATATTTTTCTTCTAGAAATGCAATAGATCCTTAAATAGTATAGCTGTTAATAAGCACAGATTTGCAGCCAGATTACTTGGGGCCAAGGTCTAACTCCATCACCAGCTGTGTAATCTTGATCTTGTTAGTTATGACACTCAGTTCCAACCTTCCCATTCTTGATCACTTGGAGTCACACTTGTAGTACACTTTTCTTAGCATACCCATTTTCTCTCTGTTAGGTGTCATGTGTGAAAGTGAATGTGAGCTTTTTGGGGATTAGTGACAAAGCTCCCCAAATGGAAGAGAGCCCCCAGGGCTGGGAGTCCATTGTGCAGTGATGTTTTTCTGTTATTTCCTTTTTCCTTCCTTGTCCACCTATTGTATGCAGTGAGGCTGGTATTTGGATTAGCTCCCCTGCTTCTGTCTACACATATGGAAGAGGTCACTAATAGGTTGATATTGTCCATACCTTATCTTATGTGCAGTCCTGCCTCTTTTCCTCTCTTTATATTCTATTTAAATTTTGTGTTTCACCAAGGTTTGTTTTTTTTCACATGGACGGGATTTTCTGGAATGTTTCCAATGTCCACTCCTCTTTTTCTGATCCTGTCTCTGGTGCCCTCTCTCTCTATAGGGCATCTTTCTTAACAAACTACTGGCATGTTTGTTTCTGACTTGGCATCTGCTGCACGAAGAAGCTGATTCTTATAGAAACATCTAATTTTCTATTCATATAGAAGTCCAGGTTTACTTATAAATAATTTGATCCAGTTGTTTAAATAACATTTCCTATTTTTATAAGAGGATACCTTTTATTATTAAAATACTCCTTTGTGTAAAAATATTAAAAAATATCAAAATATCAAAAGCTGTGTCATAAAATTAAAATTTGATGAATGCCATGTATTATCTCTTAATGCCATATATTTCTGTATCTTTTAGTTACAAGGTTTTTAAAAACAAATGTTAGTTTTAAGTTGTTTATTTTAGTTTTACTTGACATACGTAGAGTCAGATAGACATTTTCTATCCACTGGTTGTCCATAATATCCAGGACTAAGCAAACCCAAATCCAGATGCTGGGAACTCAGTCTAGGTCTGCTACATGAGTGGCTGAGACCAAACTGCTGAGTTACCATATACTGACTTTCCAGGGTGCACTTCAGTAGGAAGCTAGAGTTAGGAGCAGAGCTGAGACGTGACCCCAAAGCACTCCAGTATGGATGCAGATATCCTAAGCACTGTCTTAACTGCTACACCAAATGCCCACCCCTTTTCACAGATTTTTTTTTTAAGATTTATATATTCATTTCAGATTCAGTTACAGAAAGAGTAAGAGGCAGGAAGAGATGGAGGAAGAGAAAAGGAATGTGGGAAAGGGAGTGAAGAGAGAATCTTTTGTTCACTCTCATGATGACCACAGAGACTGGGGCTGGGTCGGGCTCAACCCATGAGCCGGGAGCTTCATCCATATCTCCACTATGGGTACCATGGGCCCAAGCACGTTGACCATCTTGCCCTGCTTTTCCCAAGTGTATTAACGGGGAGTTGGGTCAGAAGTGGAACAGCCAGGACTTGATCTGGCACCCATAAGGAATGCATGCTTCATAGATGGCAGCAATACCAAAATGTCACAATGCCACCAGCTCCCCACTTTATATGTGTTAAAGCGCATTTGTATGCCATTCCTAATTTTAATGACAATCTTGTAATTAAAATATGAAAAATTCCATTAATTTTTTTATGGATGAAAAAGCTAAAATACAAAGATGAACTTGGGTACTTCGCATTTGTGTAGCTCTGAGTAATTCACAATACCGTAAAGATTACTATAAATTAGATTAAGTAATCTGATTGATTTATCAAGGTATCTAACTAATGGGAGGACTAAATTTGAGCTAAACTTGAGAAAATTTTCTGCTTCAAACCTACTAGTATTTCCATTACACAGTTATAATTCTTGCAAACTATACATGGCTTGACATTATGAAATGTTTTAGTTTAAAACCTTGGACTGGGTAATAATTATAAGCAATAGAAGCTTATTTGGCTCATGTTTCTGGAAGCTGGGAAGTCCAAGAATATGGTGCTACCATCTCTTGACTAATACTCTAAATATCCTACAAAACCACTGAATTATGTGCTTTAAAACACGAGTTGTCTTAGTAGAGCTGTCATGAAGACTAATCCGAGTTTTTCTTCATCACATTTTAAACTGCAAAGTGCCGTTGTTAATAGTTCGTCTCAGAAAAAGGAAATAGCAGAGTGATCACTAAAGACTTAGAGGATAGAGAGATTTAATCATGGCTTCCAAATTCCAATTAGGGAATAATTTGTTCTAGTATTTTATAGTATGGCACAATAACTGTAGCCTACAAAATTTGTTTATGTTTTAAAGTAACTAGAAAAAAGCCTGATACTTCCGATACATATGAATGACAAGCATATGAGGACATGGGAATGGTAGTTACTCTTATTTGATTATTACACATTTTGTCAAGTTATCATTATATATGTGTTGAATTGTATGCATAATTAATGCATCAATTAAGATTAAGCCATTTAATCAAATGAATTAATCAATTAAAATCGAATCCTTGTTTTTCTAGGTTAGAAACAAAATATATAGCAGACTGTTGTCCCTTCATTCTCCAAATAGTTATGGAAGCAGATCACCACAAGAGTTATTTAAAGCATCAGGATTAACACAGGTAAGAAATTTATATCACTGTTTGGATGATCCTTTTATATCTCAAATATATACTTGAAATTAAAACTTGACGCTTCTGATTGTTTTAATTTTTATTAGCTGACAATGTTTGAATCCTCCTTTGGTTCCCTCACGTACAGGGCCCTCCCTCTATTTCTTATGTCAGTTAATTAATGTATATACCCTTCAGTAATTTTCCTTTCGGACTCCTATTGTGGCATAAAGAGTTAGTGCTCGTCAAACCTGGCTACTCCACTTTAATCCAACTCCCTGCTAATGTGCTGTTTGTGGGATGACCTAGCAGCTAAAGTCCTTGCCTTGAATGCTCCAGGATCCCATATTGGTACCAGTTCTAATCCCAACAGCTCCACTTCCCATCCAGCTCCCTGCTTGTGGCCTGGGAAATTAGTCGAGGATGGCCCAAAGCCTTGGGACCCTGCACCCACGTGGGAGACCCAGAAGAGGATCTGGGCTCCTAGCTTTGGATCAGCTCAGCTCAGCTCCAGACCTTTTGGCCACTTGGGGAGTGAATCATCAGATGGAAGATCTTCCTCTCTGTATATCTGACTTTGCAATAACAATAAAGAAATATATATACATATATGTATATATATGTTGAATTTCTATTCTTTTTCTTAATTTTTAAAAGGAAGTTGATTTAGGAAATGCATGCAGATTTAGCTCCCTAGTAATAAACCTTTATTTTTCCTGAGCTCCATTCCTTTTCAGTACGAATATGGTAGATAATGGTTACAGAGAAGCAGTATTAGTTCTGTCAGTGATAGTTGCTGATTTCTATGAGATTAAAAAAATAAAATTTTGGTGTTGCTTTGTTTGTGCTGTCTAGAAATGGGTGAACAGAGAGATATCAAATTTTGACTACCTCATTCAGATAAATACAATGGCAGGACGGACGTACAATGACCTTGCACAGTATCCTGTGGTAAGTTGTATATAAATCTAGTAAACATGAAGTTGCCTTATAATTTTATAATACATAAAAGTTGATGCAGATTTCTTCTTATTTTTAACAAATATCATTTTTTTCCCGAATGTCTTTGTTCTGTGAATTTTAAGAAGTGTACAAGCATGAAGAATAACTTAATAAAATATTTTTTCTTTCACTATGTTGTATGTATTCCAATGGATTTATACGAAATAATGTTTCTGATTTATTGAACTAGTGAGTAATAAATGCTAGTGACAGAAAAACTATTTCTAAACACTATCCCCTTTTGCCTTTAGATAAGCATTTGATACTAAATATGGGAACATAATCTTCCCAAGAAGGAATGTCTGTATTGTAAATTGTTCTTTTAGTTTCCCTGGATTTTACAAGACTATACTTCAGAAGAATTGGACCTTAATAACCCTGCTGTATTCCGAGATCTTTCCAAACCAATTGGAGTAGTTAATGATAAAAATGCCAAAACTATGAGAGAAAAGTAAGTGCTTTTTATTTCTTTTCAAAGACACCCATTGCATTTCCCGTTTTTTCTCTGTGATCTTGTAGATAAATGTTCAGTTAATGACTTTTGGTAATAAAAATATTCTAAGTTGTTAGCTAACAATTTGTTTAAGTGGATGGTTCTTTATCGTATATTTTAAATTCTTCATTTGCAGTCTTCCTCAGTACTTTAGCTGTAAAGTATATTTTACCACTGGACATTTGTTTTAGGTGTGTACATTCGAACACCACTATTAGCCAAACATTTTTTCCTAGCAATGACCAAAAGATTTTTGGCTCTTTAAAATAACATTGTCCTGGAGGTGGGTGTTTAGCCTGACGGTCAAGATCCCTGCATGCAACATCAGTAGGCCAGTATTCTGCTAATGCAGTCCTCGGGGAGGCGGGGGAGAAATAAGAATGGCTCAAATAATCGGGTTCCTGCCAGTCACAAGGGCATCTGGGATTGATTTCCCAGTTCAAGCCCAACCGTTGTGGCCCTTGTGGGGTCTTAGGTGGTAACCAGTAGATGTGAGTAAATAATTGCCTCTCTTTCTGCCTCTCTCTTTCTGTCCCTCTTTCTGTACTTCTCAAGTTAAAAACAACAATAGAAGGGAAAAAAAAACCTGGAACAGGAAATAATCATATAAATTATTTTTAAATTATTTATTTATTTAATTGAAAGAAAGAAAAAAGAGGTGGGGTAAAAGGAGACAATTTTGTCTATTTGTTGGTTCACATTCCAAATGGCTGCAATGGTCATGCTGGAACAAACTGAAACCAGGAGCCTGGAACTTCAGAGAGGCCCAAGTACTGGGCCATCTCCTGCTGCCTTCCCAAGTGCATTAGCAGTAGTACTGGATTGGGAGTGGAAGCAAGCGAGCATTGAACTGTCTCCACTATGGAATGCCACACGCACAGGCAGTGGCTTAAACTGACTGCACTGCAATCCCAGGCCCAGTGCAGATAACAGTTTATTGGCAGCCAAAGATTTAAGTTTTGACTTTTAATGGTATAGCTTAGTCTTGATATAAACAACTTTAACCTGAAAATGTCTTCAGATGCAAAAATAGCCTGTAAACTACAAATTACATTTAATGCCTTTATTTTGAAACTGAATATTAACTATTGACTCATGCATTAGATGAATATTCACCAAAAGGTTAATTTTAATTATCTCTGGGAAATGGATTTATTGTTGACTTCGAGTTTCTTGTATTTTAATTCTTCATGTTTTAAAATTTTTGTATCATGAGTATTATATTATTGCATAGCACTAAATGGTTCTAGAATCTAGTATTATTAAAATTTCATTGCTTAGGAAAAATATTAGGAATAAAATTTCCTTCATTTATTATTATGTTGTGGTGATACAAATGCATTGTCTTAAAAAGCTCTGTTTTTGGGACTCTCACTGCAGTGTGCTAATCTAGGCCTCTCCTGCTCTGCTGGCAAAGTGTTCGGGTCCCAGTTCTAGTCCTGGCAGCTATTCTTTTGATCCCTTTCACTACTAATGGCCTGGGAATGCAGCAGAGAATGGCCCGAATGCTGGGCACCTGCCCCCATGTGAGTGACCCAGAGGATGCTTCTGGCTCCTGGCTTTAGGTGGGCCCCACCCTGGCTGTACAGCTATGTGGGGAATGAACCAGCAGCTGGAAAATCTTTTTTTCTCTCTTTGCCTTCTCTAATTCTGTCTTTCAAATAAAAATGAATCTTAAGAAGAAAAAAGCTGTTTTCAGCATTACAACATTTCTCTCACTTTTGTAATTTTATTATTTTGCTATAAAACCTTAATTTTTTTCAGATATGAAAATTTTGAGGATCCTATGGGAACTATTGATAAGTTTCACTATGGTACTCACTATTCAAATTCTGCGGGGGTCATGCACTATCTCATTCGTGTAGAACCATTCACCAGCCTTCATATCCAGCTTCAGAGTGGAAGGTATGTTTTGGGTAAATACTCTATTTCCTTTTGATTATAGGTTAATGGTGCAAACCATTTCCCTTAATGTCTTGCCCTTTATGCTTTCTGTTAGGTTTCAGTTTAAATAATAACTAACCACGCTTGTTTGAGGGGTCTCAAACTGACTTACACAAATAGCTTTCACAGAAAATTGCTTTTCACTCAGTGATCTCGGAATACCTTTGGAATCCATACTGTTTTGAGGACCCTAGCAAAGATTTAGAATTGGATCTGCTATGCCTGAAAGTCAAACCTAACCCTGCCTACGTAATCCTCCCAGGAGTATTTATCAAGAGAAGTAGGAAAAGCTAGCAAGAGAAACTGTCAACACTATAGCAGCTATGACAGATCTGTGATACCACTGTGTTAACATATGCCCGTGAACATCATTACCTACTATCTTTCATATTTTCCTGATAATCCTAAGGAGACTGACTTCTCTGAGAATACCCTTCTTGCTGTGTCCTCCAGCTATCTGCATCCCTACACCTCTGTGTTGCCTTGTTCTTTAACATTACCATTTTACCTTTCCCACCTAATCAATAACCATTTAAACATTGCCTATTTTATTTTTTCCTTGGAGCTTCATCTCTTATAGTTAACCTCAGACTTCCATGTCTGAAGTCCAATGAGACTTTGCTTTTAAAAAAGAGATTCTGTCAGGCTGGAAATCTTGTGTCTTAGATACTCCATTTCTGTTCCAGCGCTTAGCTTATATCCTGGGAAAGCAGTGATGGATGACCCAAGTCCTTAGGCCCCTATATACCCATGTGGGATACTGGGAAGAAGCTGCTGGCTCTCAACTTTGGATCAGGTCAGCTCTGGTCATTGCAGCCATCTTGTAAGAGAACCAGCAGATGGAAGACCTCTTTCTGTGTCTCTTCTCTCTCTGTAAAATCTGCCTTTCAAATAAAAATAAATCTTAAGAAGAAAGAAACTCTGTCCCCAAGATTAGTAACCACTCCCAGATGTTATGCATACTGGGATAACCAGTAATTTTTTCTCCCTCAATATGCAAGAAAGTATAATTGAGTCTTTTTGGATATTAGTCATTTTATGAATAAGTTATTTTTTCTCATAATTCTAAAATTCTGTTTTGATGTCAGTGGACACAATGAGGAAAATGAAAACTGTATATGTGACAAGGGATTTGCATCTAAAATATGTACAGACAACTAATTAATGAAAAGGCAAATAGGTGAAATTAGAAGTGAACAAAGAGGAGTTGGTGGGAGATACATCTGGGGACACCTGCACCTCCCATAGGAGTGCCTGGGATCTAAGTCTTTTTCCATTTTCATTGGATTTACTGTTTCTGTTCTTCCTACCTTTGAAGTATGTAAAAATAAATAGATTTTCAAAATAAAATGATAATGAACAGATAATAAATAACCAAGGTGTTTTGAGGGGTCTCAAACTGACTTACTGAAATAACTTTCACATTTTTCTAAATGTGAAAGAGAATCTGATCACATTTTTTCCAAAGAAGACATACAAATGTCCACTAAACATAGGTAAAGATTCTCAATATTGAGGCAACTGGGTGAGCTGCCATTGCTGGCAATGCTGGCATGTCACAGGAGTGCTGTTTCAAGTGGAAGCTGTTCCACCTCTGATCCAGTTATCTGCTGCTACACCCAGGAAAGGAGTGGAGGGTTCTAGCTAAGCACAATGTGAGATACAGGTGCATTTCCAGGTTTCTGGTTTCAGCCTGGTCCTAGCTCACTGTTGAGTCCATTGGGGGAGTGAACTAGCAGATGGAGGATCCATATCTCTTTCCCTCTTTCTCTGTTTTTCTCTCTGTTACTCTATCAAGTAACTAAAGCTTTAAAAGAAAAAGTTTTGGGCCCACCATGGTAGCTAAAGTCCTCACCTTGCATGTGCTGGGATCCCTTATGGCCGGTTCATATCCTGGCTGCTCCACTGCTCTCCCAGTTTCATGCCTGTGTCCTGGAAAAGCAGTAGAGAATGGGTCCCAAAACCTTGGGACCCTGCATTCACTTGGGAAACCTGGACAAAGCTCCAGGCTCCTGACTTTGGATTAGCTCAGCTCTGGCTGTTGCAGCCACTTGGGGAGTGAACCATTTCAGAAGATTTTTCTGTTTCTCCTTTTCTGTGTAAATATGACAGTCCAATAAAATAAATAAATCTGTTTTGAAAAGTTTCAAAATTTAGCTGGAATTTCTCAGGGCTGATTATGTTTTCATTTTTACCAAGATTAAAATTATTGCATGAGAGCATGGATGTGCTGACGATATGATTTGGAAGACAGGATATTTTAACAAGGGAACAAATCGTGTTTTAGCCATTAGAGAAAGAATAAGAAAAAGAGTAATCGTAAGAAGCCTGAAGAGACTTAAAAGATTTGCTTCATGCCTTCTTTTTGCTCTCATTCCATTTTCACATGCAGATTTGACTGCGCAGATCGACAGTTCCATTCTCTCCCTGCTACCTGGCAAACTCTCATGGATAACCCAAATGATGTGAAAGAACTTATTCCTGAATTCTTCTATTTCCCAGAGTTTTTGGAGAATCAAAATCGTAAGAAATATGAATGAAAAAGTCAATCATGTCCCAATGGAGAACACTGAAAAAAATGTCTTTTAAGACAGCTCTGTAGTGTTCCATGGGTTATTTAAGGTTCATTCTGCCTGTAGTTTACTCTGTAATAGGTAATAACTGAGGCTCAGGTACAAGGCTCACTTACCCAGGAAGTACCATTAAGAACTTAATTAAGAGGCTTTGGTTAAGAGTAAGGTGTTCATTAGAGAAATGCAAGTGGCCGTATACTATTTCAGCTGTGTATCCCATTTGGCTTCAAAGTCTTGAGTTAGAGAAGATGCAGGTTTAGGCCTGGAGTGCTTGGACCAAATCTATTGGCAAACTCATGTTTTTATTAGATTTTCGTTAGAATACAACCCAACCTGCCAAGTCATTTATGTAGCATTTATAGCTGGTTATTATGATGCGACAGAGACTGCATCACTCACAAAGCTAAAAATATTTATATTTTAGTCCTTAGGAAAAATTTGCTGACTCATATGTTAGAGACCATTACAGGAGTCAAATTGAAAATAATGACAGGGTATGTTATTACTCTATGGAAATCCGTATTATGTTTTTCAAATAAAGGAAGCTTGGAGCTAAATACAGTCTTCAAAAATATACAAATACATTCTACATGTGGTAATTTTATGTTTTTAAGCACAAAATGCTGGTGAGATTTTTGAGTATTCAATTCAGCAGTGTTAAAAAGGTCATTGCTAACTTTCTGGTTCCTTCTGGCATGTGTAATGTGAAAGTTTCACACGTTTTTGTTCAGTTGAATCAGTTGTTCAGCTGGAGACAGCACTGTCATTTTGATCTTGTGCTGTGAAACAGTGTGCTGGAGACACGGCATCAGATTCTCAGAGTAAGGCAGTCAGAAAGAGTTTAAGAAAAGGTAAATAAGTTGAACCTGCTGACTGGAGTCTGAGCCTAGTGCAGACTGAAACTGGATGTAGAACTGAAGCCGCTTTTGGCCTGACTTTATGATACTCATCAGAGCCGGGTGCTGTCTACAGGTGCTATCTCTTTCCCATTGTATCCTCATTGTCAGAAATCAAGTGAGAGAAAGCAAATAGATCGTATGCCTTCACGAACAGATTAATAAAATCAACTCAAATTGTGCAAAGGAATTGTAGTGATTTCCCTAACAAAAACCTTGAAGTGTGGTGCTTTTGTAAAGGCCAGTTTCTTTATGTATTTTTGTTCTGCCATTCTTTGTCTTGGGCTGTTTCCTGTAATGTTTTGCAGATGACAAAAGCAGCTTGGTGAATCATAGATTCATTGGTGTCTGTGAAGGAACAACAGGTGTTCATCCATTATGTCCTCTCTTGAATGAGGAACCCTTTGTCATAACCCCTCTTCCTTCTGCAGAGCTAAGTCATACTCCAGTCAGTAAGTCAGGCGCCTAAAACGGACACTGAGATACAGGGTAATGCTGTTTAAACAAGCAAAATAAAGGTTCACCCAGCAAGAGAAAGGGGACGACAAGCAGTATGTGCTCCACAGTGGTTGGGTTAACATAGCCCAGATCCTGGACATCCTCCTGTTCCATGACATTTAAACCTCTCTTCAGCTTGAGACAGTGGCATTTTAAAGCAGCATGCTGCTATTATAGGAATGGAATTTTAAGACTCTTACTTGAAGCTCTTTCGTGTTAACACTTTTCCTCCCACATTGTATGAATAAGCAAACCTTATATTTGGGAAATTTTTGTCAAAATGCTATATTCTGTCTATATATGCAAATTATTATGCAATAATGTACTTAAAATAGTGATATATAAATATGTTATTTTTCCATAAGACAAATATAAAATCCATTCAGAGTGAATTTTAAGTATTAGTTTCACCAAAAAGGTCTATGGGTATATTTTCTAAATCAGCTGATAAAAGGACTATATTACTTATTTTTAGTGTAAGAGGAATACCCAGTATTGCATTTTTTTTTGATAATTTAGGGTGAATTACATACTTTTCCCTGCTTTTCTCAGGAGCAAAAATTCTTGTTCTGGCTTACCTTAAAATTGTTATTTTATTTTTATTTATTGTTAATTAACTAATAGAATGCATTCTAGTAGAAAAGAAGAAAAAAACCACTTACTTGCTTTGTAGTGTGCCTTCATTTGTGTTTGTTTTACTGCAGTAATTTGACAAATTATGTGATCCATTTATCTTTTTTATGTCTTAAGAGTTTAACTTGGGTCGCTTACAAGTTTCCAAAGAACTGGTAAATGATGTCATTCTCCCCAAATGGGCAAAGTCTCCTGAAGATTTCATCTATAAACATAGAAAAGCTCTGGTAAGACTTAATTATCATTGTTTTTCACAGGATGAAAGAAAATATATCTGTTAATTATTTTCCTGTAATGATTTGTAATCTAACATAGATATGTCTTTTAGAAAGCATAATACAGTAATTTATTTTGAGAATATGAATATTCTGAGGTACCAAGAACATAGCGCAACCCCATCAATATGTAACAAATTAGGGGTTGAGCATCTGTGATCCAAAAAAATCTTAACTCTAACATGACCCCAAATTGGAAACTTTTCAGGCACTAACATGATGGTCAAAGGTTTGGATGTAGGGGCTAGCGTGGTGGCACACTGCTTGTGATGCTGGCGACCTCTGTCAGAGTGCTGGTTCAAGTCCTGACTCCTCCATTGATACCTCTTTCTTCTCTCCCAATTTCTCTTTCCTGCTCACCTACTTCATTCTCTTTCTTTTTCTGTGGCTCTGCCTTTCAAGTAAGTAGTATAATATAAATATTAAAAGTTTTAAATTTTGTTTGAAATTGAAATTGATTATATCTATTTAAATATTCAAAAATTAAATATTTGAAATTAGAAACTTATCTAGTCCCAAGCCATTCCAATAAGGGATACTCAGTTCTGATACTCCAGTTCTTAAACTGTTTTTTCCTGTGTGAGTAACTTTTCTGATTACCAATCTGGAATAATTTGATGTTTTGAAGTTTCTACATGTGTTTAAGATCTACCAAGGATGAGAACATTTTTTTTTTAATCCTGAAAGATCTCACTAAGTTTCTAATAAGAAGGGTAAATTTCAACTAAGGAATGAGTATGGTTTTCAGCTAAAGAGTATGGAGGATTAATTTAACATTGATACTATGTTACTATCTTGGAGATGTTTCCTTTTTTTCTGCACAGTAGGCCAGTTACTACTAATGCTGTCTATCCAAACTGAAATGTTGCAGATTGTGTAACTAATTAAGCCAATATTTGGAAACATTCCTGTTAATACATGCTTATCAAATTTACAAAATTTAGCATTAGGTTATATTTGTAAGTAAAAAGCTATGTGTGATAAGTATTGGGAAAAAAATAATCCAGCTTTTAAAGATAGTCTACTACTGGGTAGCCAGAAGGCTCTTAGATCCTTTACTACAGTACTGTTTAAGACCTGAAGTAGAATATAGGATTTTAGAAAAGTGTACTCCCTATTAATAAAGTATTAGAAATATGTGTTTCAGTTATATATTGCTGTGTATCAAATTGCCACAAACTTCAGTGGCTTTAAAGTAAAGCCTTTTCTTTACTTCTCTTTTTTTTTTTTTTACTTCTCACATTTTTGTGAGTTGACTGGTCTCATTTGGGCAGAAGTGTCAGTCTTGCTTGAGGGTCTCATGCACTTTTGGCCACTGGGATTGGAGTCACCAAGAGATTGTGCAAGAACCCTGAGATGCTTGGCTTTACTCTCTTTCCATATGAACTCAGGCTATCTCCTGTTTGTGGCAAGACCCCAGACCTTCTACATGGCACTCGAGGTTCCACAAGAGTGCAACAGTGAAAATTTTTATGCTTTCTTAACAGTTAAGATTCTGAGTTGGCATAATATCATTTCTTTCTTACAAAGGTTGAACATTAACAAGGACCAGTGCCAGCAACAAACCTTCTACCCTTTAAATGTTGAGATTTAAAAAAAGGCTTTGTTTCTGTCTCTGCTTCCACAAAGAATCTGTTCTTTGGGCCATAAATTACTCACCGTTCTCCTACAGGCAAATATACTTCCTGCCTCTTCAGCCTTCCCCCTCGCATCTCTTGCAGAGATTGGCAAAGTGTCTATAAAAGGCAAAGGCTTTTATTTGCCACAACTGCTTCTGTTATTGTAGTGCAAAAAGGGATGGGATTGTGTTCTACTAATGCATAACTCTAATGGCGAGTGAGATTCAACCCACAGACGTAGTTTGTTTACTGCTGCATTAGGGCTTTAGGTCTAGAGTTCAGGATTTTGTCTAAATCAAGTTTGTGTGAGTGGCACTGCTCAGATGGGACTCCTTGGGTTTGAAGATTAATGTAGAGAGAGAAGTAATCTTCCCTCACTGACCACAAAGCAATGGTTTGACAGGCAGAAGAACCATGGCATTCACTTCCATCCGGAACAAGGAGAAAAACAGGAGGCTGCTAGTGATCTCTGGTGTGCCAGTTGAGAATGCCAGTACAGACATGTTCTCACATCTTCTGTTAGGGTGCTATCCTAATTCTTGAGAATGTGGTTTTCTCTTGTTTTGTTTTGTTTTCTTTCTTTAAGTTATATTTAAAAAGAAAAAAGGTTACAGAGGAAGGGAGAGAGAGAAATGGATCTTTGATTTGCCGGTTCACTCCCCAAATGGTCACAGTGGCTGTTACTAGGCTAGGCCAAAGCTAGAAACTTCATCCAGGCCTCCCCGGGCTGGCAGAGGCTCAAGTTCTTGGTCATGTGTAGCCACTTTCCCAGGCATATTGGAGCAGTTGGATCTTTAACTGCAGTTACGTAGCTTAACTCCTGGTTCACGATGCTGGCTCCTCAGGCTGCTTCCTAATTGCTCTAGGACCTGCATTTGAGTTTTGGCCTTGCTCTCTTAATTCTTTATTTTAAATTAAAAATACCTTTTTTGGCATCAGTGTCTTATGTCAACTTTTTTCCTAACCACAGTAGGTTGTAAAGCAAAGGTTTTTCTTTTCAAGTACAATTTCTATCTCTTAATCTGAGCTAATATAGTTCTTTTTGAACTGTCTAATTTATCAACTCTATTGGACACTACTTTACAAAATAATCCATTCTTGAGGTTTGCATAGCAGTGTAAGCTACTACCTACAGCTCCGGCATCCCAAATGGGCGCTGGTTCAAGTCTATGCTACTCTATTTCTGATCCAGCTCCCTGCTAATGTGCCTAGGAAGGCTGACGACAAAATGGCCCAGTTCCAGCCATTGCAGCCATTTGTGGCATGAACCAGCAAATTGAAGATCTCTCTTTCCCTGTCTCACTCTGAAACTCTTATCTTTCAAATAAATAAGTCTTAAAAATGAAAACAAAACAGCCTATACTCCAGACTAGATGGGATGCTGCTTTGGAAAAAATTTTCCTTAGACTTGTTTTTCAGCTGAGTGGACCTATGAGGTACAACCTTAAATTTATGATATTTTAATAGGTTGTTAGGATGCTGGCATCACAGGTGGTGGCTTACCCGTTGCACTATGATGGTCCTCAACAGGTTGTTTCACAGCCAGTCCTTGAACTGACTAAACTTGTCTGAGGCCATATTTTGACGATGATACTCTGATTCAGTTATTAGATCATTTCTCATTTTGAGCATAATTTCTATGCTGAAAATGATCCCAAAAATTAGTTTTATTTTCAAAGTCAACAAGATCTTAGTTTCTTTTAATTTTGCTTCAAAATCAAGTAGTTCATCTTTTAACCAATCCTACCTTTTATGATAGGGTATATACTTCCATTCAAAACATGTGGAAAATCAGGACACCCCTAATGATCTTTTATAGGCAGCTAAATGAAGCCAGTTGTCACTGTCAAACATCTGTCAAGGTCTCCACATCTAAGTCCGTGAGTTCAAGTAACTAAACCACGGGAGTCTCTCCTCCAGTCTTTAAAGCTGAGTCTTGCAGAGTGCACCAGGTCTCTGCCTGCCACCCAGTCAACCTCTTCATGGGCAGACTTAGTGGAGTCATTTACAGTTATGTTTTCCACCCCAGTGTGGTTTCATAATTTTCTTGATATGTTTATTTTCTTTTTGTTTTTATTGTACTTAGTTTTATTTTCTTAAAAGGCAAAAATGCAGACAGATGTTCTACTCACTGATTCATTTCCAGAATTTATGAAACAGTCAATCTTGGACTAGTGGAAATCAGGAACTTAGAGCTCAATTTACATCTCCCATGTGGGTGGCGGGGATCCGGGTGCTTGTGCCATCACTTGTTGCCATTCTGGATGCACGTCTCTAAGCTAGGCTCTCTAACTAGGAGTCCTCAGCGGCACTTAACCGCCACAGCAAATACCCTTTCTTTTTTCTTAAATGGGAAGTCTCTAGCTGTTTCCGTACGAATGTCACCACAAAGGCACATTTCACAATAACATGAACTCTTTAGTTACTGACATTCTGGCTATTAATAGATTGTATTATTTTCCCCAGCCATTGTTTGGAGATGAGTGTGTCAATATTAATAAATATGCTATATATGTCATAGTGGGTATGAATAGCCAGTTTATGTAGTAGATATTGAATGAATGTTTGACATTAAGAGTTTTGTTTTATTTACAGCCATTTAGGTTTGTACATGAAAATGTTTCTTTTGTTTTTTACTTATAGTTGAAAGTATCTCTATTGATTATTAAATGTGTTTTTTTCAGGAGTCTGAATATGTTTCTGCTCATCTTCATGAATGGATTGATCTGATTTTTGGCTATAAACAAAGAGGTCCAGCTGCAGTGGAGGCTCTCAATGTTTTTTATTACTGTAGTTATGAAGGTATAAACCTACATATTTTTTCTCTTTCATATTATTATTTTTAAAATGTATTTGGAAGGGAGAGAGATATTCAACAAGTAATAGAAACCAAGAGGGGGAAGTGAGATGAAACAGCTCTCTTTTGCTGGTTTATCCCCAAATGCCCACAGTGGCCAGGTTTTGCCAGGTGGAAGTCAGGGGCTGGAAACTTAATCTACTTCTTCCATGTGGGTAGCAAGAACCAAACCAGTTGAATTATGACCTGACATTTCACAGCATGTACATGAGCATTAAGCTAGAATTGGAAATGGAGCCAGGATTTGAACCCAGATGTGTATTGCAGTTGGCTTAACTGGCATCACACCATTAGCCAAACAGTACCCCTTTGAATTATTTTGACAGGATCTATTACTTAATATGTGTTTATTCATGATGTTTTGAACATATTAACTATGAGAAAGATTAGGTTAAAAAATAGCATTCTGTTTGACAGATTAAGAATCTGATGCTTTTTTCCGATTAGTATTAATTAAAAATGTGTAAATTTAATTATGAATCTCAGTATAGTCAAAAGTTTCTGGTTTCTGCTCTCTAGCATACATTTCCATCCAATTGGGTATTGTATTAAATTATCACCAGAAGGTGACAGAAATTGTCACAAGCAGGTATTAAATTATCAGAACTAAATCGTCACTGACAGGGTCATTGCAAACCATTCCCTGACTTTGAAATAAAGCCTTCACAATTGCAAATAAATTCTTTACCTGATAGGTGACACTGTTTAGCTCAGGATCAAAAGCTGATGGTTTTAATAAATAGTTCTTTCTTTTCTAGTTCTAAGGTTAATAATAATGTGAAGTCATGTGAACCAGAGCAGAACTAATGTGGTTTTTTGGTAAATAAACAAGCATATTTTTAACATGCAATATCTATATCCATTCAGGTAATAGATTTGTAAGGAGATATTATTGAATGGCTGTTTAAGAGCCTGGACTTTACACAATTACTAGACATGTCAAAACCTACGTTAGGTATGACTAAACATGTGATCAGTTAAGGGGCCAGCATTTTAGCATAGCAGGGTAAGCTACCACCTGCAACACTAACATTACCTCTGGCCATTGGTTAGAGTCCTGGCTGCTTGACTTCTGATCCAGCTCCTGGAGGATGTGTCTTGGAGCAGCAGAGAATGGCCCACATGCTTGTGCCTTTGCCACCCATTTGAAAGGTCTAGGTGAAACAAGGTCCTGACCCCTGGCTTCCACTCAGCCTAACCCTAGCTACTGTTGCCATTTGAGTAGTGAACCAGTGGGTGGAAATTCTCTCCCCCACCTCTGTTTTTTCTTTCTCTGTAACTCTACTTCCAAATAAATATTTATAAAAGACAAAATGTGGAGTCAGTATTGAGGCATAGTGGGTTAAGCCATACCTGTAAGCACAGCCTGTGCCAGAATCTCAAATGAATGCCAGTTTAAGTCCTGGCTGATTCAGTTACAGTCCAGCTCTCTGGCACTGTGCCTGAGAAAGCAGTGGAGGATAGCCCAAGTGCTTGAATCCCTGCTCCTATGAGGGAAATCTGGAAGAAGGTCCTAACCCAGCCCTAGACATTGGAAGACCTCTTTGGCTCTCCTTTTGTCTCTGCCTCTGCACTACAAATAAATGAAATAAACCTTTAAAAAATGGTTGGACTGATTCTAACACATGGCATTCCTACTCAGATTTTTTTTAAAGTGTGATCTGTTAACTGGAGTATCACTTTTCCCTACCTTTGTGTGTGTGTATGTGTGTATGTGTGTTTTAAAAGATTTATTCTTTGGTCTCTGTGCAATACCCTAGTGGCTAAATCCTTGCCTTGCATGCACCAGGATCCCATGTGGGTACTGGTTCAGGTCCCAGCTGCTCCACCTCCCATCTAGCTCCCTGTTTGTGGCCTGGGAAAGCAGTCGTGGATGGCCCGAAACCTTGGGACCCTGCACCCTCATAACAGAGCCAGAGGAACCTCCTTGCTCCTGGCTTTGAATCAGCTCAGCTACAGCCATTGTGGCCACTTAGGGAGTGAACCAGTGGACAGCAGATCTTTCTCTCCTCCTCTCTGTAAATCTCACTTTCCAATAAAAATAAATATATCTTTAAAAAAAAAAGTTTGGAAAGGCAGATCAGATTTAAGGAGAGGTGCAGCAGAAAATCCTCTGTCCACTGGCTCATTTCACAAACAGCCACAGTGGTGAGAGTTGGGCCAGTCCCAAACCAGGAGTTTCTTCCATGTCTCCCATGTGGGTCCCAAAGCTCTGGGCCACTCTCTACGGCCTTCCCAGGCTGCAAGCAGGGAGCTAGATTGTAAGTGGAGCATCCAGGACACAATCCGGTGCCCACATTATAAGGAGTTATTCGAATATCTCACCCTGGACCTGGCACCCCCAACCTTTGTTTTAAGTAATAACCTAAAATTTTATATTTTTGAGTCATTGGTTAGTATTATAATTTGAGCTTAACTATCATGATGGTGACAGCTAGTTGTACTTTAAGTGTAATTTTGCAAAGGAATATCAGTTGACTTTTAATTATTTATAGAGTAAATCAATGAATAAAATCCTGTAATTTCACTCTCTCTTCTGTCTCAAATAAATACCTTTTCTTTTTTTTTAATATAAAAAATGTCTTAGCGCCAAGTAAGTGATGAAATGTACAAGTATTTAATGCTTGGAGAATTGCTATTTTAAAGAGAATTAAATTTTCACAGTATTTAGAAACTAAAGAGAATAACATTGTGTTGAAAATATAGTAATCCATGTCTGGTATGTTAATTGTTGATATGATTGTTGATTTATTTTATTAACTGAGTTGACTACTTGTGGTTTTAGGAGCTGTGGATCTGGATGCCTTGACAGATGAGAAGGAAAGAAAAGCTTTGGAAGGAATGATTAATAATTTTGGACAAACACCTTGTCAGTTGTTAAAGGTAAAGCATATAAGTTATGAACAACTTCAGTATAGAATTAAATTGCTAAGGAGTACAACTAGCAGTATTTTTAAGGATTTTAAATGTTTAAAATCTTGTTTCAGAATTATAAGTTAGAATGTAGGGAAAAAATGTTGTCACTTAAAAACAAATAGATTTAAATAACCGTTCATATTGGTGGGGGAGAAAATGAAAATATTGTAGTCAAGTTCCATATGTAGGGTGGGCATTTGCCTGCTTGTTAAGATACTGCTGAGATGCCCATGTCTCATTTTTCAGTAGTTGGGATCAAATTCAAGTTCCTTCTAAATTCCAGCTTCTCACTAATGCACACTCTGGAAGGCAGCAGGCAGTGACCACCAGTGCAGGAGAGCCAAGCTGAGTTCTCAATTCCTGGCTTTGGCCAACCCAGCTGTAACTGTTACAAGTTCCGGGGGGAATGATCCTGCAGATAGAAGATTTTTCTCTTTTATTGTCTCTTTGTCTCTTAAATAAATTAAAAGCTTTTTTTAAAAATGTAACATAGCCAATTATTGTAAGTTGCAGAAATCATTGCTTATTTAGAAATCCAGCTACCCTATGTCATTTTTAAGAGAAAATCGTGCCAATTAGGGTGTGCCATTAAAATGTATCCTTGTAGTAGAGCTTGGTCATATGCAAACTTACACGAGCTCACATCTTCCCTTAGCATTGCAAGCCCAAACTGAGTACTAAGAATCACATCACAGAATATATGAAATATAAAATAGAATCATTAAATATTACTTTTTTTTCATTCCTCCTTAGTATTATCTTCCTAATTGCACACAGATTTGGATACACAGAAGTTAATCTAATGTTTCTTTCTGAAACTGCCTCGATCTTTGTTAGTATGAATTTAAAGATGAGGAATACACAATAATATACTATACATTAAATACTTTACATTTTAATCACTGTTTTAGATAGCTTAGCTAGCCTAATACCAAATTAACATAATTTTTGAGATGATAAAGTAAAACCTCACAAGAAAATAATATCTGGCAGGACACACTGTGGTGTAAAAGCTTCTGCAGGTAAAGCTGCCACCAGCAACATCAGTGTTCCATACCGGTGCTGGCTTGACATCCAAATGCTCCACTTCCAATCCAGCTCCCTGCTGGTTTTCCTGGGATAGCAGCAGAAGATGGAGACCAAGTCCTTAGACACCTTGTAGCCACATGGGAGACTGGAAGAAGCTTCTAGTTTCTGTCCCAGCTGTGGCTATTACTGCCATTTGGGGAGTGAACCAACATAGCGAAGATCTCGCTCTCTTTTTCTTACTCTTTCTCTAATTCTACTTTTCAAAGATAAATCTTTTAAAAAGGAAAAAATAATACTGGCAATACAGTACAGAAAAAAACTTGTAAGTTTATATAACTAGAAAGTGAGTACCATAAGGTTTGCATGCATGACCGTATAACTCCAAAGTAATTGCTACCATGCTGTGTCTGAATTAGTAGCTATAAGCATTCTGTTAGATTAGATCTCTTTTCTGTGTTCTTTTCTGTGTTTATTTTGTTACTTTCTGCCAGAGATCTCTGTGTTGATCAGTTTGCACCAGTTAATTATAAATATGCTAAAGGCGGTAGCTTTCTCTTAAGCATTTTTGTATGTTTCTTGCATGTTGAATTGAAATTTTTACAACTATTGTATCAGTAATATGTCTAAACCCTAATTTGAGATACAACTTCTGATAACAGAATTTTTTAAAAAAAGAACATAAGATTCTTAAACAGATTCTGTATATTTTTTGCATTAGCTTTATTTTTTGTTCAACAAGAATATTGCTAATTAATTTTTTGCTGCCTTAAAAACATATAAAAACTCAGTCCTTAATTTAAAATGAATTAGGGCCTGGCATGGTGGCCTAGTGCCTAAGTCCTCACCTCAGACGCACCCAGGGTCCCATATGGCCGGCAGTTCTGATCCCAGCAGCTCCACTTGCCATCCAGCTCCCTGCCTGTGGCCTGAGAGGCACAAAATTAGGGGACCCTGCACTCACGTGGGGGACCTGGAGGAGGTATCTGGCTCCTGGCTTCGTACAGGCTCAGCTCTGGCCATTGTGGTCACTTGGGGAGTGAATCATCAGACGAAGGCTCTTCCTCTCTGTCTCTCCTCTTCTCTGTACATCTGATGTTGCAATAAAAATAAAATCTTTAAAAAAAAGAAAATGAAATAAATAGGGCTGTCATTATAGCATAGTGGATTAAGCTGCTGCCTGTACTGCCAATATCCATGAGTGCTGATTTGTGTCTTGGCTGCTCTTCTTCCCACCCAGCTCCCTGCCAATGCGTCTGGGAAAGCTGCAGATGACCTTAGTATTTGAGCCCCTATTACCCAAACGAGAGACCTTGATGATGATCTAGGCTAGTAGCTTCAGCTGGCTCATCCCTGGCTATTGCAGCAATTTGGGTAATGAACCAGCAGATAGAAAATTTGCACTCTGTGTGTCTCCATCCTGTAACTGCTGTTCAAATAAATAAATAAGGCTTTTAAAAAATATAAAACAAAGTGAATAATTATCATGAGCTAAACATTTAAGTACTTTTACATCACAACAAGTAAGACTTTCATTCCGCATTTTAATTGTATTTAACTGTATTTGTCATGTGATTCATATGCATAAGAATTCAGCGATTCTATGTTCTGAGATGAAAATTAAGACATTAATAATCTATTTGAATAGATTATCTATACTTTGATTTTGATGGTATTGGCATTTCAATCTTGTTTCAGAAATGAAAGATTTAGCCAAATCATAAATTTGTAACAATGCGTTTAAATTTACAAAATGTTTATTCAGCAGCTACTGTGTTTCAGATAATGTTGTAGGTGTTGAAAATCCAGAAATGAGAATGACTTAGGTATGATTTTAAGATGAACTGTAAGAGCCAGTGTTGTAGTGTAGCAAGTAAAGCCATGCATGACACCAGCAGCCCGTTATGAGTCCTGGATCATGTCCTGGCTGCTCTGCTTCCCATCCAGCTCCCTGTTAATGGCCTAGGAAAAGCTGAAGATGGCCCAAGTTTCTGGGCCCCTACACCCATGAGGGAGACTTGGAGGAAGCTACTGGATTCCAGCTTCAGCCTGGGCCAGCCCTGGCCATTTTGGACACATGGGGAGTGAATCAGCAAATGAGAGGCCTTTCTCTCTCTCTCTCTCTCTCTCTCTCTCTCTCTCTCTCTCTCTGTCTCTCTCTCTGTCTCTCCCTCTCCCTGTACATCTTTTAACTGAATAAATAAATGTTAAAGAAAATAGTAAAATGATGAACTATATCGTAGAGTGAACAATTGTCCTTGTGGTTATAATATGGGTTAAGATGCTGGCGTGCTACATTGGACTGTCTGGTCTTGAGTCCCAGCTCCAAGCTCCTGCTTCCTGCTTGCTCTTTCCTGATGGTGCAGACTCCAGGAATCAGAGGAAATGGTTAAAATATTTAGTTTCCTGCCTCCCATGTGAGAACCTTCCTTGTGTTTTTGGCTTCCAGCTCCCAGCTTTGAATGCATTTAGGAAGAGAACCAACAGACGGAGCTCTTTCTGTCTTTTTTGTAGCATAATTCATGAACAGAGACACCAAGGTCTTTAGCAGGAAGTAGCTTTTTATTATTATGCCAGCATAAAAGACTGATCTCAGAACCCTCAAAAAGAGTATTCCTTTATGTGTCTTTTTAACTTTTTTGTCTCTCATTTATGGTTACATACATTTTTGCTTGGATGTCTTAATATTCTGTGACAGCTATGGGAATTGATACAAAACTCTATGTGTGTACATAATTACTGATAATATTTTCCAGTTTCTTTTGGAAATATTAGATATACCAATAATTCTTCCTCATGCATACTGAACTATACACTGTTTTAGCATCATCTAATACCATTGCTCTGTGCTGAGGGGCCTGGGCTGATTCAGTTGGAAGCAATTGGCTATATTTTGTTCCCAAGATAAGCCTTTTTTTTTTTTTTTTGAACTTTGGGTAGCCCGCTGTAATAATCTGTTTCTCTTCCTGCTTCTCATACATAAAATGTTTTTTTGAAGAGTCCAACAGCTAGTTGGGGAAGGCAGAACATAGTAACTGTATATAATCCAATATAGGAAGAAATGAATACTAAAATGGGTAGTAAATAATTCACCAAGGAAATAAAAACAGAAAAGAATGATTAATTCTGACTTACACATTCAGGAGAGATTCCATTAGTAAAAACTTTGTAGTAGAATGGGTTTCCACAGACCTGAAGATGAAGGTTGGTGACTCTGCTGAGGGAATAGCAGGAAATTACCAACAGTATGTCGTGTGTCACCCTTTGTTGCTGGAGTTCAGTGTGTGGGAATGAGCCAAGCAAGAGATGTGTCAATACAATTATTTAATGATTTTTTTCCTGAAAATTATTTTGAAGGAACCACACCCTCCTAGACTGTCAGCAGAGGAGGCAATACAGAAGCAGACCAAATCTGACACTTCAACCTTAAACCTATTTCAGCACCTTCCTGAACTCAAGTCGTTTTTTATAGAGGTAAAATCCAATTGGGTAATATCAGAAAGTTTGCTCTGTGAATTCTGCATGCCTTACCTTGATTTCATTCTTTTTTGGATTATTTACCCCAAAATAGTGAATTATTTTGTAATAATCTTGTGGACCTACAAAAAATTTTTAGCGAAAATGTTGCTGTCCAGTGGTACTCTGAGATGTTTTTGCTGGTTTGTTTTTTTCTACTTCACATTTTTTTTAAAAAAGAAACCATAATTGAATTTAAGATGCTTTTTGTGACAATTGAGGTTACATGTAGAAGGAGGTTATACTTTGATAATTCTTAATTAATGACACCCGCTTATCTATAAAATATATCACAATAAATCATGTGATTAATTGATACTGTCAGAGGACTAACCAGGTTAAATATGAGTAGTTAATGCTGTGATTGAAAAAGTCCCTTTCGATTCAAACAAAAAATTCAAATATGAGTTGGGTTTGTGGCCTGAGGATTGTGATGCCATTTAGGACACCTGCATTTCATATCAGAGCCTCTGAGTCCAAGTTCTGGCTCTGCTTCCCTTCCTGCTTTCTGCTAATGCGTACCTGATGGGGCAGCAGGTGGTGGTTTGGGTACTTATAACCTTACCACCCACAACAACAACCCACACTAATTTGTAGGTAGGTGCCTCTTTCCCACCTGGCCCAGCCCTAGCTCTTGTGATCATTTGGAGAATATGCTAGTGGATAGGAGATGTTTGTCTCTTTCTACCTTTAAAATAAAATGAAACTAAATAATTTCTAAAATAAGTGTTTTAATATACATACTGAATGATTTTGAATAGTTCAGACTATTATGAGCTACATTCATATCTATGATTAAAACAAAAAAATGAAGATTAAAAAGTTACTAACTTATTTAGAATACTGTAGAGATGTGTTTAGAAAAATATCCTCTCATATATTATATCAGATAGCAAATATTCTGGGTTTGTCAACTAAGGCAAAGTCAGTGTGGAATGTAGGTATGTGTGTAACCACCTGAGATGTAATAGCTTAGCTTATTCATCACCTACAAATAGGAATTGAAATGGATTTGTTCACAAGCTGTAGTTTGTAAATCCCTGCACTAGGGCACCAGCATGAAATGTTTCTTAGATTCTATAGCATAGGAAAACATTATAGAAGTTCTTGATGATTTAGTATAAAAATCTACTAAGGTTTATAACAATTATGCTATTATAATGAATTTTATATTCACATGAGTAGTGTTATGAATTGAATATTTTTTAAAAGATAGAAAAAATGAATATCACTCTTTTCCTAGATTCATGCCGATTGAAGAGGTTATTGTTTAATAATACAAACTGTATAAAGGATTGATTTCTGGAAGTGCCTAAGACAGTTCCTTAGAACTCAGCACACATTGAAACAATACTCAGATTCCAGAAGAAAAGCAGGTGTTCAGCATAAACCAAATTGCTTATGCAGAGCATCTAAGCGTAATGAGCTAGACTTGTTATTTAGGGAAAATTTTGTATCATTATAAAGAACATATTTGTGAGCCAAGACAGCAGCCTTAGCTCTGCTGTGTTAACTCTTTACTTGCACGTAAGGCAATCCATGAAACCCCATCTTACCCATAACTGATTGGCCTGCAATACTGTTGTGTGATGCTGATAGAACTGTTTTATTGTATCTAATCATGAGACAGAGTACACATTTGCACTTCTCTGTGCCCACCATATCACTGCAGTAGCTCTCCCTAGGAACAGGATCTGGAACAGGATAATAAACACACAGTAGTATCTTTGAGTACCAGTAAATTGTTAATCCCATTTTATCATCATGAGACATGTTTCCGCATGCATTTACATGAAGTAAGAAGGCCTCTGTGCATTGCCTCTTCATAATATTAAAATGGTAAAGAAAGTGTGGTAGTGAAAGCAAAGTTTTAATGAATGACTTTTTGTAGACACCATTTTCATTTATCCTTTCTTAAATTCAGCTCATTAATTCACATTATAAGGAGAAAAGATAAACACTGATTTTTTTCAATTTTATAAGTTGAAGCACTCAGAAAAAGTCCTGGTGCATAATATATACCCAATAATAATGCTCTCATTTACCTAATGAGTTGTAGGGATAATTTTTGAGCTGTTAGTCACATTGACAAAGTGAATTCAAAGCATTGTAGTAAAATAATGGCAGGTGTTGTCTGAGAACTACATTTACTCGTGCTTTTGTGGCTTTGTGGGAGGCACATCACTGAAGGGAATATAACTAGTTTTCTTTTTTTATAGTTATACTCATAAGGAAATTTCTTTAAATTATAGCGATTTTTACCATTTGACTTATTTGAGAAGTATATTCATAAATGGTCTGTTTTCTATTTTATGTCCCAATCAGGATAGTAAGGGAAAAGGACAGCTCCTAAAACACTGGCATTTTTGACATGATCCCTGATCTTAGAAATAGAAATCAGAAGTTTCAGGTCTGCCATCCAAATGCATTGTATAGTGCCTTCTCCACATCTGATAGTAAATGATTATTTGGTAGAATGAAAGTGCCGTGCTATAGAATCCATCATTATTTAAAGAGATAGAAATTGTCAGTTACTGTACCTAATCCATTTAAGCAGAAGCAGCCACTAAGCCTCTTTTCTTTTATAGGGTATTAGTGATGGTATTCCACTCTTGAAGGCTGTTGTCCCCAAAAATCAGTCACGTTCCTTTATGTCCCAAGGCAGTCCTGAGTTACTGGTAAGTAGTTTTATACCATTTGCATGCTATGTATGTATATATACATGCCCATGTATATGTTAATGCATACATGTTATATGCAAATCCATTAGAAATTACTAGAAAGAGAAAAAAAATCTTTTGAATAGTAGAGAAAATTTTGTGGGAAAGTTAACCTTAGTCTTGGGCCTGAAGCAGTAGCCTAGTGGCTGAAGTCCTCACCTTGCATGAGCCAGGATCCATAATGGGTGCAAATTTGTGTCCTGGTTGTTCCACTTCCCGTCAACTCCCTGCTTGTGGCCTGGGAAAGCAGTGGAGGACGGCCCAAAGCCTTGGGACCCTGTACCCGAGTGGGAGACCCCGAGGGAGCTCCTCGCAACTGGCTTTAGGATAGGCTTGGCTCCGGCCTTTGTCGCCACTTGGGGAATGAGCTACGGATGGAAGATCTTTCTCTGTGTCTCTCCTTCTCTCTGTATGTCTGACTTTCCAATAAAAATTAATTAATTAATTAATTAATTAATTAAAAAATGAGCACATCTGCAAATTTATCTTCTGTTTACATAGTTTTAACATTGTTATTGTAATTCTAAAGTTTATCTGAAAAAACACATAGTAGTAACCAGGAAATTCTATATTAGAAAAGCAGGAGATAGCATCTTATATTAAAATTTATTATAAAGTTGTAATAATGATCTTGACAAATAATGCAAAATATACTAAAATATACTAAAATATACTAAAGTATGCATATGGGGTGAGCATTTTATTTGAATTTTTCATTTAATCTCAAGTCCTGTGACATATGTTTTATTATTATTTACCTCTATAGATAAGAAATTAAAATTCAGAGAAGTAACTTATCCAAGAGCATAAATCAGCTTGCCAGAGCTAGCTAGTAGGAGATCTGGGACTTTTACACCAGACCTACGTCTAGATAATTCATATTTTGTCACTTAGACATGCTATAAATGGAAGCTAACACAGCGAGTAGTAGAGAATTCAGAAGCATGCCTGTTGTAATGCCTGCTGTCTAGAAAGATATGCAAAAACAATGTTTTTTGCATGGCAGAATTCTTGTAACATTCAGTTTTCATGTCTTTTTTAAGTTACCTGAATTTAGTGGAAAGGCTCAAACTACTTTTTTTTATAATCAAGATAGTTAATAATTTTTCATTTTTTTGTTTTGTCTTTTGTCTTTTTGGTTAATAGCTTTTCATTTTGACAACAATATATGCCCTAGGACTGTCATTATAGGGACACTTTTCAGTTCTTCGTCTCTCTTGTATTCTGAGTGATACATATATTTATGCGCCTCATTTTTCTAATAATACTTTTCCCTGAAATTTTCTGACTAACTATATATGTGCTAATGATGTTTGAGAAATTTTATGAGGAAAAAATGATCATACTAGATATTGCATTTGACAGCTTTTCTTATAATAACATTTAGCACTTTATCCATTTAAAACTTTCTTAATGAGGTCAAGATTTAAGTATACCATACCATAATATTCCCAAAATAATAATTGATGACCTCTTGTGCGGCTGGTCATTCTATACTATTCTCTTTTTGTCTTCATCTGTTCCTTTCTAGGTAACAGTGAGCATGAATTACATTATTGGGACACATGGATGGCTACCTTATGATAGAAACATTTCTAATTACTTCACATTCATCAAGGATCACACTGTGACAAATCCAAAGTAAGTAAATCAATGTTTAAGTCAAAGCAGCTTCAAGATACAGTACCTCACTGCTAGGAAAAAACAGCTGCATTAGTTTATTCATGTCCTTCTCCTCCTCCTCCACTGTTACTCTACTGATTCAAGTGAATTAATGAACTTTTAAAAAATTATGAAGAACGTTAAGAGTAATGTATTTCCTAAAGTCTTTGTTATTTAGTAATAGGCATTCCAAACAAATTCGGGACTCTTTTTTTTTTTTTTTTTTTTGTTTCTGGAGAGATTTTGTGAGAGTAGCTATTGATACAAGTAACCTTTTAAGGAAAAATCTAATATTATTTAATTGTGTTTACAGAACTCAGCGTAGTGTCAATGGTCCTTTTGCTCCAGGGCTGGAAGTCACTTCCAAATTGTTTGTAGTATCACATGACGCGAAGTTGCTCTTCAGTGCTGGACACTGGGATAATAGCATCCAAGTGATGTCCCTTACAAAAGGCAAAATTATTTCACACAGTATCAGACATATGGGTAAGCATTGACCTTTATAAAGAAAACTGAAATTTTATGACTTTTCCAACTAAAGAATAAGACATATTCCTAGAAAAGAATATTAAAATTTACTTTTGAAGCTGACTTTTTGGTAGTACAATATTATAATATTGGAGGCATAATAAAGGACTGTTTAAGTTAAGTGTGTCCTCATAATGTCTAGAAGATGCTAGTGCTAAGTCTTTTTAAAATTGACTTACAGAAATAAGAATTTTAAGGCAAAGTGTAACAATTGTGTCAAAGTAAGACATCAACTGTTTGGTGTACTAACAACAAAGTTGGAAAAAGAGAAAATTGCTGAAGATCTTCGTCTCTGTCTCTCCTCCTCCTCTCTGTATATCTGACTTTCCAATAAAAATAAATAAGTCTTTCAGAAAAAAAAATACTGAGTTTTTTTCCCCAGAAAGCCCATTAGGAAAGGGAAATGCAATCTACTGCTAATTCTGTGCCCCAACCCCTACTGTGTTACCTGGCTCAGCAGTTGATGATTTATTAAGGATATTTTTTATATTGTAAATTTGTATCATAATTTGTACTATGTTTATTAAGTTTGCATTTTCCATAGTCTTAAAGGATTTGGGGGATGAAAATGCAGAGAAGTTTATGGGAATTAATTAAGGACCCATTTCAAACCCTCAAACAACCTCAAAAATTCTAGTAGACATTCCTCAGGTCCAATGTCTATTGCTTATTCATCTCAAGGGAAATTTTCCTACGTGTTTTTGACATTGCCAGTTTCCTGCGTCACTCTTTCCCAGTATCATTCCTACCTTCCTCCCTGATGGAATAACTGATTAAATAATAGCTTGAATATTAACTTTTTAAGTTGTTGTTAATGAAAAAATGAAGCCATGTAATTGAATTTCTTTTTTTCTTACAGACATTGTGACTTGCTTAGCTACGGATTACTGTGGAATACATTTGATTTCTGGTTCCAGAGATACTACATGTATGATTTGGCAAATAACACAACAGGTAGTCACACATTACATCTTTTTGTTTAGACCTCCCTAAGAAAACATTGAAGTATTTTAGTAAGTTAATATATCTCTCTATACTGTGAATAATTGTTTCACCTATTCTTTTTTTTTAAATTTATTAATATAAAGAAAATTCTTGTACGTTTCATAAAATCAGTTCCATGAAGACAACCACGCTTCCCTCACTCCCCTGTTCTTCCCTCAGAATCTCTCCCACTTCCCTCTCTTCGTCCGTTCTTGTGAAGGCATGCTTTTAATACGCTCCACCTTCGCAGGCATATTTCACCACTAATCATAAAATTCAACAAATAAGAAGTAAGAAGACCACACTTCCACTGAAGTATTACGATGAGCTAAAAATGTTACTCATATCCCAAAGTGACCATTTCCTTCCTTTGCATTAGTTCTTTGTATTCTAAATGAGCTACTGCTCTTCAGAAAAAAAAATACAGTATTTGTCTTTTTTGAGGCTGGTTTGCTTCACTCAACATAATGATTTCAAGTTGCATCTGTCTTTTAGAATTTCATTCTTTTTATGGTTGAGTGATATTCCATAGTCTGTGTATATGTGTGTGTATAATAGAGCAATTATTGAACTTCTCTGACTTTTTTCAGATTTTCATTGAAGTGACCTTACTATTTTCTGTTTTAGTAAAGAGTTTGCTACTGGGTTTCACTAGTTGTGTTTTTTACATTTCAGTAGTTAAAGAGATAGTAGAAACATAGTAAGAATACACATAGAAAGCAGTTCCATAAAATAGCTCAAAGATGAAATGATAAATGAGAAGGGGAATTATAAACGATCAGAGGTTAAAGCTAATACTGTCACAAATATAAATCTAAATATGCACAAAAGTTAAGAAACAGATTTTAGGGCCCGGCACGGTGGCACAAGTGGTTAAGGTCCTCGCCTTGCACGCCCGGGATCCCATATGGGCGCCGGTTCTATCCCAGCAGCCCCGCTTCCCTTCCAGCTCCCTGCCTGTGGCCCGGGAAAGCAGTCAAGGACGGCCCAAAGCTTTGGGACCCTGCACCCGTGTGGGAGACCCGGAAGAGGCTCCTGGCTTCAGATCGGCATAACATCCGGCCGTAGCGCTCACTTGGGGAGTGAATCATCGGACGGAAGATCTTCCTCTCTGTCTCTCCTCTCTGTATATCTGCCTTTCCAATAAAAAAAATAATAATAAAAATAAATTTAAAAAAAAAGAAACAGATTTTATATGATTACAACCAAATTAATGATGAGGAAGAGAGTTTTGAAATAAAGTGAGAACAAATGAAAAAGATTAAAGCAAGGGCATTGGGAGGGACACATGAGATTTAACCAGTTAGAAAAAGAATTAATAACCATAAGAAATTCAAGACACGGGCTGGGCTGGCATTTTTGTAGTACAGTGGATTAAATCACTACTTGTGGCTCACATCACAGGAAGGAATGCTGGTTTAAGTCCTGGCTGCCTTGTTTGTTTGTTTGTTTGTTTGTTTGTTTGTTGCAGTTGATGACAGTTGAGATATGTTCATAGCCCTGTGCGTGGGTTCAAGGTATAGCTCCAAATCTGATCCTAGCTCCCGGCTGATGGACACCTTGGGAAGCAGCAGATGGTAGTTTAAAATCATGAGCTCCTACCCTCCTCATGGAGACCTAGATTTGAGTACTGGGCTCCTGGCTTCGAGGGCCAGCCCCAGCTACTGCAGGCATTCGGGGTGTAAAGCAACAAATGGAAAATTTCATTCTTGCTGAATGTGTTTTACGTATCCATTTCTTTCTCTCTCTCTCTCTCTCTCTCTCTCTCTTTCTCTCTTTCTTTCTTTCCAAATAGACAAACAGATTTTCCAAAAAGGGTCCTGGAAAAATTAGGCCAAGATTATCCACTTGAGACAAATAATGAATTGGGAATAATTGAAAACAGTTTGCAGTTTGGGCATCCAATAGGAAACACAAATATTTCTATGCTTAGACACACTCTGGATAACTATTGTGTATAGACAGTGCAGCATTAGTTTGTGCCTACTAGGTATAAGTGCAGTATAAAAGTTGTTATATATATATAGAAAAAAGTAGGGAGCAGCATAGTGGCGAGAACTTCCTTCTGTGGTGCCGGCATCCCGTGTGAGCACCACTTCATGTCCTGGCTCCCTACTTCCCAACTAGCACTCTGCTAATAGGTCTGCGAAAGCAGTAAAAGATGACTCCAGTGCTCCTGCCATCCTCACAGAGACCAGGAAGAAGGTCTTGGCTTCATTTGTCCCAGCACTGGCCATTGTGGCCATTTGGGAGTGAACCAGCATATACAATCTCTCTCTCTCTCTTACTCTCACTCTCTCCTCCTCTCTTTCTCTGTAACTCTGACATCAAAACAAATAAATAAGTGAAATATTTAGGTAGCAGAAAATTCCTTTACATATGCTTTTCTATTTTAATATTAGGGAGGTGTTCCTGTTGGCTTAGCTTCTAAACCATCTCAGATTCTTTACGGACACACCGATGAAGTATTAAGTGTTGGCATCAGCACTGAACTAGACATGGCAGTGTCAGGATCAAGGGTAAGATTTCACCTTTAAAAAAATACTAATTATGTTTTCTACCAAGTCAGCAATGTTTATATCTTAAAAAGTTTTCCTAAGGCAACTTGTTAAAATGTAGAAATTACTTACAATGTATGTGTAGGAGTTTGCAAAAGTGAAGAAGTATAAAAGAAAACCTGACTGGATTCTTTTTCTGGATTTTAGCACTATTTTTTCTAGAAGGGAACATTTATGAAATAAATTACTATTGTGAATTGGAAATTCACAATTAGTGTTTTCCCTAAAGGACATTGCATTGTTTTTAATAAATCTCAGATTTGCTGATTTTTTTATCCAATCTACAATTTTTTTGTTCTTTTTCTTTGTCTTTTCTTTTTCAAATATTTCTGCATGCCAGGATGGCACTGTGATTGTTCATACTATCCAGAAAGGCCAATACCTGAGGACTTTACGGCCACCTTGTGAGAGTTCTCTGCTCCTGACCATTCCCAGCTTGGCTGTGTCTTGGGAAGGACAAATTGTTGTCTACTCCAGCATTGAAGAAAAGACCACCATCAAGGTATGCAGCATTTTAATGCACTTGGGATAAATTATCAATAATGCATGTTTCCCTCTCATATTGGGGATATGAAAAAGCAAAGAGCATTCTATTTTTTTAAAAAATTGGATGATTTTAATAAAATTAACTATTCTTTTATCTGCTTTGAAAATTGCAAAAAATGCATCAGAATTTCCTTTTATTGCAGTTCAAACATTTGAAAACAAGATTACTTAATTGTCCACCCAAATTATTATGCTCTAGCTGAAGTCTCCAGTGTTTTCTTTACATTCCTTTCCGCAAGTTACTTTTGTGTTTCAGTTGTTGGTGCTGGGTTCCATCTTGTTGACTCTGATCTTGTAAAGCACATAGGTAATACTTGAAAGCTATTGGTGTTTCTCTGGGTCTAATTAAAAAGGCAAAAAAGAAATAAAGTAAACTAAATACGTTTAAACCGGAACAGTCATTTTGGAGTAGCAGGTAAAGCTGCAACCCATGTTGGCGCTGATCTGTGACCTGGTTGCTCCACTTTCTGATCCAACTCCTTGCTTACGCTCCTGGGAAAGCAGCATAAAATGGCCAAGTGGTTGGGCCGCTGCACCATGTGGACGATCCAGAAGAAGCTCCAGACCCATGGCTTTGGCCTGGCTTAGTCCGATTGTTGTGGCCATTTTGGGAGTGAACCAGGAAATGGAAAATCTGTCTCCATCTGTTCCTTTCTCTGTGTAACTCTGACTTTCAAAGAAAAATAAATCTTTAAAAATAGAGCAAATAACATACAAACAAACATAAAACCTGGAATGGACAGACAACAACAAGAAAAGCTTAGAATCAGACAGGAAATGGTCAGCGGGGATTCACTCATACCTCACTAGGTGGGACACAAATATTAGTTACGCCTCACTGGGGTACTGGGGATTTCTCTGCACACCCCTCCAAAAAAAAAAATGTTCTATACCTAAACTGATGACACATGTCTTGCTAGAGTTATAAGCCAGTTCAGACCATCCGAAAAACAACCAAGTTCAGCAAAATCATGCTTCAACACTATAAACAGCTAAATAGTAAAATGAAAATAGACACAAGACAGCTGAATAGTAATCTATAGCCATTTTGAGGTGTATAGAACCCGGTTGAATATATACCAAAACTGAAATGTCTATGAAGAAGTCACAGGATGCAGTTGAGAACCTGCATTTTCCTATTAACATATTGGTTAATCAATACCATGTCAATTAATGCCATAATGTTGCAAATTGTTGATGCTATGTTGGGGCTTTTAATTGATTGGGACGATATTTTGCCGGCTTTACCTTCAGACCAGAGATGGTCGCACCAAGAAATCATTGAACTCACTAGGATAATAAGATGCTGGACTTTATGCTTGGTAAATACTTCCAATGAAAGAACCTCAACTGAATTTGAACTGTGGTAATGCAGCAAGGTGGAGAAATCCACCATGGGGAGAGGGTTCAGGGAGCGGTGGGGGGAATAGCAGTGCCCATAACACTGTGTCACATAATGCAGTACAATTAATAAAATAATAATAATAATAAAGCAAATACATTGGAACTACAAATTTTGTATAAATTCTGATATCAAGGTAGGAAGAGCAAAACATCACAGCAAATATCATAGGTTATCAAAATTACTAGTGTACAAGTCTATCTTACATAAAATAAATTTATTTATTTGCAAGAACTGTATACTAAGGCTTATTCCTAAACCAACTCTTTATCATAACTCGTTCCTATCCTAGCATTATCTGGAGGGTCCCTTCTGTGAAACGGAGAGTAACCACAGCAGCATCTGAAAGGCTCAGGTCCTGATCCTCTTTGTACTCCCTTAAGACCAAGGTCTCTGTGTTCTTTTTAAGCTAGGAATACACATTAACAGGCATCTCAGCATTGCCAGTCTTTCTCTCCGCTCAGATAAGAGTGTGCTTATTCTATCTTCTCACTTCTCTCGTGCTGTTGTGTTGAATCATCTTATCCAGAGGAGGGGAATTTGCTTGTAGAGCTGAAAGTCAACTACCAAGGTCATTTGTTGTGTTTCTGGATAGCCGGAATGAGATGCTCAATCCTGAGATATATCTTCAGTGAACATTCAAAAAGACAATGGGGCAGAGGCTGAGTTAAGCATTTTTGCTAGGTCTTTAGCAGTCTAGTTACATGTAGTAAGTGTTTGGCTCTCAGGGAAAGCATTGTTGAACTTGACATACCCCAGCAACCTGGAAAGAACTAAGAACCCAGGACAACCCTAGAAAAACCAGCTTGCACTACAGAGACATCAAATGAGCCAACCCAAAGCACATATCCAAAAGAGGATGTTTTTCCTTTCAACATTCAGTTGCTCTCTCTACCATTAGACAGATTTCTACCACCATATTGGTATTGCCTTTCTGTTTCAATTTAGGAATTCTAATAGGCCAATAGTTTCTCATGAAGTGGGTATTCATAAGCTTAAGTTGAAATGTTAGCTAACTTAAATTCTTTTTGCACAAGGAAGTGAATGAGCTAATAAGCCTCAAGTTTTATGTTTATTTTCTTTCAATAATAAAGATTTAGAAAATTTTTTAAATTTTTTATTTTATTTATTTTATTTAATTGCTGGAAAGGCAGATATACAGAGAAGAGGATATATAGAAGGATCTTCCATTTGCTGAATCACTCCCCACTTGGCTGCAATGGCCAGCCAGAGCTGAGCCGATTTGAAACCAGGAATTTCTGCTGGATCTCCCATGCATATGCAAGGTCCCAAGGCTTTGCTGGGCAGTCCTCAACTGCTCTCCCAGGACACAAGCAGGGAGCTGAATGGCAAGTGGAACAGCAGTGACATGACCTGGTGCCCATATGGTGCCCACTAGGCTATCAGGCTGAAAACTTAAGTTTAAGAGAATATTTTTATTTGTTTGTTTTAATGACGTAGGGACTTTTTATACTGGATGAAGCTTTAATTTTTCTTTTGCATGGAGTGAAATGTCTTATTTAAAATTTGCTTGCCAGACTGATTTGAAATCATTTTAGCAATATATGACATTTTCTATTTAAATATTACCATGTTTTTATTTCAGCATCTTAAACCAAGTAGCCATTGTTATAATCACAGCTTTAATTGACAGTATAAACCTGTTTTCATTTGAGGCAATTCAATTTTCCTAATCAATTCTTCACAGGACAAGAATGCATTGCATCTGTTTTCTGTAAATGGCAAGTACCTGGGATCTCAAATCCTGAAGGAACAAGTATCAGATATGTGTATAATTGGAGAACACATTGTCACAGGCAGCCTACAGGGGTTCTTGTCGATAAGAGATCTCCACAGGTAAATACTAAAAATGACTGAAGTAGTGCTTTGAAAAAGGTGGTAGTGCTTCCAGCCTAGAGTGAACATGAAGAATCTAATATTGCTAATTCTTTTGGTTTATCATTTATTACAAAATATGCCTCTCAATGACTGTGAAATAAATTGGAAAACGTTTATATTCCTGGACTATTTAATGTGTGAATTTTGCGTATTTCCAACCACAACTTAAAAATTATTTTAAAAGTATGAGGACCCAGCAAAAAATGCTTATATTACCAAGCCTGGATTATGGATTTGGAAGTTTGTCCACATTATAGTTAGACTTTGATGAATGCGGATTGCTTTTTTTTTAAATTGCTGCAAAATACATATTTTAGGGTTAATATACTTGTGCATATATCTGTAGCTGCGTGTATAAAATTGGTCGTGGAATCTTGTTATTTACTTGAGTGAAGGAGAGGAAAATCTAAATGATGGGTATGTTTTCAACTTTGATGTTCTTGTTTACTATTTTTAGTGTATAAAGCACTGTCATTTCATAGGTGCCCTACATACATTGTTTTCTTCCCTTCATACGCTGTAACTATGTGGATTCCCCAACCTGTCAGAAAAAGCCTTACTTGTAAATTCCTAGTCAGGGTATTTTATGCTATTGCTTCCATATTGGGTTCCTTTTATCCAAAAATCTCCTGTCTTTTATATTTTCTACCTTATTTTTGTTGTTCTTTGTTGAATGATGGAGCATTGAGTCCCCATTCCAATCCCATCTTTCCCAGTTTCTTTTTTAAAGTTTGGTTTTTGGGAATACTGTTTGGAAAATTTCAAGTTATAAAAGTTTACCCTGTGACACAGTTTTTTATTTTCTTAATGAATAATCATAAGCATTTTTTCTTTTAAGATTTATTTTGTTTTATTTTTTAATTGGAAAGGCAGATATGACAGGATAGACAGACAGAAAGATCTTAATCTGCTGGTTTCCTCTCCCGATGTGATCATAAATAATTAGCCAATTTGAAGCCAGGAGCCAGGAGCTTCTCCTTGGTCTCCCATATGGCCCCAAGGCTTTGGACCATCCTTGACTGCTTTCCCAGGGCATAAGCAGGGAGCTTGATGGGAATTGGACTGCCAGGATACAAACCAGCTCCCGTATGAGTTCCTGGCATGTGCAAGGTATACAAGACAAATTTTCAAAACGTTAAGATCTGAGTAGTCAGAGGAGACTTGATGAAAGCTCAGAAACGAAAATAAAGGTCGAAGGTGGTGTGGACAGTATTTAGAAAGTGGGAAGGGAAGATTTGAGAAAATAAAGTTTGGGCAGCAGTGAGTACAGTTTGTGCTGTACTTGATTTCAGGGATAAGATCAAGGCAAGACCACAAATGTCCAGTTATAATCTGTGGACAGGAATCTGGTTAATATCCACACAAAATCCTACCTGTTTGTTTCTTTATCTTGTCTGTGACTTCTCTCCAATCTCCAGTAACTCTTTGTCAAGGAACAGACAGGAATGCTTTGTTGAGGTAAATTATGAAACAGAAAATTTGTTATAATAGATTGGGAAGTTGAAGAAACAGATTTAGATTGTCTGGGGAATAACCAAGCTTTTATATGGTTGCTTTATTGCTGTTTGATCTTATCACTACCTGGTTAGCAGAAAAACAGATACTGACAGTGAAGACCTCGGTAATGCTGTAAATGTCACCCCTTACATGAGTCAGTTCTGCTTCCTGAGCATACATTCCACAGCTGTAAAATTAGAAATCAGAGCCAGATCATCATTTTCCAAATGTAATTTTTGTGGATTCAATATTAACACATCTAACTATATGTGTTTTTAAATTTCTCTTCTAGTTTGAATCTCAGCATCAACCCATTATTCATGAGGTTGCCTATCCATTGCGTTTGTGTGACCAAAGAACACAGCCATATCCTTGTAGGCTTAGAAGATGGCAAATTGATTGTAGTAGGTGTTGGAAAGCCAGCTGAGGTAAAACCTAGCATCAAGAATACAATTTCTCGTACTGCTGTAGATTTCTTTGGTTCTTCTGTGTTGCAAATGATTCTAGTCGCCATCATGGATAACCCCATTACATAAATTTTATTTTTCACAAGGCAGTAAGTGAAAAGAAAGAATAAACTATCACTCAAGAATGTTCTTATCGTTATATAATTGAAAGCACACCTTTGGTAGTTACCATCTTCTACTTATTATCAGAAAATTCTTTTTTTCAAAATCTAGATTCAAGACCACTACCTGGATTTTTAGTATATCAAGCCTATATAAAATGAAATGCAGTCTCAGTAAAACTATTGATTTTTTAAAAATAGGTAGCACAACCATAATTCAGTTTTCTCTTATAAAACCATAATTTCTTATTTGGAACTACAAGTATTCTCATAGAAGGTGATTATTTTCAGTGTTTTTTTGTAATAGCTGTAAATGCCACTGATTTATTAATTACTTAGTATTCAGATATCATTAATCTATTCCTAGGAAAATGTGGTAGCTATCCTCTAAGTAATTCAATGATTTACCAAAACTTTAATAATACAGAATTAAGCAGTATAATTTTTGTAGTCATGTTTAATCTTAGAAATCTGATATGACACTGGGAACAGTCATTTCAAGAGAAGAAATTACTACCATATTGTCTTAAAAACATTTGTTTTATAAATATTTTAAGATTTCTTTAATCCTCATAGGTTTTTTTAAATAGAAATGTTTTTAATTTTTTTTGTTTTCCATGATATAGCTTTGGAGATCTAAGGGCTCAACTTCCCCATCCCTTTTCTTCTTCCCCTTTCCCCACTCCTGTCATTCCCCATCCTCCATCCCCCGCTATGCCTACCCACACCACCAGCCCACCCCCACCAAACAGAGGTGCTTTTAAAGTAACTAGAACATTGGCTTTCAGAGGCAAAAGTTCCCTGTGCAATGTCAGCCATTCTATTTCAGTATTTCCAATTTATTTTAAGTATTTTAAGCATGATTTCACATTCAGTACTGAGTTTCTTGACTAATGTATTTTCCAAATATGTGCTGCCATCCTAGCCTCTGCTGATGCGCTGCTTAAGTAAAACCTGTATTTAAACTTTATTCATTAGGTGCATTTCATGCTCTCATTTGTTCAGGTGTCTTTAAATTTGCCTGCCCTCCCTTACCTTAGGTAAATTTGTCAGCTTCTGAGTTTACCGAAAAAATTTTAAGTTACCATTTTTTAAATTTTGCTTTTAAATTAGAAAAAAACTCATTAAGTAGTTTTTTATAGGCCTAAATTAATGTTCTGCATTATTCATCAAATAAATTTGATTATTTTTCATCATTGAAAATTTTATGTAGTCTTTAACACATACAAGCTGAATTGTGTAAAGACTGGGAAAAAAAGCATTTTTCCTTTATATCTTGAATATTCTGTAGCTAATTTATTAATTTAGTTAGACTTGCATAATTAACTTATAGTTCATTCTATAAATGTGACAACCCAGAATATGATATAGATCAACATTCAGTTATGGAAATAGGCATTTTTTCAAGATTTATTTCTATTTAAAACATCAGAATCTTGATTAATGTGTATTTTTAAATGTACCAGTTTATTATTCTGTCAGTGTGAAATTCATGTTTATAAATAAGATGGCAAGATTATGGAAATAATGTTTCAGAAAATACATCTGGAAAGCAAGCATGACAAAATTACTGATCTCTTTATATAAGGTTAATCTTTTATCAGTCCTGTAAGAGCATTCTAGAAACTTTACCATCAAGAAGAGATGGTGGCAGCTATGGGCTTTGGGGCACAGTTATTTTCAGAAGTCAGTTGGATGCTAAAGTCCATATGACAGAATTGTTTGAAGTCCTAGTGGGAGCCCTGGCTACTCCCTTCTCCCAATCCAGTTGGAAGGGAATAGGTGATGGTGCTGGGCTACCTCCCACATGTGTGAGACCCAGGTAGAATTTCTGACTCTTAGCTTGAGCCTAACTCAGCCGTGGCTATTAATTGCCCTTTGGAAGTAAAGCAACAAATGGGAGATCTCTCTGTGTCTCTCTCTCTTCCTTTTAAATAAATAGAATTAATTAACAGTAGCTATGTTGTGCTTGGTGACAATAATTATAGCAAATCACATGAGGTTTTATGCACTCAAACACATGTAAGCACTTTTCAAGAACATTATTATCTAATTCAATTAATATTGATTGTCTATTGGGAAGAGTGGTAGGTGGTACATATTTGTTACAGAACAAAATGTGGTTCTTACCTCAAAAGGTTTATGCTATTTTTGTTTTCTAACACTCTTTTGCTAGGTAGAATGTTTAGAATGGTTTGTTTTTTAAATCAGAATTGTTGGTTATATAAAGCAGAGGTGACTGGTGATTTGGATGTGCTTGAGACATTTTCAATTTGCTCGTTGGCATTAGACCTCCTTTTTCATCCGAAAGACCTAATCAATGTAGAAACCCTTCTTTGTTATTAATGAAGAAGCTTAAGAGTTTTAATGATTAAGCTAACAAAACCTGTCCATTCTACATTCTACAAAGTGATTGTCTTATATATTCATTCTTTTCTTTCTTTCTTTTTCTTTTTGTTTTAATATGTTTGTTTCTCTGGATTATCTTAAACAGATGCGTTCAGGTCAACTTTCTCGAAAGCTGTGGGGATCCAGCAAGCGGCTCACCCAGATTTCAGCTGGAGAAACTGAATATAAAACTCAAGATTCCCAGTGATTGTTGCTTCCAGCTTCTGTCATGGTTAACGTGATTTATTCCTTTGTCGCTTTAACACATATTTCAACTCTGAAATGTTTTAGTGCTTTTATTCCTGAAAACCATCTAGGGATTATAATTTGGTACGATACTTAAAAACACATAGCTATATTATTATCAGCTTTTAAAATTTCTGATTAACATTCATGAATCCAGTCTTATCAGCCCATTACTGATCTATACCAAGATAGATTTAAGAAAATCATTTGATTCAATTTAGTAGCCCATTTCTAAAGATTATTTATTTTTTTCATTAGATCCAGTTTCAGTTTATGTATTCTAAATAGGAACATTTTAATATAATTCTTGTAATAAGAAAGTGAAAAAAATGAGGTAGTTCAGAGACAGGATTTGTAGTGCCTTAGTGAATCATTTTCTTGTTCACTGATCACCATTACAAATATGCATTCTTGTATTGAATTTCTAGTTGGATATATATTCAAAGGAACCTGTGGCATACTCAAGTTTTCAAAACTCAGCAAAAGTTCCAAGTTGATGTGTTAAGATTAAAACAAGAGCACTGAAACTGATGGATTGGCTCATTATGTTACTACATGGTGTCTTCCTATGCGTACTGGGATGTATTATCTATTACAATAAAAGATGAATAGGGAACAGAGAAACTAGAGATACATTTTTACATAAGTATTTCATTAATGGCATAACTGTAAAATGCTGATTTCTGTTTTGACCATGAGGTCCTTTAAGTAGAATTTGCAGCACAGTTTACATCTGTAATGGTTAGAATCTCATTTTGTTTTGTTTTGTTTTCATTAGTGAAATCAACTATTTTGTTTTCTGAATTAGAAATAATTAATTAACAATTATACTCAAATGTTTTACTTTTCAATTCACTTATCCATCCCATTGATAAGTGAATTGAAAAGATGGGCATAATTTAAAATAATTTAGGAATAGTTATTTCATAAAAAATCTACTTATTTCATGTTGAGTACAACTTTTAGAATTATGGCCTATTCTGTCATATAGTTAAATGTTGCAGTATGCTTGTACAAGATTTTAAAGTGAAAGTCTGATTGATTTAGTTTGGAATTCAAAGGTGTTTGTTAAAGCTAGTTTTTGTTTATCATCTTTTCACTTAGGTCAGAAAGTTTTACAACCACCAGTGTCATTAATCTGAAATTCTGTGGGTTTGGAAGAATTCATGAGTCCTTGAAATTGTGCAGAAACTTGTATGTTAATTGTATTTTTAAGAAAGAATGATTGCATGGCTTCCTGGAATGCATCTGTGTTTCCAGAAATCAAAAGTTTTCTTAAACCAAATTTCCTTCTCAGTGAAATCTTGGAGGATTTCTCTCAGCACAGTTTCTTTTTTCTATTGACCCTTTATCATCCTGTGAGTGAAATGAAGGATTCTTTTGGGGGGAACTTGTGAATAGATTTGATTTGTTATGAGTCAGGGCTAATATAAATTATGGAAGGATTATCTCTCTAGTGAATTAAAATCTTGTTTTATTCAGAAACATGCAGCAGTGTTTTAGGTAAAAAGCACAGAATTGACCTGGTGCATAAGTAGAACATTTGCAAATAGTAAGGTTTCCTTCAGGTGTTTGCATTTAAGGTACATCTCAAAGCAAGTCAGTAGAGCTAATTATAATCTACCCAGATTAATACTAGATGCTCATAGGATGGCTGTTTAGCCTAGTAGTTGAGATGTCCATGTTCCATATCAGACTCTGCCCTGCCTTGGCTTCTGTGTTAAGATTAGTTGCCTTCCAACTAATGCAGACAGACCCTGGGAGGCAGCAGTGATGGCTCAGGTTATTGGGTCCCTGCTGCCCAAGTGGGATAACTGCATTGGTTCAGCCCAGTATTGGCTCCTGGAAGCCCTACGGAATAACCAGCAAATGGGAGTTCTATGCCATCCCTAGTCTCTCCTCTGTGCTCTTCAAATAGATTTTTTAAGGGCCCAACATGGTAGCCTAGTAGCTGAAGTCCTCACCTTGAGTGCACCAGGATCTAATATGGGTGCCGGTTCGTATTCCAGCTGCTCCACTTCCCTCCAGCTCCCTGCTTGAAACTTAACTTTTATCTACAAAAATAAGCAAATGTGGAACTATTCACTCAGTAGCATATTCTCCACTTAAACATTATAACTCTCTGAATTAAAAATCACTTGATGAAATCACTGGAAAGAGGTCAGTGTTACGGCACTGCTGGTTGAGCCACCCTTGCAACACCTCTTGTTCCTCACCGGAGTGCCTGTTCCAGTCCTGGCTCTTCCCATCCAGCTCCCTAGATGTCGGCCCTAGACACACTTGTCAGAAACCTCAGTGGATTTCTTAGTTCCTGCTAAGAAACTTGGACTGCTCCTGGCTACTGCAGCCATTCAGCAAGGGAAGTGGTGGATGGAAGAAACTTCTCTTTGTCTCTTCTGTCACTCTGTCTTTCAGATAAATCTTTAAAAATAAAAATATTTTTGCGTAGTAACTGGAAAGATGGAACTATAATTTCTATAGAAATTTTTTCTGTATTGATGAGAGGGAAAGTATCATCAGAATGGGCTAACAGGTTAGCATTTAGTTCATTGGTTTAATATTTCAGCTTGGCTGTGATTCTGTTATCACCTCACTTTTCGTCTGTTTGTGTTTCTTGATGCTGGCAATGATGATAATAAAATTCTCAGCATGTTTGGAATGAAGAGAGGATTATGCTAGGATAATGAATCTGTTTTTAGAAAGTAAAGATATATTAAAGAATGCAAAAGCTGAGTGCACTTATCAAATGAAGAAGATGTAGGCAGTTATTTACAACTTTTCTCAGTGTTTATTCTGTCATAACTTAGATAAAATTGGAGGAAAGAAGAAAAACTTGATCAGGACTTGAAAATCAGGAAATTGTGTCAAAATGAAGATTGGTCACTTGGCTTCAAATCTCTTTTTAGCCTGTGTAGCTTTTGTCAGTTATAAAAAGCTATTAGCTTTCTTTATATGCCAGTGCATTCAGTTGTAGGAGAAAACAAGTGTTTATTTTGTTATCAGCAAGGGACATGAGTTTTTACTAGCTTTTATTTAGTTTTTAAAAATGTATTTATTTTTATTTGAAAGGCAGATTTACAGCAAAAAAAAAAAAAAGAGAGAGAGAGAGAGATAAATACAGAAAAAGAGAGAAAGAGAAACACTCCATCCACTGGTTCACCCCCAAATAGTCACAACAGCCAGAGCTGGTGCTATCTGAAGCCAGGAGGCAGGAGCTTCTTCCAGGTCTCCCATTTAGCTACAGGGGCCCAAACACTTGGGGCATCATCCGCTTTTTCCCGAGTCTATATTTAGGGAGCTGGATTGAAGGTGTAGCAGCCTGGACTACAACTGGCACCCACGTAGGATGGTGGTGCCACAGATGCAGATTTAGTTTGTAACGTCATCGTGCCAGCCCCTTTGGGTTTTTATGGCATATCAAAAATGTCCTTTTATAATGTGCTTAGATAGTGGTAGGCAGAGAAAAGTAGCTAGATACCAGAGTTTGGATTTAATGACGGGAAAGATATGGCCCTTGCCTTAAATGCATTTTATGTTGCTATCACTAAAAAAACACTAAGGGAATCTCTTAATTAAATAAGTTCACTCCTTTTACATAGTAATATTTAATATAATATTTAACATGGATGTGCATGTGTGTGTCTGTGTGTGTAAAGGTTGTTCTCTTTAAGTACATTGTTAAATCTGTCTTAAGGATGCAGTTTTTGACCAAGGTATAAGAAATGAAATATTTTATGGTGTGCTCTATAATTTTAATCTGATGTTCTCATTTGTCAGTTTGACTTAGAGTTTATTCCCCTCTTCAGCTGAAATTGTTCTTCTCCAACCAGTAAACAGTCTTAAACGTTTGCATCTTAATTATCCATTTGCCATACTCCCTTGCCAGGTTTTAGTTACCTTACACACCCATTTTTGATTTGTTCAGACTAACTGTACAGATAGTTGGGTAGTTTTCCTGTGTCAGAGATGCTTCTTCTGATGACAGTAGGCAGTAGTACAGTTATCAGCTGTCATATCACTGTGGTTTTTGTACCTGGAAACAAATGCTCTTTTGAGTTGTATTCTTAGGAAGAACACTCTTGAGACTTTTCGCATTGGAAAGAAGCAACTAATCTTTACCTCAAAAAGTATGTCTGTTAATATTAGTTTAAATGACTATCAGTGAGTATTTTACATTAATAAGTTGAGTAATATATTAAATAATGTAATTAAAAGCACAAGTAAGAAATGCTAAACTTAAAATGGAATTTGAGTCTTTCTCTTGAGGGTTATAATCAATGCATTTTTTTCAGATAGCTTCAGATGCTTGGATAAATTCTCTAGGTACTTCAAAAGGCTTTCATAAATACAGCTCAGTAGGAAAATAATCTTTAATTTTTAATGGATGTTACAATAAATGAAGCATTAATGCTTAAGGAATTAAAGTTTAAAATGGAAATGATTGCACTTTCAGAAAGCATAAGGCTATCTTAAAATATAGAATTATATAATTTCCTTCAGTGTAGGAACCTTTTGTAAAAACCTGCATTATTTGACACTTTTGCTGATAGACAATAACTACATAGGCACATCTTCATGTTTTAATTCACTGACATTTGTGTCGTGTGGGTGACTGCTACACACATGGCAGAATTTGGACTTCTGACGCTAATGTCTTAGTTCCAAGTAAAGGACACAGACTCAGTGGCATTTACCTTTGTCTTCATAGCCGTAATCTGAATTTAACAGAAAATTCAGAAGGGAAGTGAAAATAGAAAGCCACTGATACAACCTTTGTTTTTCTTGGTACGATTCTCTTGTGTTTCCTTGGAAATCTACAATTTGGCAAATATGACCATAATAATAATAATACAATTTTACCATTTGAAAAGTTACCTACTATTGTTTGAGAGATGATTGTCAGTACAGTTATGTTTATTTAAATAATATATACTTTATTATTTACAGTTATTTATAACTCCAAGTACACAAAATGATTACTTGCTTGTACTGCTATTATGTAGCATTATAATGAGAAAAGATAGTATTAGGAGTGATTAAAAAAAACTGTACCTTATTGATTAATTTAGAAGAAAAAAGTCAAAATTGGATTTTATTTTGGCAATAATATATTTCAGTTTCATATATATCAAAACTTTTGTGGTAGTGAGTATACTACTGGACAATATTAAAATACCTTTTTCCTTAATCTTTTTTCATAACATTTTCCCACATTACCTAAGCAGTGTATTTTATGAATTAGTGGCTCCATTTACAAATTTATAAAGGAAAAAAAAAACCTTATCTTTAATGTTAAAATAGTCTTAATCAATTGGCACTTTTAAGTGATCTGGTAGAGAAATTACAGTAGTCAGATTTAATTTTTTAAAATTTCTTATATAGGATTTAAAAAGAGTATTTCTTGATTTGGAATTTTTATTGCTTTTCTTAAATTTTTAATTATTTGTAATAATTTCTATACTACTTCCTGTAACATCATAGCTCTGTCAAAATTCTATATTTTTTACTTTTTTTCTATTCTGCTTTTTACTACTCTTAAAGACTGTGATTCATAAACATAATCCACAAACAATTTTTATAGCTACTTCTTACTTTCTAGTTAGCTTTCTGTAAGCAGACTTGTTAGAAAAACGCATTGCTCTTCTGTTTTATTCAGAAGCTATTAGAAAGTGGAGCTTTCTTTCCCCTAAAGGCTTTTATAGACTTGAAATAAAATATGTCAGAAAAAGTAGTCAGATATCTGGCCATACAGCCTTTTTCTGCAATTTTCACTGTTACAGACAGAGGCATTTTTGTTAAGGCAGAATGA